CCCCCCCGCGGCTCATCGCTTTTAAAATACAGTGATAAATTTATTCCTCTACTGTTTGAGGGCAATAGGATAGCCTATTACATTGGAAGGCTTTGTTGGGATGACGTTGCCGGAGCCAGCAAACACAGCTGGCGAACTTGCAAGAATCCCACCGTGATGATCTGATGATGTTCAGGCAAAGAGACTGTAGTCATTCGCAGTTCGCATAATCTCCCCTTGAAGTCTGATAAATGCCTTTGCTCCTTCTCCGTACAGCATCGGCATGGATATTCCAAAGATTCCCATTAAGCAATAGGCGATATCTTCAATCCTTGTTGTCTTTCTCTTCGCAGCCCATGACATTTTTTGAGCGACACTTGCATATGCTACGTCATCTCCCAACAGGAAATTGCCAGGTAGTCCGGTGATTCCTGATATCAGCTGTTGCAGACCTAATTTCTCGCCTATCTTGTGCCATTCACTATCGAAGTAAGATGACTGTCGATGGAGCGATAAGCTCTCGAAGGGTCCACCCTCTAGTAAAACACTCGGAGGAGAGTACTAATGAGAGTGTGCAGATACAGCATCCAGCTGACAGGTTGACGTGTCAGATGCGAACCACGTATGTAGTAATAGGCCGCTTCAAATGCGCGTTTCAATGACAACACCATCATCCACATTTAGTAGCACTAACATAGATCTCGAGATTGCTCCACTCTCAAGTCAATATAAACAGGATCGTTGGACGGTTGTGGTTCAGCCACAATGCATGCAATAACACCCCGCAGTGCATATTCGTGGACAATGGTCGCGATATTTCAACATACGGATCTGGTGTTAGCACGTGCTTGGTAAATTTTGTCCAAATTGGCAAAATTGTAGTTGTTACCTTTACGCTGAACGTGATTGACATGAAGTTTACGTAGAACGCGCTTGTAAAACTAAATACCGCTTTTCCGAGGCGTATGTGTAAATATCAAAATACTCAGAACAACTTGGATAAGACGAGCATTCTCGACAAGCATAAATAGTTGGCCAAGCCTTGAGGTCACATTACTCCGCTTCCCGAATGTTTATACATGCATCCTCGCCCATAGCACTGACGATAGTAACGACTAGGAATCCGTTAGCACCATAGTTGAGCAAAGATTTCAGTAACTCACAGCTAGAATCACCGTTGTCCAGACGATCCTTAACGATGAGACCAAGGTCATCTTGCGGTACAGGAACATCGTTTTTAGTATTGCCATTCATGTCCGTCAATAAAAGGTATTCGTCATCATCATCGATTCCATCCTAGAAAATCCATTAGTACACGGACGTGCTATGGAAAGCCCCCATCCAGGAGTCAAAGCATACCAGCCGATATTCTGCTCTGTGAACAACTGGAACATCCGAAGTATGAGTGCTCGGGGCAATATCCTCCAATTTTTTGCCCGTGAAGATATCAATGCCAACAAAGTGAACCTTGGCATGCCCATGCCTGCCGGTCTTAGACGTGGACATCTCAACAATCTTGCAAGGCCGACCCTTTATCATAATATGACCACCCTTCTTCATATCAGAATTGGTCATTGGAAAAGTCGCTTGTTCGACATCATTAAAATTGAGATCCTATGTTTTACTGCTTAATCAATGTGGATGCACGACCTTCAAACTGTGTGTACGTACTTCGTTGTCAGACATTGTTTGGTTTCTGATAAGATCCTATAGAGTATGATAGGTTTGCTCTGATAGTGAGGAATATGTGAGTGAGGATGGGGGAAGAGTACAGTAGTATTGTGGATGGGAGAAGGTAAATGAGCAGCAGGGCTGGATGCTAGATAAATAGCTGATATAAGCCCCACACAGCTGAAGGATCGACATGATGTTTCCCAATGGTACCGGCAGTGAGGCGCTTCATGACGTAGAAGGGGCAGAAGAACTGGGGGTTTAACTCCACATGTTCAGCTGGGACGGATGAGATCCGACTCCTAGTTAGTATACAGCTGAAAATAATAAAATTCAATTAGGGCCAGCAACCCGAAGCAGCAGTGCGGGGCTGAAGGGAAAAGCCAATGAATAAAACACTAGTATCACAATGAGAAGTTTACTACGGAGTATGTAAAGTAGCCATTTGAAAACAGAAAAGTACATTATCACTTTAAGTGACAGAGTTCACAAGAAAATCCCCAACTGAAAAGTTATTTGGAACATTGTCTTTTCTTTTCTTTTTTTTTTTTTTTTTTTATAACCCGGCCCGTGACCGTTAAATTACCCATCTACCAAAACTAATCAGTAACGGAAAACACGCGGATTTTAAGCCACTGGCCGGATATAACCCAGGGTAGGAATCAATTACTATATGGGATACAACTTGAAGTTATACAACAATCACATGACCCAACATGACAGCGGAACGGAACAACGATGGGCCCCCAATCACGGAACGTAACCATACGCTAGGAATACGACGCTAAGAGAACATTGAAATCAGTTATCAGTCCGCCTGTCGTCGTCATACTAAAATTCCCTCTTTTTGACAGAAATCCACCAACCATCCTCTGCGTCTTTTCGCTCCGCGACCTCCGAACGAGCTCATCGTTACCCATATTAAAGCCACCGCCAAACCTCCCAAAGTCGAACTTGAAGGAAAGAAAACCGAGCATTCCACCCTCCCGCCTTGTCCGGCGGCTGAAGCTTCCCCGCGGTCTCTCGCTCCTCCCCACCTTTACTCAACATCTTGTTTCGCAACAGGTTGTATCCCCGTCACAATGCAAGCCGTCCCCGAGTCGCGACAGCAGACCTTTGAGGAAATCTACGGTCCTCCGGAGAATTTCCTCGAGATTGAGGTATGTTTATCACTATCGCTAGTGTAAATTCGGGAAAGAAAATACAAATTGTATCAATTAAATTCAATTCGGCCTTGGTCGCGCGACATACAACTTTCCCCCCACCCAACCCCAATGTCATATATAGAACAACCCCCCCCCCGGCCAACATCCTCAAAACCAATTAACCCAAATTTCCCTAGGTTCGAAACCCCCAAACCCATGGCACATCCCGGAACATGTACACCTCGTACGAAATCGTCTGTCGCACCAACATCCCCGCATTCAAGCTCAAGCACTCCGTCGTGCGCCGTCGTTACTCCGATTTCGAATATTTCCGCGATATCCTGGAGCGCGAGAGCACGAGGGTGACTATCCCGCCGCTGCCTGGGAAGGTGTTCACGAATCGGTTCAGTGACGATGTCATCGAGCACCGCAGGGAGGGGTTGCAGCGCTTCTTGCAGATTGTTGCCGGCCATCCGCTTTTGCAGACGGGGAGTAAGGTTTTGGCGAGCTTTATACAGGGTTTGTTTTTCTCCCTTTCTCCTTCTCTTTTTTTCTGTTTTCTATTAGTTTTGTTTCTACCGGTGTTGATTGTAATGCGGATTTTGCTGACTGGTGTGTGTGTGTGTGGTGTAGATCCGAACTGGGACCGCAATGCTTGGTAGAATTGGGCTGTGGGATGGTGGATCGTCATTGAAAGTGAAGGTCTTGCTCTAGCTGTGATGTTTTCAATCTTCTTTTTTTTTTACCTTCTTCAATTCTAGGCGAGTGTGTTAATCTATGACCGATGGTCTGCGGTTACACCCGTACTGTGATTTTCCTTCCTTTCTCCCTTCCTCCCCTTCTTGTCTTTGGTGCATCTCTTACGGTTACCTTGTCTGTCTGTCTTGGCGGAATTCCCACGCAAAATAGCGTTCATGTTGATGCTCGATTCTTCTTGTTTTTCTAAAGGCGAAACATGGCATTTAATATCTAGTTCTGTTCCCACTTTCGATTCTGTAGGTGCTGACGGTTTAGACAAAGATCATTGTTGGTGACTTGCTGGGTTATTTCTGCGCATGGTGTACATGATATCAATTGTATGTGAGTAGTCAAAAGCATATACCTGAAATAGGAAACGGGGCCGGGTGCTGAAGGTCAAAAGGATGGGTGTTTCTCTCGCTTGTGCTTGTACCATTACCACCGGTAGAACACGTTCCTGAGCCATATAGGGTATAGCAATGTAAGAAACTGTCGCTGGAAGTGTGTTTAAAAAAAAAAAAAAAAAAAAAAAAAACTGGGCATCATGCCGCAAAGTAAAATATTCGAAAGAATTTACATGAAAAACATTAAGGAAATCCTGGGATGTGCCTGCCCCATAGCTGAGATCATGTTAGCAAAAGGGAGTGTGTGTGCGAGAAAGTTTCAAGTTGCGTTGCAGTCATGCCAATTCATCCCACACCATTGGGGCAAGAGTATTATCTGCCCAAGATGGGTCCACGCCTGATGGATTGGCAGCATTTTCATCCAACGGGAAGGAAAACACGGCTGTCGAAGGTGCAACTGCCATGCTTTCGAGAGGAAGGCCCGGCGGTGGAGCAGGAGGAGAGAGTGCAGGATCAATGGGTCCTAATGCGGACTGCTCAGAGTTATCTGACTTGCCATTTTGACTGCTGGGAGGTGGTTTGGTAGGTTGCAAGTTCCGCTTGCTACCGGACGCCCTGTCCTTTCCATCTTTGAGACCGGATACCTCGGATTGATTGAACGAGTTACCGCTGACAGACCCGCCGTCACGGTACGCGTGGGGAAATTTGGTCCTAAACCGGTCTCGCAGATCGGTTGCTCTACGATGGCCGAGGTTCAATCGCTTGTCTTGTTGGATTAGTGTCCACTGAAAACCGTGTACCGCATAGCCTTTCAGCAGAGCTTCATCTTCTGCGACAGTGAATGGACGGCGAGACCGACGGCGGGACTTCATGGTGAAATGTGGCTCAGGGATGCCAAGAGATGCTAAGGTAGACTTGGATTTGCTAGAAAGAGTAGGCCCGGTTTTCGCCGAGGCCTGTTTAGCTTGAGGAATCGAGCTTTTAGGCTCAGATTCTTTGGTCGGGGTACTGCTGGAAGCCAAAGACTCCTGAGAGCTGCCAGCTGAGATACCTCCGGGCGGCGTCTCTGAGGCAGGCCATGGGTGTGGAAGGCGAATCTTCCCCGGGGCGCCGTCGGTACCCTCTGTTTCGGCCCGTGAGAGTGCATCGGCCAGGGTATCACGAAGTTTCTTCGTAGCCTCATTGGGGTCGGCGGCACTTCGAAAGATTAGAAGGCAAAGCCAGGGAAAACAATAGCAACAATAACCCACCGATAAGCCCAAGGACAGCAGACGCGAAATCTATTCTCCTGTCAGTCCACATTTTCTCAGCAGGGTCACCACCAGTGCCATACCTATCCTTTAGGTTTGAAGCACTCCGCTTGTTGAACTTAAGCTCTGGTTGCGCCAATATCGCAGTCCAGTTGCCAATCCCACACTTGACCACGCCACGCAACAGAGCAGTTGTTTCCTCCTCGGTCCATTTACGAAGATTCTTGCGGGAGCGCCCTCTTGTCTTGGGGGACAGCGGCTCCTTTTCTTCCACACGGGGTTGGGCCTCTTTGTCAATCAGCAAATTACCTTTCTCGTATCCTATCTGATCAACGCTCGCATCATCGAAGAGACCACTTTCTATATTGGTCTGTTCGTCATCCACAGTGTTTTCACCCACAGGGGAAGCCAGAATCTCATGGATCCTGCCCTCTATCCTCTCCACACTTTGGCTCTCAACAATTGTATTGGCAGTCAACAGAGCGGGTTCCACAAAGGAAGTACCTCGTGAGGGTTTGGTCAGCAGCTGCGTGATGGAACCGGCTTCGATCGGAGGGAGAAGAGCGGCATTGGGCGGTGGTTCGTTCAGGCCATTAAGAATAGCAAAAGGCCCGAATGGCGGCGGTCGTGGTTCCTTGTGCGCCTGCGGAATTGGCAGCTGTAGATGTTCTCCAAAGGAATCCGCCTGGACCTCTAACCGTCGGCGCTTGCGAGCATGAGAGTCGTCGTCGAATGAAGAATAAGGGAATCGCTCCAGAGCACGGAGGTTGACAAATTCCGGGAGAATGGGCTTGGGAGGAGGCTGTAAGCTTGAGACCGCATCTACTGTATGGTCATTTTTCTTTGCACGCGCCGCGTTGACGCTCTCTGTGAGCCCACCGGAGTCGTTGCGGCCAGGCAGCACTCCAGCTGAATTGTTGCTCTTCGGGATGGAATTTGACTCTCGAACTCCACTCGCATTGGGTTCAAGCGGCGAGGGGATGCTGAGGATGCGGGAGACTGGTTGGCGGAGAGGTGCAATGCGGAGGCTTTGCAGTTGGGGTAATTCACGGGTAAGGGATTCATCGAAAGACCGGGCAAAGTTGCCGTTGGAGTCCATTGTTCGCACTCACACCATCGGGAGTTAGTAGTCAAGATATCATTCAGTATTAGTCAGCCCTATAGAATTGCTCGAGTTGATTACACAGGCCATTTTGTCTCAGTAACTTGGTACATGCCGAGCTGGGGTTTGAAGTTCTTGTTGATAGATATGAGGAGATAAGAAAAAAACGGGTTAAGGTGATGATGACGATGGCGTGTGTAGTGTATTAATTGAGATTTGAACTTATCGCCCCGTATTCCGAACCAGAACCAATTCTAGATGGCACGTGCACGGCTGACTGAGCATTGGCCCCCACGCCTGATGGAGCCGGGATTTCCTAAAAAGGAAGTTTAATTTGCCAACCTCTCCGGCAATGGTTGCGGAAAACAACCCATGTCCATCCCTGGGAATTTACTTCCATCTTTCTTCTTGGACATTGTGCAGCTGCAGTTTAGTCTGGGAACTAGTAGTCTGCTTAAGCTTTCCCATACCATTGGGTCCATGTTCATATCGGGCCCCCCAGCTGTGCCCACCCAACCTTTTCTTTGTTCTTCCTCTGTATAAATACCCTCACCATATCACCTTCCTTTCAAAGCAACCAACCGTTCCCTTCTGAAAACACTGATATAAGTAACACACATATATTCACTTCTATATATATCAGAAAGAAAAACCACATCAATACCGTCACCATGGGTGTCGACGTTCCCTTCTGGCCGCACTTTCTTTTCAGGGTCTTTGAGCCTTTATCCTGGTACGCACAGCAAACTAAACGCGTTTTACAGCTATCGATCTGAAAACAAAGACCTCCAAATAACCATATTCACAGCTTCGGCGGCTATATATTCCCCCTCCTAGATCTTAACAAGTTCATCGTGGACTCAACACCAAACGTCCCACCGCCAGAGACCATCCATCCAAGCAGCGTCGTCCTAGCCGGCCAACTAGGAAACATCTACGCAGTGCTCGGCCTCCTAAGCTTCCTCATCCACCACAACACTAACGACCCCAAAGTCTTCCGCAACTACATCCTCGCCTACGTCTTCAGCGACATCAACCATCTCTATGCCACCTACCGCGGCGTGGGCTGGGACACCTTCGTCGATCCCTGGGCGTGGCAGAATCTCCTCACCTGGGGCAACATTGGTATGACGGTTTTTATGTTCGTGAACCGTATCCTGTTCCTCCTTGGGGTCTTCGGAAATGCCAAGGCCTCTGAGACCCATCGGAAGAGGAGCTGAGCCGGCGCAGCACAGCCGACGAGGACGACGCAACCCGGCCGTGTGGGTGAGGAATCGCTGGGGTGCGGAGATTAACGCTGCGCTTTTGCTCGGCCTGGTTATTCTCTCGTGTGTTGGGTGGGGGTTGGGCCTTTCTTGGGTGGTCTATATGTTGGTGAAGGAGGGGCTGACTTGGTTATTGCTGACGTTTGGGTTAGATCAGGTGGCTGCGGAATATGCGGTTGCTACTACGGCGAGGTGCGTGTCTGTGGTTGCCTTGTATTTGTTGACTAGACGCGGCGGGTGAGTTCAGTTGGTTTTCGGATGTCATAGATGGAAGGCTTTGTCCTTTGCGACTCTCAGCACTGGTTGCGGGGAAAATGATAACGAGAAAAGAAGATCTGGCCTTGTTACATATTCTCGGGCATGGGTACATTTCTTCAATTAACGAATATTTAACGTGTGCATGAAATACATATCCAGAGCCAAAGAGATGCTTCACAAACTAACAGATAACTCGCTGAGCAAGGAAAGTGGTTGCAATGCGAACCAACTATGCAGAACTAACCCCTACTTAAACCGTGAAGTTGAAATCCAGCGCCAATTTATTAAAAAATCCCGTAAACCCAAACATGCTCAATGCGAAAAATCGTGACGTATACGATTCATATCCTCGAGTTTCTCGATTATATGGAAGAAATAGATGCTATGTGTGTGTCCGGCACAGGTGGGTTCAACTAGCGCATAGCGTTGCGCATTCTCTGGAACATCTGGAGCAAGGCCGGCTGCCCTTGTTGTTGATACTCTCTAATATGCGGGATGAGACAGGGGATGCCGGGCGACGACTGGAACTGTTGTCGATAGGCAGCGTAGTTCTGATAGGGCACGATGAGAAAGAGCAAATCGGGAGGAACGATCGGGTTCAGAGCCATTGCGCCAGCAGCGCCGTTATTGCTGAAGACGGAATCGGTGATGCTATATTTCCGCAGTCCGTTGATGATGGCGGAAAACGAGTGGTAGTTTCGAATGACAAGGAGGGCCTGGGAAACAGCTCAGTTAGCCACATATTGATGCCGGTTGGGGAAACCCAAGTAAAGGCAGGCCGCCTTCGTACCTGTACACAGTCTTGAATATATGGGATCATGTCCGGCAGCGCAGTGCAGCATTCCCAGACTTCGATGCTGAGCGACTCCCACCTGCGCAGTAGTTTCGTTACCGCTGGATCCTCCGCTATCACTTGTTGCGGCGTCAGCGCGGAGAAGCTGCGCTCGTCGGCGTTCGTTAGGGTGCGAGCGAAATCTGCAGCGGATGTCGATCCTGTCAAGTCTTCATAGAGGGAGAAGTTGATATCAAAGGGTTGGATCCAATCCATCGTCCGGGCGTGCACATATTGTCGTTCAAAGCGGACTCTCAGGACGGAAAGGACTTTTAATATCGACGTCAAGCTGGGCGGGAGCTCTTTGAACAAACCTTGAATCGGATCCGCTATGAATTCGAAGCCCGGTGTGGCGCTCGGCATCTCATAGTTTCCTCCCGATTGCACTGTGAGCAGGCAATGAAACAAGGCGCGGTGAGCAAATGGGCTTCGATTTCGAAGATGCTTCACCGGCACGTTAGCTATCTGTTGCGAATATCAAGCACAAGGGAAACGGGCCACTTTACCTGTTCAACCTTGGTGTACCTCACTATCTCCTCGGGGAAGGTATTGAAGTAATTCAACAGATGGATGTACAGTGCGGTATGCTGCTGTAAAAACCATTCGACCGCGATCGCAGGGTAACCCAAGGAGTAGCGGACCAGCTCTTCGAAGGGAATGCGGGTGAAATGCAAGTGGCTCTCAGCATCAATCGCATCCGCAATGGCAGCGGAATCCAGGTCCCGGGTCACTTGAGGCGGGAACCAACTCCAAGCGACGAGTGATGGGGTGTTTGTTTTGCACCTGCGAATGATCTCCTCGACCTTTTGGACAAATGACAGGTTGGCGATATAAGCCCTCTCCTTCGGTTGGACTAGTGTGAGCAGGAAACTGTCTACGGCAGATGCATTTCGACTTTGCAGGGAGGAACGAGGCAGGTTCTCATCTCGATACAGACCATACTGGATCACTCGTTTGATATCCTCAACGTCAAAGGCCCACAGCACGGTGGTTGCTTCATCCTCCCACCATCGGTATGTCACGAAGAACGGAGGTATCTCCGCACTTGACTGGAACAGCGATGGGTAGCTCGACTGTGCCGGCATCGACATCGCACTCATCGACTCATCCATCGCACGAAGGCGTGGAACCCCCGTCATGCAACCAATCTCTGGCAACGAAAAGAAGGCCTCAGGTGGTGACAGATGGAAGCCTACCACTGTATCCTGATTCGGGATAGACATCTCAGCAAAATGACAAACGACAGTTCCCACAGTGGACCGACTATTGGGCAGCTAGTGTCCATACCTTCTTATCCGTGCTTTAATTACTTTAGTTAGGCCGTCAGGGCGTACAAACAGCTAAGCGACTTCCGAAACGAGGCGCCTGTTTCCGCCACCCAACTGAGACCTAGACGATTAAGCGAATACTGAAGGCGTACGAGTATATGTTGGACCAACTGGGGCACAATCTGGCGTGATATGGAACAGGAAGACAGCAAGACTATAGTATAGGTATGGTGATAGTTGAAATAGAGAACGTCCAGAAGCGGGTCAAGAGTCAAAAGAGCCCCTGCAGGCTGACTGAATCCTCTTAGGTAGATAACGAGGGGATATCTGGAACAGACAGACTGTAGTGGGAAATGAGGGTCCGGGCACTTGGCCTTTTATTGCACCAGTTCGGAGTATTCGCCTGCGTTTTCTTCCTTGTCTTTTTTTTTGGTATTTTTTATTTATTTATTTATATATTTTTTTTCTTTTACCTGGCCTAAATTTTTCTTATGGTCCCCAATCTCAACAGCAGATTCTGCAGTCTTGCCACGTTCAACTCACGAGGGAACTAGAAGGACCTAATGCTTGTAGTGGCTTCACATCTGAGCATGACGGGAAGTGGCGCATCATAAAATCCAAAGAAACGAAGAAGGGGGCTGATCTGTTCCAAACCGCTGGGTCTCCCGGAATCCAGGTTAGGCCCAGAAACGGGGATTGGCCATAGAGGACTAGCAAAATTAAAGAAGCCTGAAAGTAAGGAAAGTCTGGAGCTGCGAAGTGGGCCGGGTCGATCAATCAATCGTCATAGTCAAGAGACAATATATGTAAAGCGTTCAACGATTACAACATAGCCCCTGAGACGCCGTTTAACAAAATGATCTAAAAAGGATTCTGGGAAGATCCCAGCCACAGAAAGGTAAAAAATAAAACAGGAAAAAAAAAAGCGAGAAAATAAAACAAATGGAACCCCCAGAATAATAAGAAAAACAGAGAAGGGGGGAAAAAAAAAAAAAAAAAAAAGGGAAAGAAAAAGAAAATAGAACTCCACACGGGCAATAAAAAGTCACCATTTATCCATCATACTAGCGTAAAAATTTTTTTAGACTGGTTCAGAAGGGTAAGAGTAATGAGAGAGCAATAATAGAAGCCAGCGGCGGCCATCCGTTCAACAATTGGAATGCATTGAAGAGAAGCGGTCAGCAACATTGCATGGGGTCGAATAAGATGCATTAGCCATTCTTTTCTGGAAGATTCACCCGTACTGGATGTGGTTCAATCGTTCAGTCGACATGTAATGTGTTAAGCCGGAGCAACTAGTGACTGTAACTGTAGCGGTGAAGTCGACTTTCTGGACGGAAAGCTCGGGATCTGGCAGGGGAGGACTGTATGAGGATAGTCATAATTCTGATGATAATGGCCGTGATAGACGGGCGTAGCATCATCCTGCCTTGAATTGACCTTCATCGACCAGTAATTTAGATCGCCACTTTTCTCTCTCCCTCTCCCTCTCTCTCAGCTCCATGGCACCCTGCATGAGGATACACGCTAGAAACTGTCTATGGAGCACGGTGGAACAAAGGAACTGCTAGCGGACACTCCTGATCCAGTAACTAAGTTGGTCGCTCGTCTCGTTCTTTTTCGTTTATTGCCCATGGGGCCATATTTCTCTACCTCGTGAAGGGTATCGTCGATGCTCAAAGGCTATAAATGTCGATCCGATTTGGTTCTCCAACGCCGCGCGACACTATGGGGCAGCGGTTTCTCTGTTGTACTCACGCCCTGAGCCATTATTCCTCTTAGAGGAAATGAAGAAGAGAAAATTTTCAAAGTGTAATTAGCGGACCGTTATGGCAAGGTACACGAAAGGATTCATCATTGGGCATGACAGTTGTACTGATACGTACGTACTCCGTAGTACTATGTTGTACTACGACGGACTACCTGGTGGGGACATTGAAAAAAAAAGAATTCACGGCTGTAGCCGGCCGTCGAAAAATAACGGCCAGTCCATTATGCTGTGATCAACCGAACTCAACCCTGGCTAATTGTAGAAACTCCCATTGGTTGTCCTGGTCCGCATCTGCCGATGAGTTTTCCATGGTACATACGGAGTACACGGTGCTAGACTAGACCAAGTTGAGCTGATAGATATTGTTGTCCCTGTGGCGTGGTGGAAATGAAGCGAGTCGGAGTTCCCGCCCAGTGTATATGGGCAATTACCCTCATTGGAACGGCGCTTCGTTTTTTATTTTTATTTTCTCAATTGCGCCGTTTGTTTTTTTTTTTTTTTTTTTTTTTTTTTTTTTTTTTTTTTTTTTGTGTGTGTTGGTGTCCATGTTAAGACCCCCCAGGTCATTTGTAAAACGTGAGACTCAATCATCTTTCGGAAATCAAGGATGGCGCGCGTTGGCTTGCATGGACCGCTCCAAGGCTCTCTCCACGTCGAACTACAGGTAGAAAATTCACCGACCACACAGAAGAGAATGGTGAACGCCCCAGACAACATGGAGAGCTGAAAGAGAAGACAAGGTAGCAGCAATAAGACCCGCTCTGCTGGGAAAAGAATGAAAGCTGGCGTTCAATTTGCCCCAAGCCTGTGTGTCAGTTTCTTTCTTTCCTGATATTGCCAGAAACAAAGGTAGTGGATATTAATATCAGCCACTATGTACATACAATGAGAAGTCGAGTCCGTGAGTTGCAGTAGTCTCGTGAGCTGTTCGCTTCTTTCGGCACCCCCTCCAAAAAATGATTCAGTATATACCGAGTGTCACGTTCCTTACATGGCTTGCTATTATGAGCTTGCATCTTGAGAAAGGCATGCTTAAAAAAGAAAAAGAAAAAGAAAGAACAGTTGTCAGTTAACGGACTTGCTTTTGCTTGCTGTAGTACATACTACCTACATAACATTTGCATTCGAAAGAAGGTGTGGCGTTGGGGTCTAAGACGTTCTTTTCCTCAAACAATAGTCTAATTTTTATTTTTATATGTTTGTTTTCTTTTTCACAGTCCCTGGTGCTTCCCTCATAACTGTAGTTCTGAATTGAACGGCCCACACATGCACTATTCCGTACACAACCCTAGGTACTATACTCTATTGCAGCTTGTCTGCCGGAGATAATGAAGCAGATTGGCCCATCACTCGTGACGTGCATAGAAATATATATCCCGATTCCTGTAGCGGTCCCGCGGTACATAAACTAAGTCAATTTAATTATTTGTACAAAGTATGTGAGCACTCCATTCATCTCCACCCGATAGTCACGCATCTCAACATGGCAAGAGATCATCCGCATGCGGACCACCTCAGACCGCGAGTCTCTGCTGAAAAAGGGAACACACACGAACTGTTAGGAAGGCACTCTAAAGTTAGGAACAGGGATAGTGGTACAGGATGCAAGGCCACTGCTGGTTCCCTTCCTGAAATGATGAGAGAGTAACTCCGTCATGTCGGTATCCATCTGGATAGTCCCGTCTAGATTTCAAACTCAATCCCCAAAATCAAGCTTCAAAGAGTTGCCTATCCCCCCGATAGGGTAAAATTCTTTATTTGTTCCCCCTTTGTTCAAAGGCCGCGATTTCCCCGTACCTCGATGCCCCCTGATGATTGGTTTCCGATCCTTCAATCCCAACGGGGACACCAAATGGAAGTAAGATCGGCTCCAACAATGACTTGTCACCTCCGTCCAACGCACCCGAGCCAAGGCTTAAGACCGTCGCATGGGGCTTGCGCTTTAGCCGGGTGATTCTTCTCTCCTGCTGCATGGTCAGCGCGCTTACGTCGCTATGATAATGCCGAGGATCGGTCTCCACGGAGGGTATGGTAGGTGCCGCTACTGAAAAGGCATTTAGGGCAACGACGGAGTAGGACGGGAGCGGTGCATGACGGAGAAGGAAGGATGCGTACGGATCCTGCAGAGAATTCGACGTGTTCCACTCCCACTTGTGCCCCTTTCGTATAGATCCAGGTATCTTTGCGACTCTACCCACCGTAGTGGGTGTAATGAACGGACGCTAATTGGTGATACAGGCGTTTGCTCAGTTCACCTGTGGTGCTTTTATCTAATCAGTCCCACTCAGATTTGGAGATTGAGTTGGAGGGATTTACGTGTGAATCATGTCAATGTGAGAGGTAAAGTGGCGATCGGTCAAACCAGATTCCGTTACCTAAAAGGTGTTGACATCCACCAGAGCGCGACGGGCCTCTCCGTCCCATTCGGACTATTCCTTGTGAACCATTATCTAGAGGGTCCATATCGCGGAAAGATACAGAGTCAAAAGACGGTAATATCTACATTGGACGAATACTCGAGCGGGGTATCAAATGTCAGGTCATTTCAGAACAAGACTAATTAAGAGGTATCATATCAAACGAGACGGCAGTCCCTGTTTTGCTTGCTATGGCTTGACCCTACGGAACATGGATATGGAAACTACCAAGCCCCATTATGCGTCCTGTAGACAACTTTTTTTTTCTTCCTAGAAACGCATCATAGAATCATAACCGGCGTCATACAGGCCCACAAAGCAAGACAAGATGTCGTCTCTAGCGGATTTTTCAAGTCTTTTGATTTTGCTGCAGTGTCTAATGTCACCTACCAGGATACATTTAGTTGGCAATGGCAGCAGCACGGCGGCGGTCACGCTCCTCAGCGATGGAGAGCTGTATGATGCGTTAGTATCTTCCGTTGTATAGAATACGTGGAACGGATAGCAAACATACCTTGACACCCTTGCCCTTGGGGAGGGAGATCCAGGGCTTCTCCTGGCCGATGACGAAGACGTTGGTCTCACGGGTGGCGAAGGTGTTGTCAACAGCATCCTTGACGTGGACAATGTTGAAACCTCCGTCGTGGCGCTCACGGTGAGTGATGACACCAACACGACCCATGTTACGACCACCGGTAACCATGATGACAACACCAGTGTCGAAGCGGGCGAAGTCAGTGATCTTGCCAGTGGCAATGTCAACCTTCACGGTGTCGTTGACCTTGATGGCAGGGTCGGGGTAGCGGATGCTGTGATTACAGTTGTTAGCATATACAGTTCTACAATTCGATCCTCACTGATCGCCAGCAAGTCGTAATATAATTTCGAAGTTCTTTCGTCCTCCGCCGATCAACCAAAGCTTGGTCCAACGACTGATGGACGCGGAACTTGTGGAGAGTATGCACTCACGTTCTCGCATCGTGCGTAACCAAGAATGGGATCCCGCCCTTGCCGAGCTGAACACGCTTAACCTTGCACAGCTTGTATTCGGCCTCCTCAGCCTGGATACGGTGGACGGTGAAACGGCCCTTGGTGTCGTAGATGAGACGGAAGTTCTCGCCGGTCTTCTCGATGCCGATGACGTCCATGAAGCCAGCGGGGAAGGTAGGGTCAGTGCGGACCTTGCCGTCGACCTGGATGAGACGCTGCATCATGATGGCCTTAACCTCACGGCCGTTCAGGGCGTACTTGAGACGGTTACGGATGAACACGATGAGGGGAAGGCAGTCGCGGAGCTTGTGAGGACCGGGGGAGGCCTTGGGAGCATAGGTTCCGGACATTTTGTCCAGGAGCCAGTGCGAAGGCGCACTAAGGCGCTTCTGGTGCTTGGTACTGTAGACATCGCTGTCAGTGTCGAGTTTCCTTTGATTCTGCTATCCAACGGTGACCATCGAGCCCCTTTCAAACGTAGTTTTTCCAGGACTGGTGCGCTCATCGTAAATCTCAATGGAAAATATCTGCAATGGTATACTCACGGTCCGCGAGGCATCTTGACTGCTTTGTCGACTTGAACCCGGTTAGTTGTCGAAGTGTCCGAAGGAGAAAAACCAGACGAAGCCGAAAGTTGTCGAGTGATATCCGATCCACTACGAAAACTCGCTTAGTGGAGTTTGTGCTTGTCCTGATTAGGATAATTAGGGCTAGGGTGTATAATTCGACGCTAGTCCTGATCTAGGCCCGCTCCTTTTGCTCCACCCTAGTCAATGATTACATAATACCAGAACAGGGGTAACTAAATACTAGTTAACTTTGTACTAGTATTGATCTCATACATCATCATCTACTGGGAAGTATAGACTACCTCCTGCTTAGAGTGGTATCGAACGCCTTGTAATTACCTATGTACTCTAATCTAAACTTGCTTTGTTAATTTCAGATGTATCCCTTCAGGACTGCAATCTCAGCATTGATGATCGAGGATCCAGCGGCTCCAATAACCGTGTTGTGAGAGAGAGCAGCAAAGCGGAGGTCAAAGTAGCCTCCCTGGGCGCCTTCACGCACCCGACCCACGCTAACAGTGTATCCGCCGCAGATGTCTCTGTCGAGTCTTGGTTGCGGCCTGTCCGCCTCGTCGAATACCCTAATCGCCTCCTTAGGGGCAGAAGGAGCCCCAAGTTTCTGCGCTTCGGACTGGTATTCCCTCAGCGCCTGCACGACCTGTTCGGCGCTGGGTGCTGGGCGGTTCTTGAATCTCAGCGAAACAAACGCCATATGACCGTCGGTAACGTGGACCCGAGTGCAAGTGGCTCCAACTCGAAGCCCAGCCTGCTCCTCGAAGGCGGTAGCATCTGCATTCAGAGAACCCAAGATCTTCTGAGCCTCGTTCTCGAGCTTGTCTTCTTCGCCGCTAATGAAAGGGATAACGTTATCCAGGATGTCCATGCTGGGCACACCGGGGTAGCCAGCACCCGACAAGGCCTGCTCAGTAAAGACTTCGACCTCTTCAACAGGGCCAAACTTGGCCTGGAGAGCTGCGAAAGGGATGACGATACCAATGACCGCGCAGTTGGAGTTGCACACAAGGAAGCCCTTCTTCAAACCGAATTCTTTCCTTTGGTGAGGGATCAAATCGAAGTGATGAGGGTTGACTGTTGGCACAACGAGGGGGACCAAGGGATGCTTGCGATAGTTCTTTGCGTTCGAAAACACGGGGATCTCGGCCTTGATGAACTCCATTTCTGGAGAGATGCTGGTTAGCAATAGCCTTTTCAAATAAGGGGATCCCACATACCAACTTCACCCGCAATATCGCTGTTCAAACCAGAGAACACAAGATCACAGTCGGCGAATTGAGAGGCTTTGCAATCCCGGAGAACAAGGTTGCTGAGCTTCTCAGACATAGCCGTAGTCTGCTTCCATCTTACGGCGTCCTTGTAGGCCTTGCCGGCTGAGCGCTCTGATGCACCGACGGCATGAAGCTCCAGAAAAGGGTGATCGGCGAGCAACAGGATAAATCTCTGGCCCACAGAGCCTGTGGCACCGAGGACACCTATTTATCATCAACACGGTATTCCATAACAAAACATGAGCTAATTCCTCGTACCGCACTTCTTCTTAGGAGACGATGCCATCTTGATCGAAAACAGATGAGTCAAAGTGCCGACCTAGCGTTACTAATAAGCTAATAACTTCAAGGGATTATTATAGAGATCATCAATGGTTCCAAATAATTGGGAAAGCAACCATTGATGTCCATTATAAACGAATTACTCACCGGCTTAACTATGAAAGAGGGGCTTAAAGAAAGATGCTCGTGGTATGACTGCGATATCGCTCCGGAATTAGTCACTTGCCACAAGATGAGTCAGCCCCCGCCCTAGCCTAAAAACAGTAGATCGATTTTTCTCTTCATTGCCATTGGTTAGACAGTCTATCTAGTCCAACCCAATTACTGGTAGTACAGGGGGGAGGCTTTTTTATTCCCTTCTATTTATACTAACTACTAGTACTTAGTACAGTACTCGACGATCTCACCTATGTACATATTTCGCCCATCAAGTATTCTATTCTAATGACTTTTATCTGGGAAGTTTGCGCACGTTGCCGTCGCGAATCATGATTCATCCTCATAGTCAAAGATCTTGCCAGGGTTCAAGAGCCAGTGCGGGTCAAGAGCTTTTTTGAAGCTGCGCATAACATCAATGGTCTCTGGGCCAAGCTCCTTCTGAAGGGATTTCTTCTTGCCCAGCCCAACACCGTGTTCGCCCTACTTTGATGTCAGTCGTACGCATCCGTCGTGAATAGGCAGGGGATACGTTACAGTGCAAGAGCCCTCCATCTCAAGAGCACGATCAACCATATCGTAGACAAACTTCTCCACACGTTCTGTTTCCTCTGAATCCTTGCGATTGTAGAGAATACATGTGTGGAAATTTCCGTCCCCGATATGGCCGAGAACACTTGCGAAGATCCCAAGATCGTCCAATTCCTTTTTCGTGGTTTCTGCTGTCTTTAGCATATGATAAGAAAGCCTTCTTTACGCAAGGACATACCAATAATATCAGGGAGTCTCGAAATCGGCACAGATACATCAGTAGACCATACTTGCGAGCCTTCCTTTTTTAAAGCTAGCATGCTCCACAACGACTGTTTTCGCGCCGACCATAAATCATGCGCCTCTCGCTCATCTCGGGCAAATTCAAAGGAGTCGGCATGGTTCTTTTTCGCCAGGTCCCTGGTTAAGTTAACGCTGTCGAGAACGCCAGCACTTGTGCCAGAGAACTTGAAAAACAACGAGGGTAGCGTTTTCCAACTCCGCCCCGTGCCGCCAGCACGGTTGATAACGTCCATCTGAACATCGTCCAGAATTTCCATACATTGTACAGGGATCCCTTTTCGTATCAGCAGCATGGCAGTAGATGCAGCGTCGCGCATAGTAGGGAATGTGACGACACCGACACGAGTTTCCTCTGGGATGGGTGTCAGTTTGAGAGTCGCCTCGGTCACTATCCCAAGCGTTCCCTCAGACCCTACAAACATGCCGGTCAAGTTGTAGCCAGCAGAAGTCTTGCGCGGACGTCTGCGCGTCTTCACGATGCGTCCATCTGCCAGAACCACTGTAAGATTAATAACCCAATCTTTCATTGTGCCATACCGCACTGCATTGGTTCCACTGCAATTAGTCCCAATCATTCCACCGATCATCGCCGAGGGGCCGGGGTCAACAGGAAAGAAGAGGCCAGAGTCCTTGATTTTCTCGTTCAACTCCATCCATTGGATGGACGGTTGGACGACCACATCCATATCGTCTTCGTGAAGCTCCAGAATCTTGTTCATTGAACCAAAATCGATTGTTAGGCCACCATGGACAGCGGAGAAATTGGCCTCAAGACTGGAACCTCCAGAATAAGGAATCATTGGCATTTTGTATTTGTGACAAATTTTGGCAATCTCCGCAACGTCCTCCGTGCTCTTCGGATACGCGATAGCAACAGGAAACCGATCTGCGTTGACACTTGACCACTCTGAGAATCCATGGACCTGAAGGTCATCCTCATCTGTGCTAATAGCCTCATCGCCCAACTTGACTCGTAATTCGGCAATGGCCTAGTTGTAGAGAAATCATTAGCCAATTGCGTCTTTTCTATACTATAGCGTACACATCGAAGAGTCAATCTATGAGTATACCCACCTTCTTAAGATCCTGTGTAGATCCATATTGGGGCTGCTTCAGACTTTCCGGCTGGGACTTATTGCTTGAGATTGCATAGGCGTAGCTGAGTCCGGCGGCCAGTGCAGAGACAAGAAGCGTTCGACTCGCGGTCCAGGAATTGGATGAACCAGTACTAATCGGCTCGGATTTCGCAGCATCACCACGTTTTTCACGGTCATTGCCGCTCGAGGTCGAGCTATTTAACCGCGCGATCCTTGAGCTTTGGCAGACTTTGGGCTGTGGGAGTGTGGGTCGGCGATGGAGTACGCGGGGATTTGTGGGGAAACCCCGTGGTAGGCGGGAAAGTGATCGCATGCCTCACAATTGAAGTAGGAAACAACCACGGATATGGGAATATGAAAAGCTGGAGGGTGCCAAATTTTCAGGATAAATTTCCATTGCCATGTCTCGGTGAGGTGCTATGACAGCTTTATACGCCGTGCCTGACTACCCGCTCTTCATGCGGTAAGCTCATACGCCATCGACACTAATAATGAGGAGTTGCATCGGATATCGACCGAGTTGGGGTAGTAAGCAAAGGACTTGTATTTATGGCTGAGGCCTGTAAGGACCCATTGCTAACTCGGTTATCATCCTTCATGATCCTTGAAACCCTCGGAGTCAAGTCCGATAAGCGCGGAATTCATCCCACCCTCGAATGCTTGGCAGGTACAGTGTGATAAAAAAGATCAATCAAATGGAACCCCACATGTAGGCACATGCCCAGTGGCAAGTTGTCCTCACCATCTGAAGTAATCTGGGATAAACCGCTTAATTAAGAAGATTATGAACTTGGGGGTACTTTGAGAATTATGGACAGGTAAAATCCGTGGGGGTATATTAACTACTGCCTCGTGACTCCATAAGTCAATACCGGAAAAAGTACAATGTACTAGAATCGCTGGTTTTATTAGTCCTTGAATGTTTTAGCACTTCATCTTTTTTTTTTTTTTTCTTCTTCTAAGAAGAAAATTTCCCTTTATCCTAAAGGACGTACTCCAAGTAGTGTGCCAACTGATGGACAGTACTATATCGGATTAGATAGTTGGCGGGGCAACGGCACCGTACACACATTCATCGTTTTCCTTCTCTCTCCACTTAACATGCTGGGCGGAGTGTTCCGGAATCAGATAAACGACCTCGTGGTTGACCAGAATAGACCAAGATACCCACCGACGGCTAACCCCATGGGAAAATAGCTTGAATAATGCAAGACTGTGCCGATCTCGTTTGGCGCGAGGTGGAGCGCCTCATCACAGCTCCATATGCACCCTCCCTCCAGGTACAGCGGGCCTCGTACACTATACTTGTAAACCCTAGTCACGTTGGCTAATACCATTCCAGGGCCTCTATGACTTGGCTCAACATACACCTAATGTGTCACTCCGCTCCTGGGCTTCCCATAAGCCGTGCCAGGTTGGACCCCTGGTTGATGCTTTGATAGACGGCCTGTCTCGCTCCAGCCTCGCTTTGCATTTGATTAGCCCATTCAGTAAGCGCTTTCTGTGTGGTTGACCTACCAGAAGTATGCTCACACCTCGTAGCATCACTAGCTGCTTTTCGCGATAGCTTACTGGAACGTTATCCATATATTTTGGACCAATTCCTCCAGAAGGCCATGGAAGATGATGGCACAGAGGTCAGTCTCCCTTTCAATCCCTTGAACTGATAACCAATCAGTTAGATCGGACCTTTGCATGTTCTACTTTCAATTCGCTGACTGGAGTAGTATATACCCGTATGCATTGCAATCTTGTCGTCTCCTCTTCCGGCTGATTTTATCCCACCCGCGCGGCTTGCGCCCTTCCTCAAGCAATTAATTAGCACAATAGGAGACAATCCTTGCGCGGAAACGATTCTTCCAATTTACAAGATCATGACCGGCTTGCAGACCTCACCAAGTGTTCTCCACAGCATCCCCTCGGAGGTCATGTCCAACCTCCAAATAGAGCTCACTAAAACGCTGCGCAATCTGGATGACCATATGGGCAACCTCCTCTGTCTCGCTACCTTTGCTCGTATCGCATCTTCTCAGAAGGTGTCTAGAGGTAATGAGAGCGCACAGCAAGTTCCTGGCTGGCTACAGAACATTAAACATTTCTTTGGTGCAAAGCGCGGCCTAAAAACCTTAGATCTCGTTGTTCTGCGCGTAATCCTTGCTTGCTCAACGAGCTGTCAAAGTCTGATGACCGATCAGGCTGTGGAAAGTATCAAACTAGGAATTGAGATATGCGCGACCGTGGAGGGAAGTCAGCGAGAGCCTTGGATACAGACAAACTCGTCCAAGATTGCGAAGCTTTGCGAGAAAGTCACGAGGGATAATATTGACCCTGCAGTACAGATGCTGGTACGTATTGAGACACAAAAACGGAGTATCGAAGACCGTTCACAATTAACTATCCTTGTAGGGTATAACATTCTTGGTTTACCTCCTCCCAACGGCCACCTTGCCCTCTGGATTGCCTGAAGTTGCTTTGCACTGGCTCTTGTCAGAGAACAGCACACGCATACTGGCAGCACTACCCCAGGAATATATTTCACGGTTAGCAGAGACGAGTGTGGTAAGTCGAAGCAATGCGCCTGTAGAAAACAAAACTAAGTTCTTTAAGCTCTGTCCAGGGCAGACTGCGATATGTAGGATCATAGATTATGTGATTGCCGCATTAAGCCCCAGGTACTCCGCGGATGCTGCTAATGTGGATACTATCCGAGTGGCACAATCACTTGTGATCGGATTACAAAATGTGGCCTCACAAGGCTTCGGCTCTACAGCAGCGGAGGCTACTTTAACACGGCTTAAGGGACCCATCAACGAGCTGATCGAAAGCTTTCCGAGACGGCCTTACTTGGCATCGTGCCAGAACTCCACTATATGCTACACATTCGTTTCACAGTCAGAGAACGAATTGCTCTACGAGCTGTTCTCATTATATTTTCAGGCTTCACTTTCACCAAGTCCAGATCAAGAAGCCTCCCACTTGACCCACATCGATTCTTTTCGGGCGCTCATGTTCAAAGCCAAGAAGCCCATGTGCCGCAATGCATGTTCATTTTCCGAAATTAAGCCTCTTGAACTTAGGGTAACAGCCACAGCTCTGACATTCCGTGATGAACGTCCTAATTCAAGAAATGACTGGAGAGCTGGATTATCAGAGACCCTCATGTTAAGCGCACGCACAACCCATAACAGCATGATGCAAAAAGTGGAGGAAATATGCCATGATATGGAACGCCGTTGTGCCAGTATTGAAGCTCCCTTAAGGGCTGTCGAAGAAGAGCGACACAAGATATCGCTCGAAGCACAGGAAGTAAAAAAACACAATAACGAGTTGACATTACAGTTGCAGCAAGCATCGAGGACAATTAATGAGCTGCAACAAAATGTGTCCCGTCTCGAAGCTCATGCTGAAACTGCGTCTGCTCGTATTCAGGAGTTGACAGCAAGCCTTGATGCGGCACGAGGAGAGCTAGAGGATCAGCGGCGTGACTCCCAAGAGGCCGCCAATCGGGACCGACAAAACGCAAGAACCAGAGAGCTGGATTTGATTGCCTCTGTAGCAGAAAAGGAGGAGCAGCTAGAGCAGTTACAGGAAGACGCCCATCGAAAGATGGAAGAGAGTGATCGGCTACAGCAAATGCTTGACGCTAGGTCAAAGGAGAGAGACGCCGCTATTGAGCAAAGTTCGGGTTTGAAACAAGACATGGCGAAATTCCGTGACTGCATGGAGGAAAATCGGTTACTGTTAACGCGAAAAGATGAGGAGGTCGCTCGACTGCAGGCTGCCAAGGAAGATATAGAGACTTTTATGGAGACCTTACAAAGCAAGGTAGGACACTTTGGAATTACCTGAATCTATTGACAAGGTGCTGAACTTGGCCTACAGTTAAACGAGGAGGTTTCGGAATCCGATAATATTAGGTCCGCCCTCCGTGAAGCTGAACTGAATTTCAAGACAGAGTTAGCTACTCTCAGGGAGCAGTTCGAGGCGCAATTGTCCGCAAGTGCTACAGAAGTAAGGCATTCGGAATTATTGTTAGATCTCGAGGAACGTTCTGACTTGCCATGCAGGGCGCGAAACAAAAAGAGGAGATCGCAACGTTACATGCTACCATGCAGGCTACTGCTTCTACCGCCTCTAAAGAGCTGCAAACGAAAGAGAAGAGAATACAGTACTTGGAAAAGAAGGTATGGAAAAGGATACCTCTCGGGCTGTATTGATTTATTTCTCGTTTTTGCTCCTTCAACTAACTCTGACTACGATATAGGTGCAACATCTACGAGATGAGCGAGCAGCCAAAGCACGTGAATTTTCTGAGGCCCAGCAGCATATCACTCGACTGATGGCTGTGATGGGCTGGAAGCCCGACCCTGCAAATACGCCAACCTCGGCCAAACAATCGCGGTCCAGATCAACGTTGGGGCCATCGCAAGCGGAAGTGACACAACAGCAAACGCGTCCCGAGAATGAATATTCGCAGCCGCAAGCCGATAACAATCTTGCCCAGTCTTTTGAGACTGACACGTCCCATGCTGGCGGGCGTAGTCCTAAGAGATCTAGGATCACCGCTTTCCCTGTGGCTGAGTTACCAACAGAGTCCCATGACAATACGGAAAAGAAATCGAGGCATTCAATCTACGGGAGAGGTGGTACTAGGAAATCGCGTGACCGAACAGTGCTAGGAGACATGGACCAGAATAGCCAGCCCAGTTCTCAAGAAAGCAACAGGTCTAATTCCAACCGACGGGGATCTCTCAAAGACACCCAGTTTTATGGTGGCACTAGCGAGAACCATCTCCAGGATATAAACCTGGATATGGATCTGGAGTTTACGAAGGATTTCCTTTTCACCAGCACTTCTCTTTCCCAGGTCACTGATGAGCATAACCCTCAACCCCAGACCTGATGTGTGTGAGTTCCACCTCTCCGATAGGTTTTTTGACGAATAATGATACACTAAACCTGGCATGCTTTGTTTTATTTGGGGGAGGGGGATACTTTCATGTATATAGTAAATTAAGATCGAAATCACAGGTCGCTGGCATCTCCAATGATCACCTTTACAACAGCATATGTGAAGTAGCAGCTGGAAACGTTTCTAGTCTGACGATGTCTCACTAATATTGTGTATATCGATTCACTTTAGGCAGTAGTTACACTTGCAAACGTATTGATCAACACTGGTAGCTTGCAAGTCGACAGGTCAAAGGTTCAACGCCTCCAGGCCTCACTAGGGTTCTTTGGGCTATGTCTAATCCCTCTTAGATCGACTGCATTATCATGACACAACAATAAGTAGAGTTATGTAAAGATGGAAGGGGTCTTTGTTCACTTCGTGCATGGGATGTTTTTCTTTTTTCTGTCCCTGTTTTCTTTGGATTTCATTGATCTCATTAGTGTGTTTCTTTACCACATATAGTCTGCTCTTTCCTTCCTCACAAATGAAGCAAGTAAGTAAACTGGGGGAAGGGACTACTAGGGAAGTACTAATCACTGGTCATAACAAAAATTACAGAAATGCAAAAATCAACCGAGGAACCTCAGTTGAGTAAACGTGAATTTGAAAGACGGTCCAGAAAGCAAAGATTTAGAAACGGAAAGAAGCACCACAAGCGGTCTTCAACGGCGAGGCCTTCTTCTCAAACTTCCTCCAGTACAAACAAGGAGAGTGAGAACAGAAGCTCTTCGATTGCAACACACCAGACTAATGTCAGCCCCCATCGCCCGCTTACTGCTCCTGCGCGCTGCCTTCACAACACAACTGAATCTCTCCTTCACTCACATTCACATTCTTCTTCTCTTTCATCCTCTTCCACCTCATCTTCCACTTTCAACCGTCGATCATCGCGATCATTGACGACAATGTCGCATAATCGTCGTAGTAACCGCTCGAGGGACTTTGGCCGCCACGGTCAAGGCACCTCACGTCAACCTCAGAATTCATCTCGGCTACAACAACAGCCAGCCCAGTTATTACTGGCCCCATGGACATTCTGGGATACTGTGGCTGTGAACCTGTTTAACCTCCCGAGGGAAATTAACACACGTATCCTTTGGCAAGCATTCTCTAGCGAGGGCTATGTCTCTTCTATTGATCTATTCGAGGACTCTCATGGCAACAAAGACTCTAGAGGGAAAATCCGCTTCAGGTAAGGCTCACTGAGCTCTCACTGTACAGTTACTAAATGTTCTTGCGTCTCGACAGACCTCCTCCTCAAACAGACTTTTGGAGGAAGGGACTATACACCATCAAGCTTCCTAACGGTCGAGCGTCAGTCATCAACATTGCACTTGATTGGAACCGTGATGAACCCCAGATCGCTAGTCCGGTCCGTTCTGGCATCTCATACCCAGTTGAGGTTGTAGGTGTATCTCTTCCTGAATCGACTTTTCGAGGTTCTGACTTTTCATGTAGAAAATGCCAATCTTGTCTATGGATATAGGTGTCCTGTTCAACGAGACAACGATGCTTCCAATGCGCTCTGTCGGTTCTAGCGATAATGAGCGCGCCCTGCTAGTGCTCAATCTGAAGCAAAAAGCTCTCCTTGTCTACTTCCAGCTTCCCATCTTCACCCCGGGCATTAAACCCACTCCAGTCAGCAGTGTTCTTCAAGAATATCGCCTGAAGATTCCTTTCGTTCAACTAAGTCAGATTTTCCAGATGCGAGATGCTGTAACAGGAGATATATCGCATTTTATAGTGTTGGACTCGCCTCCACTCTATCATCGTCGCATCAGCAATATTGATGTAACTCATTCAGAGGAAAGCAATACATGGAGGGAGTCGGAGACTTGGTACCGGCAGACATATATCGTCCGTAATGCATTGGAGCTATCTTCCCTTCCCATCGGCCTGAAAAAGGCAAAGGCTGTGATTGATATAGGTGAGCGTCTACCTTTCCTACCGTTACTTAGGACTAGGACTGATCGGTTTCATAGGTCGTTGGAACACCTTCAAGATAACGTATCCTAGAGATGCTGATATCAAAGGGAAGCTGACTCTTCTATGCAATATCCTCAAAGACTACAACGTCACGTTTCAAGACACAGATCGGTTTACCCAGTGGGACGCGAACGTGGAGATGAATCCGTCCATTTGGAAATGGATAGATTTGTCTGACTCCCAATCATCAATGAAGACATGTTCGTTGGAAGATCTCTTCGACCACAATTTTGTTCATTTGCCCTTCCAAGTCCGCTATCAGCTTGAAGTTTGTATCTCGAACGGGTATCTTTCCGAGTTCACGATGACTCGTGAATTTGCTGTCAGATTGTCTGAACTTGGAGAGACACGAGCGGTGAAGCTCTTGGAGCACGTGTCAGCGAAGAAGCAGGTGTATTATGACCCGATGAAGATCTTCGACTTGAAGTTTATCAAAGGAGTGACTCAAGCAAAGATCCCCCCTTACTGCTGCTATATGCATTCCGCAAGAATCACCCCAAGCACCATCTATTATAACACGCCGACAGTGGATATCTCCAACCGCGTCATCAGGCGCTTTATAGAGCATGCAGATCGCTTCCTTCGAGTACGATTTACGGACGAGAAGCTGTTAGGTCGGATCAACTCCACGACTGACCGTACAATGGATGAAATATTCACTCGCATTAAGAGAGCACTGACTAATGGCATTGTGATTGGCGATAGGCGCTACGAATTCCTCGCGTTTGGGAATTCCCAATTCCGTGAGCACGGTGCCTACTTCTTCGCTCCTTTACCGAACCTCACAGCTGCCAATATCCGTGCTTGGATGGGACACTTCAATAGCATACGCAATGTTGCTAAGCATGCTGCAAGGTTAGGACAATGCTTCTCGACCACTCGGGCTATTGCTGGTTGTCCGGTGGACGTAGTTAAAATCGAGGACGTCGAACGTAACGGGTATAACTTCTCCGATGGTGTCGGGAGGATCTCGCGGTTTCTTGCACAAATGTCTATGTCGGAACTCAAGATAAAAACACCAACAGGAGAGCCTCCCTCTGCGTTTCAGTTCCGTCTAGGCGGCTGTAAGGGAATGCTTGCAGTCTCATCTGAGGCTCAGCGCCAGGAAGTACACATTCGAAAAAGCCAGGTTAAATTTGCAGCTATCCACAATGGGTTGGAAATCGTCCGCTGGTCTCAATTCTCCATGGCCACGCTGAACCGGCAGCTCATCATCGTATTGTCAACGCTAGGTATCCCGGACCAAGTATTTCATGCGAAACTCCACACCATGTTACGGGGACTCGATGAGGCATTAGAGAGCGATCCACAGGCCATCTACTGGCTCAAAAAATATGTTGATCCAAACCAGATGACCCTCACTATCAGTCAGATGGTCCTCGATGGTTTCAGAAGATCAAAAGAGCCATTTTTGACTTCTATTATGACACTGTGGAGGGCATGGCATCTAAAATACTTGAAAGAAAAGGCCAGGATTGTTGTCGATCAAGGGGCATGTCTTTTAGGTTGCATAGATGAAACAGGACTTCTCCAGGGGTACTTTCACGATAAGGTTCCGGGGAATGCTGCCTCGGTCGAAGAAAAGACTGCTGCCCTGCCTGAAATCTTCGTCCAGGTATCTCGCCCGGAAGCCGGCAAGAAGCCCGAGGTGATCCAAGGGGTCTGCACCCTAGCTCGTAACCCTTCCCTTCACCCGGGAGACATCCGTGTCGTGAGAGCAGTCAATGTTCCCCAGTTGCATCATCTTCGAGACGTAGTTGTCTTGCCGCAAACGGGCGATCGAGATGTATCAAGCATGTGCTCAGGCGGAGATTTGGACGGTGATGATTACATCGTCATCTGGGATCAGGATCTATTGCCCAAGGACTGGTTTCATGAGCCTATGAAGTATACTAGCAACAAAGCTCAGGACCTGGATAGGGACGTGACGGTCAACGACATAACCTCCTTCTTTGTCACGTACATGAAGAATGATTTCCTTCCTAGGATTGCCCATGCCCATCTTGCGTTAGCTGACTTCCTCGAAGATGGTGTCAACGAAGAGAAGTGCATCCGGCTAGCCCAGCTGCATTCCGACGCAGTCGATTACAACAAGACAGGCATCCCGGCCATGTTAACACGCAACCTTGAGCCTCGGAAGTGGCCACACTTCATGGAGAAAATACACAAGCCCAAAGACAGGATCTATCACTCAAACAAAATCCTGGGCCAGCTGTATGACGCTGTTGAGCGAATTGACTTCGCCCCCAGCCTCGAGATGCCATTTGACAAGCGACTCCTAAACTGCGAGATTGAAGTCTCTGGCGACCTTCTCACATTCGCAAAAAACCTCAAAGAACAATATGATGACGCAATGCGACGAGTTATGGCACAACACGAGATCAAAACGGAATTCGAAGTCTGGTCTACGTTTGTTCTCAGCCACGCCAACACAAGCAAGGACTACAAATTTCATGAGGAGATCGGTGCAATTTCAACTACGCTCCGCGAGACATTCCAAAAGCAATGCTACGAAAAAGTCGGAGGCCGCAATTTTGACCAGCTTACCCCTCTAGCCCTCGCCATGTACCGCGTCACCAACATGGAGATGACCGATGCGCTTAACAAGTACCGTGCTGAAAACTCAACCACAGACCACAAATTATTCCATAAGCCAACGCCCAAAATAAACCAGTTGCCTCTAATCAGCTTCCCGTGGATTTTCCCGCATATTCTAGGGAAGATCGCGCTGGGGCATTTTGAAATCCCGGGATGTCTTCCTGTTGTCGACAACGACCCCTTTGGTCTGTTCACCGATGACCTGGACCCTACCTCTCCTCTCCCCTCTCATTGTAGCATAAGCGCGACTGCCCCTATGCCTCAGAGTTTCAGCGGTGATGTTGAGTCTTTGGAGAAACTTCTTGATTTTGGGCTCTCGACCTCTGGGCCCCATGAGCTTGCTTCGTCTACTGGTGCGGCACCGTCAGATATTCCTATCGAGGCAAGTTTCAGCTTGCTGGACTTCACTGATATCCCCAAGTATAGTCAGTCCCCGAGCTGCAACCGTAGTACTGGTGGTGTGGGTGTCTTACTGGGCATTAATACTACCACTCCTGCCACACCTGTTGACACCATACAGCGCAGCGGCAGTCCCAGCGGAGGTGGCAGCACCGGCGGTGGGTGTGTTGTTCAAAGCGCGGGCGTGACCAGTAGCACACCCGACGGAGTTTCAAGCGAGAAATGGGTTGAGATAGTCGAGGAAGAGGACGATCTCAAGCCCACTGCTCTTGATAAGCTTAACGAGCTGCTAGGGTTCTGAGAAGGGCGGGAAACATAGTTGCGCACGTGAAGAAAGACTGACGGCTTCTGCATTCCAGTGAGATATGGATATTGCTAGATTCATCATCAATATAAATTATCATACTGTATGGAGGATGATATTATACAGTAATTGAGCAAATTAGTATACACGATCTTATCATGACTAGGTTCTATTCAACGCCCGTACCACCGGCTCCCAGGAAATCCGCTTATCTAGACAAAAAAAACTCCCTCTAATGACCGTTGTTAGTAGAGTGTGCGATAGCAGTCTTCCTCCCCTACTCTACCATTCTAGCTCACTCTCACTCTTACTCTGCAATAACTTGATCACGGGGTCCAAAACAGCCTTAGTATGCCTCCAATTAGCCACATGTCTAGTCCTCGAATAAAAGACAGGACAATCCTTGCTATCACACTTCACCTCATCACCAAACGGAACACCCATACAAGACCGGCATACACGCAGCAGATCAGAAACGCTCTTCTCCGTATGCTGTTGGCGAGTAACCAAATCAAGAAGAGAAATATGCGGCTGTCGCATGCACTCAGTACAGACCGGAACATCAAAATCGTCCAGCTTGGCTTTGCAGACGATACAGGTTGAAGACTTCATATATGATTCAAGGGTAGTCTTTCTGGCATCCTTGCCGGTCGAGGTTACTGTACCTTCTACCCGGCGAATGCGTTGCACTTTGGGCATTTCATCATACCATTGGCGGACGTTGGCACCCACGAGGTTGAAGATTCGCTCTAAAGGTGGGATGATGTTTTTGGTGATGTAATATTCGGCATCGAGTTCGAGTTGCGCATCGTGTAGAAGTGTCTCTGGTGGTACGCAGCGGTCGATTAATCTTGAGCCTGGGGAACCGGTTACGACGACGTAAGGAACTCGTTCTCCGTACTGGGGTTCTAGACGGGGATCTTCGAGCATTTTCTTGGTACTGATTAAGGCGCCCGGAGGAGGTAGGCCTCGCTCGCTGTACGTGCCGAGCTTTACTTCTCTAGCGAAGCAGAAGTCTTGGATGGAGACTCGTCCTTGGAGGATCTTTGTGCACTGTTTCTGGAAGTAGCGTTTTACTTGGCTTAGATCGGCCGTGCGGAAGAGAAGCTTCAGTGCCTTTTCTTCGATTTTCTGTTCGGCTGGGGTGCCGTCTCGGCGGACTGTTTCGATGCCCTTTGCGTCGAACTCGGGTTCTTTCTGGTCTCTGTGTTCGTATTTGAAGCCGACGTAGCGCTTCTTGGCTAGAAGGACGCATGGGTGGTAGACTTTCTCGAATTTGAGTTTTACTGGCGATGGATTCGTTTCTGTTACGGCTTTAGCGATTTCTTCGCCTATGTTGAAGGCTTCGTCGCGAGTGCGTCCCTTAAGGTAGACAAAGAGACTGTCTGTGTCTCCGTATACGACCTCGGCGCCCCAGCGCTCTACAGAATGGATCAGGGCAATAGCCTTCTCCAGTGTTTCTCGTCCCGATTGGACGATACTGTCGGCTATCTCCGAACAGGGCATTCGCCCTGAGAATGACGCGGATGTGTAGCCGTATGTGACGTTCGCTATTAGTTTGAGGGCGAGTTGTCTGTTGTTGAGAAGGCGTTGTAGCGCCTTGTCGTCCTTGTCCATCTTCATTCCGGTCTTGACCATGACTCGAGTCTCGAGGATCTCGGCGAGCATCCTTGCGAGCAGCGATTTGCGTACTTCGGGTTTCGCGTACATCATGCCGTTTGGTGCGATGTTGATCTTGTCCTCGAACAGTTCTAGTAGTCGTGGTTGTCTTTGGTATTCTGTAAATCCCATCTTGTCTCGGCCTCTCCATTGATGTACTCGTCCTAGGAAAGTCGAGTAGCAATAATTATAGGCAATCATGATGCTAGGGTACAATGATTGGAAATCCAAGACTATAAGGGGACTGGTATAGAAGTCACTTTGGGGCTCCATTACCAATGGAAGACATTCGAGAGCATTTTGCTGGCCAACTTGTTTTTTGCTCGGCGATACAAGTAGAAAGTTCTCGGGTTTTGCAATCCGGAACATCAAAGACTCAACCTTGAACTGGGAACCCCGAGAAAATACCGAGTAGAAGTCGATGCCTAACAGTCGCGCCTGCTCACTGATTCTCGGTACTAGCTCGTTTGATTCTAGGATCTCAAGATTCATTTGTACTCGAGAGACGAAATAGTCGACGACTTTCATGAGATCGCGAGGCTTTCCACTCTGGTACCATTCAGTGAGATCACGAAACGAATAATGAGGTATTCGCCGGTGCAATAGATGGAATACGACATTCTCCATGCTATATTGGAGCAAGTTCAGCTCACTCCTCATAGCTCGCCAGATATTGATCATATGTCGTCCGCTTACTCGAATAGAGGATGTGTGGTTGAATCCCCATCGGTCAGCATCCTTACCAAACCTGCCATGTGCCTGTGACTTCACTCTCGATAGTTCGTCACATATGTCAAAATCATACTTCTTTCTGGCTCTCTCAATCACATATCCCCAGGAGCCGTTGTGAACTTCATACCCGGTGATAATGTCTGGGTCATACAGTCTGACAAGGTCCACTAGCCTGTTGATCAAGTCCAACTCCGTTGGCTCATGTTCCAAGTCGATTTTCACAGCTTTAGAAAGCTTTTCTTCAGGCCTGTCATGTTCACCCTGAAAGACCATTCCAACATGGACGCCCGAAAGGTGACTGTTAACATCGAGATCCTCGTCATCTGATTGTATACACCAGGAGATGCAGGATATCTCATCTTCTTCTGGGTTTGGAGCAAGTACACCACGCGTATTAACATGAACTTCTAAGCTCATTATGCTCATATACTGGGCCTGATGTTCGTCACTGGTCGACCTTCCTTTCTGCGAGTACTTAAATCCATATTCATTCTTTTGTGTTGGACCTTCGATCTGTGAGAGGATGCTAAGCTTCGTGTTCGGTTTGTGTAAATGCCTCTCCGGCTGCACAGTTCCGGCCTCCGGTTCTCGTTGTATGCTCTCAAACCACTGTACAACTTCAGAGCTGCTTGGCGGCACGGGGGCGAACTCCCAGACTCTGGAGGTAGAAGACACCCTGAGATGCTGATCAATTTGCTCTTGCTCTTGGCTATCTCTTAGTATCGAAGTTTGTTCGCCAAGCATCGCAGGTGACCGGCCGGTGGGATCAAAGTCAGGGAGATAATGTATCCCACTACCTTGTAAGCGGAATTCCCTGCCTGCATAGTCTCGTGGGCGATCTGGCACATCACCCTGATCACTGTAATGGGCTTTGTCATAGATAGCAGCCGGATAGTCATAATCGCTAAGGGTAGACGACACCTCACTAGGACTGGGGCAGGTAAGCCGTAAACAGCATATCCGTGTGTTCTGTGGTATGTTGAAAGTTTCATAGATCATCAGTGCCACCTCTGACAGAAAAGAGTTTGATTCGGTGGACTTGCTTTCAGTAGACGACATTAGTAATGGCAGCGAGCTCTTATCTTCGCCCGCATCTTTCGAAGCATCTATGTTGGGTTCGGCTAAGTCCGCAATATCCTGCGTTACTTTCAAAGGACCACCATCCTGGCTAAAGCGTAATACCGTCATGGGGTCGTTTGGATCCTTGACGACTGGAAAACTGATCCTGTTGTTCTGTCCGCTGCCTTTAGGACGACCTCTTGATTGTGTAAGCGGCTGTGGCTGCGAAGGCGAGCCCATCAACGGTTCATGACTACGAGCCATATCCCCAAATTCGACATTAATATTAGATCGAACACCTTCATTTTGATCCAGCCCTTCATTATGATGTTCCGAATGTTGAAAACGACTTTTCGAGGCGTATTTCGGCCGCTTGTTAATTGGGATGTGATCAATTATTTCACTTTCTGGGCGCTTGAGGGATCTCTCTGCCCTCCGTATGTCCTCTTTGATCTTCGCCTGGCTATTGATATATTCCAATCTATCCCGTTCATAGGGATTAGAGCGATGTCTGCTTGATGGGCCTTCTGTCCGGTCGAGGAATGGCTTATAATCGGCAGAAGTGCTAGCCAGGGGCGCATTCGGCTCCCGGTGTTCCTCAAAGGGTAGATCAGAGAACGCATCTGCCAGCGGGTCATCAAAGACATCTCTTTCCTCCTCATAGTTACCTTGTTCTGAGAAAAGGTCGGGAATGTCATCGTCATCTGAACAGTATGAGCCGTTATCGGACGCTCCAGGTAAAGCAGGATTTTCGTTGGTATAAGCATCTGCGCTCGCTGATTCACATGTTTCGAGATCCTGAGATGCTTGCAGATTTGGGAACTTATTGTTGTCCGGATAGAAATCCTCGATACTCTCTAGTACAGTCTTGACATCAGTCTCGAGGGGGTCCTGTACGAGGAAATCATGGACATTAACGTCCCCACCACCATATTGACGCCTTTCCTCAGCGACTGTACGGAGTGTCAACTGACGATATTCCTCCTCATGGATCCACTTCCCTTTATAGTGTTCCCTTGTAGCAGCTGATAGCGACACTAGTTCCTCAGGGCCAAACGGGCTACTACCAGGATCAGCTAGTCCTAGACGTTTCTTCCGCCTGCGTGTCTCATCCTTCCATAGTCCCTCCATGCTAGGAACAAGTTTCTCATTCTGGTCGACTGGCTTCAGAAGCTCCGTGAAATCATGATGTATAGGTCTCTCGCGGATTTCGAGACGATTCAAGATATCTTGCACACAAACATCCACTTCTAGGGGGCAGTGACTTTGCTTCGGGAGTTCTGACGCATCCGAAATACTATCTGGTTGTATAGATCGATCATGCCAGCGATGCGATAAATTAGTCAGTTCGAGATACTCCGGTACTGGGGATCGAAACCTGACTTTGCTACACTTCATATACGCACAGCCGTACAAACTATAGTCACACATCCATTGCGGGATATATTGTAAGTGGCTTTCGTAAGGCTGCAATGGCCGCTTCAATATAGCACCTTGGAGCAATAGGTCCGCTACTCTTGTCGTATAGATAGGGTTGAGAAGATAAACCTTGAAGAAGAAACGATAGCCCACATGATAGCCATAGAAGGGGACACCCTTTACTAAGGTAATATGGGCAACGAAGGCGGCCTTTTTGTCATATGCATTGCGACGGTAACTTAATGTCAATGCGTGGTCAATTGAGATGTGAAGATCCCTTATAGCATGGCGGACTGTAAACACAGTTTAGCCTGGATTGCTATCAGGCTAAGGTACGCTAGATAGAACAAACCTTCTTCTGGACTTAAATCACCGTCGTATGGGACATACAGGTACGGAAATGCGCCGTGAACATGGACACATACTTTTTGACCTGTTTCTGTAGCGCCGAATATCCTAATTATGGGCACTTTGGGTCTATCATATTTCCCAGTAGATGGATCCCTGTAGGGAAGCGGAGGATCAAATTCGGATGGCGCGGCTTGGTAATGATCCACGCAATTAAAGCGCACTTGAAAAGGCTCCATCGGTTGCGTGTTTGACAGCGCAAGCTATCAGCGACATGACCAGCGTGTATACAGTGAACTCATGTCACCCTTGCTGGCACTCTACTGGCGTTGTCATCCGTAATGACAAGTTAATTGAAGTTGACTGGAACCATGACGTGTAGCAGCCACTGAAAGTTACGCGCCTCCCGAGCGCGGACAAAACACCAGATCACGTGCACGTTATCAAGTCCATCGGGCGATCTTCCAAACTCAAGCAAAGATCATCTTAATCTCGCGCGGTAAAGTGCAAGCCGCCGAACAGGTTCTTCCTCGCCTCACGGTTACGATCGCAATACAGACAATTCGATAGTACTCCGATATATTACATCTTTCGAGGCACGCCGTCACCATGTCATCACGAAAGCCCGCTGATGTGGCGTCGAAGGAGCGCAATGAATATATTCCGTCTTTCATCTCAAAGAAGCCGTTCTACATAGATGACGATTCCACAAATGATTATCTGGAGCATCAACGTCTACAGAAGCAGACTACAGAGCAATCGAAGTGGTATGAGCGCGGAAAGCGTGCCGGCCCAGCTGCGACCAAGTATCGAAAAGGCGCGTGTGAGAACTGTGGTGCGATGACCCACAAAACAAAGGAGTGCCTTAGTCGGCCTCGGAAGCAGGGTGCGAAGTGGACCGGTAAAGATATTCAGGCCGACGAGGTGGTGCAGAACGTCGATATGGGATGGGATGCCAAAAGAGACCGATGGAACGGCTACGATGCCAGCGAATATCGCCAGGTGGTAGAAGAGTACGAAGAGCTAGAAAAGCTCAAACGGGTAACCGGACAAAAACAGATTACAGATGGTGAAGATGAGGAAGGAGGTGCGGAGGAAGAGGCACGGTATGCTGAAGAATCTGATATGGGAAGGCAGCAAAGCACAGCTACTCGAAATCTACGTATTCGAGAAGACACTGCGAAATACTTGCTGAACCTCGATCTTGACTCGGCGAAATATGATCCCAAGACACGACGGATGGTGGATATGGGCGCTCAGGAAGATCAAGCCGCAGCACTTGTTGCTGAGGAAAATTTCGTTCGCGCTTCCGGCGATGCGGCGGAGTTTGAAAAGGCTCAAAAATATGCCTGGGAAGCTCAGGAAAGCGGTCGACAGAAGATTCACCTGCAAGCAAATCCGACGTCTGGAGAGATCTTACGGAAGAAAGAACAAACAGATTCTGAAGCTAAACGTCAGGCCCAGCGTAAAGCACTTCTGGAGAAATATGGTGGTGAGGAACATCTGGCTCCGACACCGCTACGAGATACTATGGTCGTTGAAAACGAAAGGTTCGTTGAGTATGACGAGACCGGGGCGATTAAGGGCGCGCCGAAGAAAGCAGCCAAATCAAAGTATCCGGAGGATATCCTCACCAACAACCACACTTCCGTATGGGGCAGCTGGTGGCACAACTTTGAATGGGGGTATGCTTGCTGTTACTCCACGGTGAAGAACAGTTACTGCACCGGCGAAGATGGAAAGAGGGCATTCGAAGAGGCAGATAAGATGTTGATGCTAGATGCCGTCGGTGGAGCAGACGAGCAGCCTGAAGTTGAAACCGAAGATGCAGTAGAACGTCCGAACCAAGAGCAGGGCATTGACGATAGGAGAGCAGAGGACTCCGGCGCCAAGTCGAAAAAGAGGACGTTGATGGAGGTACAATCTGGTATCACCGAGGAAGAGTTGGAGACGTATAAAAAAAGCCGCCTCGCAGCAGATGATCCTATGGCTAAGTTCATAGGGAACGACATCCTTGAACAGTAAACTATATGGGTCCCTCCAGCTTTCTTCGATTCTACTTAGTCATTAGAGCAGTTCAATATGGGGCGCCGGGCGCTTTTGATGAAATACCCTGTAAACAGTGTATAATATAATTTGTTACTTTATATGGCTATTTTGAAAGTCCTCGAGGAGAATAGAAAAAGAAATAAAGAAGAAGAAAACATTCGTGAACACAATATAGATTCAAGTTGACTGCTATTATCCGAAAAGTCCCTCCCGTCCATATTCTACGAGCTATACTCATGGTATGCCGGAAAGGATACCTTAAATCGAAACTAATACCATGTCAGGCTTAGTTCAAATACTTGGGTGGAGACGATGATACATCATGTGACTTATGGTTCCCGTTGGAGAATACGGAATCACGAGACCAGGGCACAAGCCCTGGTGACACACACTCGCTAAGCGGCAGGCGCCCCAGATCTCAGCGCGCAACTTCCGATACGCCTAGCGACGACGACAACGACAACCAGCCCTTCAGCGGAATCGCCAGGTAGGTCACTAGCCCCCATATGATTTCGGAGCGCAGGATTTTGTGACGGACAATTTTTTGCTGACATTTATTGTGTTCCTCTGCAGTTCCATAATTCAAGATGAGTACGTACAATCTCGATATTCCAGCCGAACAGCAACATCTGCTTCGACGCCGACAAGACTTTGCAGACTGACACCGATTACAGCGAAGGGTACCTCCAGCTTTGGCAAGCGCCACAACAAGACTCACACTCTCTGCAGGCGTTGTGGTCAGTATTTCATCACTCCGAACTGTTGCCCGACAAAATTTGCCGATCTCTATAGGGGATACAGCTAGGAGGGTCGGGAGGAACATTGGTGTTCAGATAAGCTAACCGGTTGCGATTTGCGTTTGGGATATTCAGGCCGCCGCTCTTTCCACGTCCAGAAGTCGACATGTGCCAACTGCGGTTACCCCTCCGCTAAGGTTCGCAAGTGTACGAATCCCCGGGTTATACCTTAAGTCCTATCCCTTTGCATAGCCGACCGTGGATCTACTGGGAGAAGTGCTGTGATTGTGAGGAGTATGAGGCTTACGAATTTTCTTGGAACAGTCAACTGGAGCGAGAAGGCCAAGCGCCGCAAGACCACCGGTACCGGCCGCATGAGGCACCTCAAGGAGGTTCACCGTCGCTTCAAGAACGGCTTCCAGACCGGCACCCCCAAGGGCGCTCGTGGCCCCGAGAGCCAGTAAATCAAATCCCGACGTCGCGTTTTCGTTCTCGGAGGCTGGAGAGGGCTGGTATGATAAGGCCTGGCATTTGAAGTAGCCGAGTTTCAATGCAAGGTGAAAAAAGACGCTTTCCCCTGGAGTTGGTGTTGGGATGGTCTTTCCTTTTGCCGTCATAGCATGTTTATCCTAGAATAACGACGACAAATGAAAGACGGAAAATTTCTTGGGGTCTTCGAAAGGGAGTATCAAAAGGGAAAGCATGCATGAATTTCCTTTCTTGTTTATGGCTGGCGAATATCCCATGTCCGGGCAGATACAATATTGAGATAATCTCCAATGTGATCTGTCTACCCGCGTTCAAGCACTTCCCGCAGCGTAAGAGCTTTTCTCTTGCTCTATAGATCGGTCCCAGCCGAATCACTTAAGTTGGGTCATGAGATTGCGGCAATGTCATATTGCAAGGCCCTTTCTATCTCCATGCGCCTTAACGCCAATATTGGATATATGGACACTCTCTATCCAGTCTATTCCCCTCTGCCAAACACACTGACGCCGCCATCCCTCTGTACGAAGTATAAGACTTCTCTCTCCTCCCAGTTACCCTCCGTACCCACCTCATTTTGTCCCCACGCACCTCCTTTGCTGACCCTTAGCACACCGCTTACATCCCTAGCAGCACCGGTCTCCAGGTTACGGAGTTGCATAACCATCTGGGCCCTGTGGGCAGACCCTATAGCGAACGCTGCATGCTCTGTTTCCAGCGGTGTTGCCGGGTGGGGAGCCGAGGCAGATGCATTATGTATCAGTGGTAAATCAGAGGAGAGCGTCAAGATCGTTGCATGGGTATTCTGCTGGTTTTGTTAGCAGAGGTATTCAAACATCGTGACGATGGCTCCTCCAGTGACCAGCACGTACTTGTTGTAATCCCATAACCCAGTCACCCATCTCCGTAGCCCCAATACCTTTATTTGGACCCGTAGCCGCAAGTAGCAAATCTGGTTGATCGACGATCAATAGAACCTCGGGTTCCTCTGCCTCACCGGGTGTAGGAGCCTTCAATTGTTGGATCACTGTAGCGATGTCCCTTTCGAGGGCGTCGAGAGCTGCGGTGCCATTTCCCGATAAATGCAGTCGTTTGACTGGTCCGATTTCCCTTGAAGCTGGGTTTGTACTGACATTGCTCGGCCGCGGGACAGATTGCGGGGCCCGCGCTGGTACAGGGCTCGGCTGGGATCGTACGGGAAGGACTGTTCGGAGAGCGGCAGTACCAGGGAATGATTGTTGGGGAGTTGCTGTAGCAGTTGTAGTATTGTAGAATAGTTCAGATAGTCCATCGACGAATGCGAATTGGCGCTTGTCTGTGAGACGTGCAAGGTCCAAGCCCTAGTACATTGTCAATATTTATGGTCATTCACGACGTAAATAAAAAATACTTTTTTAGGGAAGCTCATAGAACTGGACAAAAACCAACATAATTTGAACTTCAAAGCCGCAATAGACGATAAACATGGAGGGGTAGAAACTCACCAGTCTTTTCGCTTCGGATCTCCAAAATTCCCAGCCCCGCAGAAAACTCACAAGCACGACTCTTCTATTCTTCACCCTGTCGCCTCCATTCAGTCCAAACGCTGTTTCGGAATTTGAAGATGCGCTTAGAGCCGCATAGAGGAAGCGCAACACTAGCCAATTCCCCGTTGCACCTAGTACGGAGGATAGGACTGTGAGAGACGATTGCGGCAGAGACGATACATAGGGCGCAAGGAGGGGTGGGAGGGGTGGTTGAGTGGGCATGGTCGAGAGATCACCCCGTTGACGTAAGGGGTCACGAGCTTATTCTGGTGCAGACACTGAGAAGCGAACTGGTCGCAGCAATGGCCTTCGACTGTTTTTGTACGATTTCCGTGGTGAATTGAAAAATGACGTTGTATCAGAGGAAAAGTCCGAACTGATTGTATGTATGATTGGTTGATCTTCTTTTCCGCTACGCCAAGACTTTCATATCACAGATTAAGGGTGCCTAAGGTATCTATATGCATCTTACCCACAACATTCTTTATTTTTTCTTCCCACTTCTCCCCCTATATAAATAGAAATGCTGTTGTATTTGCTTGCCTTAGAGCTTTTACAGTATACCAGTTAGTTGTATATTTAGCGAATGTATTGTCTCAGACTATTGAAGTATATATACCCAACAGCACTCGCATACTAAGTTAGGCAGTCAATGTCCGTCATTGCTTCACCTATCGCATATCATATTTCAAGAGAAAGCTTTCAGGCAGGTTGTTCTCGTATTATTATGGAAAACGGAATATACGGCATGACGTGGTTCAGCAATCATCTAAACCAATATCTATAGTAACCGTAGTATATATAGTTGCATCCCAACCTTAAACTGGGAAGTGAGATGTATTCATGGGCATTCTTTACGCAACTGCCTAGTTAACTAAGCACCGTGGACTATATAATCCTAATGGCTAACTACTCTTAGTATAAATCTGAAGTAATTTCTGCATAGAATTCAAGACATATCCTGTTGGTCTCCGAAGTTGGTTCCTGAATTTCCGGGAGACAATCCGGCGGGCGCGTCACCTGACTGGTGCCTTCCCCCACATCGCCCAGAGCGTCAATCAGCATCGTGAATTCCTTCAATGCGGAAGCATTCATCCGATCAGCCAGATATTGCCCTCCTCTCTTCTTGTATATGTGGGTTCGGGGGTTTATATCTGTCGCTGATTTCTCTCCAGTTCAAGTCCCAGGGACATGAACAATTGATTCCTTTCCATGCCTGTCGTGAGTTGACCCCATGTCCTCTCATGTCTGTCCCTTATGTTCTCTGTCCTCTTTTTTCTTTTCTTTTCTTTTTCTTTCTTTTTTTTTTTTTTTTTAGTTGATCACCTCCTTCTTTGTTCTTGTTTTGTACTACTTGTACTGTCCCATCCTGCTGATTGGTATCCCCTTTTCTCTTTTTTTCTTTTTTTTTTACAATACCCGTTCCTCATAGATACCCCACCACCGTCAACGTCATAGCCCTGCTTCGCTCCTAGATTGTTTTGTATATCGAATCTTCAGAATGCTTTTCAGTCTTGTTATGTTACCTTCTGAACATGTTAAAAGTTTTGTAAATTGGAACTTGGACTGAACCAAACGCCCAAAATGGCAAGCCAAATCCTTACATTATCCAACGCTATCACTTTATCTTTGGACATATATCACCTGATATAGCACAAAGCTGATGGCTAACGGTTTCTTGCAGATGACACCCGTTTTGTGTAACTGTCAGCGTGCACAAGACTTCCGATATTTGAAAGCAGACCCTTATCGATAAAGATGACTAGTACGCGAGACTCCCACTCCTATGCTGTAAGTATTCTCGATGTACAAGAAGGGAATGAATTGCTAAGATGGCCATCGTGCAGTGTGACGAATGTCGCTTGCGCAAGTCCAAGGTTAGAACATGTCTCCCACATGGAGGTACCAATCCCTGGAGTTGAAACTAATGTTGGACCCAGTGCTCCAAGGAGAAGCCAACTTGTGCACAATGCAAGCAGCTGAACAAAGAATGCAAATATAGTCCGAAAATCACTCGGAGCCCCCTAACGCGACAGTATGTGCTCCCTTTGCTAGAAGCCTGTCTCTTTTACTGACGCTCCATTCTAGACACCTGACCTACGTGGAAGACCGTCTACAAGCTTTTGAAACAGCTCTAGGTAGACTCTTCCCAGGTGGTGATCTGGACGCAACGGTTCGATCACTTCTGCACGATCATGAAGGCCCAAAACCAGCTCCATCGTCTAAATCCTCTTCCAGACATTCCACCCCTGCCAAAACTGAAGCAGACAGGACGGAACCTGCTCCCGAAGCCCTTCCACAGCAGGCCGATGGATTCGATTGGACTGAGAATAAAATCACCGTCGGCGATCTGACGGATGGCATGGCAGCTCTATCTATTAAGCCGGAGGGTACAGGATATTTCGGTTGGTATCCGTTGGCATTACTCTGTATTACCTTGCTTACTGACTTTCATTGCAGGGGCATCTTCAAGTGTTGTGCCGCTTCGAGCTTTATTGAAGCACGGATTTGACTTGAACTTTCCGGTAGGATCAACAAAACCAAACGTTGGCCCGGAAGGAGTACCTTTGAAGTCTCAGCTTCTAAACGCCGCGCCATCTGGCGTAATTGAACAAGCTTTTATAGACGCATTCTTCTTAAACTACCACAGGAGCTATCCGTTTGTGCACGAGGCCACCTTCAGAGCTCAATTCTACGAACAAGCCACTCGCCGACATGGACAGGCGTGGCAGATACTCTTGAACACCATTCTAGCATTGGGGGCGTGGAGTGTTGGGGACGACAACTCAGACCTAGATATTACTTTCTATCAGGAAGCCAGAGGTCACTTGCAGCGAGTGTCAGTGTTTGAAACCGGTAATCTTACTCTCGTTCAGGCATTGCTGCTCTTGAGTAACTACGCGCAGAAGAGAAATAAGCCGAATACTGGATGGAATTTTCTAGGCTTGGCCGTTAGAATGGCTATGAGTCTTGGCCTTCACAAAGAATTCCCAGGCTGGAAAATAAGTCTCCTTCAGAAAGAGATGAGGAGAAGGCTGTGGTGGGGAGTTTTTATCTTTGATAGCGGTGCTGCGAAGACGTTCGGTCGACCAATTCTTCTCCCCGAGGAGAGTGTTATGGACGCAAAGCCTGTTCTCAACATCCAGGATGATGTAAGGGTTCTTGCGATTTATGCATGAGAAAGTGTTAACAATGACAAACAGGCCCTGACCGCGTCAACGACGACGCTGCCCCCGGAAGTCAACGGTCCAACTATTTACTCCGGAATGATCGCTCAAGCCAGGTTCCATCTGCTCACAAACAGCGTCTACCAGCGTCTCATCTCCACGCCGCCTCTTACTCCGGAAGAGACACGAAGTCTCCAGAAACCATTGGAGGAATGGTACAACGGTCTTCCCGATTATTTCAAACAGCCAAGCTTTACATCAGAATCCGATCCTTTTGCTTTGGTTCGAAACCGGCTTATGTGGCGACACTGGAACCTCCGGGTTCTATTGTATAGACCGATCCTCCTTCGCTGGGCTTCGAGGCGATGGACGCCTAGTTCATCTAATGAACCGGAAGACCCTCTTGAAGCCGAATGCAGAATGCTGTGTCTTCGAAATGCCCGGTTGACCATCTCCTCAATCAGTGATTTCATGAGCAACTATCTCTGTACGAGAATAGGAGCATGGTATATGCTCTACTTCCTGTTTCAAGCCGGTGTAATCCCTATCATTTTGCTTATGACAGACCCTACCAGCACAGATGCTCCAGCTTGGCTTCAGGACATCGAGGCTACCAAGAACCTGTTGTTGCATCCCTCACTGAGTAGCAATCGGCTTGCAGCTCGTTGTCTGCAAGTCATTAATCGGCTTTGCTCACCTGCGTACACGAGTACTGCTGACGATAGGCCAGCAGGTCAGCCTCCTATTCTGATGCAATTTTCTGATCAGCTGTTTAACGACCCGACATTCGGTGCTATGTTCCCGGATGTCGACCAGGAACTGAACTTAGGCGGGATGGACTTTTCTGATTGGGTCAATTACACACCACAGGCTGAGTTTCGTTGAATGAGCGACGGTTACGATACAGTGGCCACCAGGGCCGTAGACAGTATCTTGGGAAACGGTTGCATCGTATAGAAATAGGTGAAATTATTCCGCGATTACTGCAGTGACATAATCGTGGGGGTTTACCGATTCCGGACAATATTGGAAACATGCACCGTTATGTGCGAGGTACTTATTGAAGAGACGAGCCTCAAACGTACTCCTCCTGCTGTACAGAGGGCTTCACTAAGGTGTCCTTATTAGGCCCCTGCGTACCACGGAGCTCGGCCTCAATCTGAACAATACGTTGCTTCTCTTCGTGGGCTGCTGTGTCTCCGAAGATAAGATCCATATCCTCCAATGTCTAATATCGGGCTTCCGTCAGTACAGGACAGATCTTGGTGTACGATTATAAAATTCATGAGCCACAAACCTTTCCACGAGTCTCTGGAATGCAGAAGAAAGTGAATGCCAATGCAAGGAGACAGAATGCCGCAAAGAAGATATAAGTGCCCCAAGTGATTGACTCGAGCATATCGGGGGTGATCAATCCGATAATACTAGCATGCGATGTCAGCCAACGATCAACACGAAATTCTAAAAGAACATAAATCAACGCACAAATTGCACATCCAAGTCGCCGACGTTGTGATTGAAATGGCTTTAGAGCGAATGGAGAGGTTGAAGATCTCTGAGGGCAGGACCCATCCAATGGGAGCTATATTGTACCTAGTCAGCAATTGACTCTTTCTTGATACCAAAGGAAAGATGTAAGGGTAAACCAACCAAAGGAATAGGAAAAGTTGATATCGTAAATATAAATGAAGGCAATACCTGCCCACCCAGCGGATTTATGGTTGACCAAATCGGATCCATACGCCCCGATAAGCGCACCCACAATCACCAGCGAGATACAAGTCCCTACTGCACCAGACATAAGTAGAACCCGACGACCAATCTTATCAATCAAGAAAAGCGCCGGCAGGGTACTGAGACAATTAACAATGCCGTATACACCCGTCGCAAGAAGAGAAGTCTAGACACGTCAGAAAGAGCCCAGACAAATCAACCCCAAAACCAAGAGGATAAACACCACATACCGTATTCCCATCAAGACCCAACTGCGCAAAGATCGTTGGGGCGTAGTATATCATGGCGTTGCAGCCCATAAACTGCTGGAAAAACATCACACAGCACCCGATAGCCAACCTCTTGAACCGCGCCCACGTCGTCAGAAACGACATATACTGCGCAGCATGCAGCCGGAAGCCAGACAAGCACGGGAAATGGTCCCGGGCGAACGTGTTCTCTAGCATGATCGACGCCTTGATCTCGAGGAACTCGTTCACCAGTGCGGGGCTGTCCCTGGCCTGGCGGCGGAGTTTGGAGAGGGCTGTCAGGGCTTCGTCGTCGTATTCTTTCATTGCCAGCCAGCGGGGGGAGTCGGGGAAGAAGATGATGCCGAGGCCTAGGATGAGGGCTGGGAGGATTTGGAGGGCGAATGGGAGGCGCCAGGAGGCTTCGGATTGTCCTGTACAGCCGTTGGGTGGGACGTCTGTGTAAGGGTTGAAGGTGGCTGTAGTCTTCGTGGAACCTGTGTAGGGAGTGTTGGGGGCGCAGCGTGTGCCGCCTATGTAGTTTGTGCCGTAGTCGATCCAGTAGCTGATTAGGATGCCGATTGTTATTGAGACTGTTTTTTTTGGGGGGGGGGGGTTGTTAGTGTGCCTGCGCTTTTCTGTGGGGTGGGGGTGAATGGGCTTACGTTGTTGGAGGACGACGAGTCCACCGCGGATTTCGGGGATGGAGACCTAGATAGGGTGAGACATGGGGGTGTTTTACCGAGTGGTTGAGATGCTATACCTCTGAGATGTAGAGAGGCACGATCATGGTTAATTGACCAACGGCTAGACCGGCAATTGCACGTCCTATCCTCTTATTAGCATTGTTGATGGCTCTACGTATACATCTCACGTACCGACGAAGAGCATTGGGATGTTCACGGCACCGCATTGGATAGCTGATCCTATCACGAAGATAACGACGGCAACATTCATGGACAGTTTCCGGCCCAGTCGATCTGCGATTGGGCCGTTGATCAGGGATCCGAACCATGCAGCTACACTATGTAAGCTATCGTCTGTTCAGATTCAAGAACCCAGATCGAGAACGCATACCAAGGAGTAGTGTTGACACAAACCATCCTTTGAAGCCACTGTCAGTGTAAATTCGAGGGAATCGAGCTCCAAAGGACTCCATTGTGATGATCCCTGACACCACGCCCTGATCATATCCGAAGAGGAGACCCCCCAGAGTTGAGAACTACAACCGATATCACGGTTAGTCGCCTTTTTGAATAGTATATTTGCATGCGCTCACCGAAGCAACGCCCAGTAAATAGGGATTCTGGTAGATGAGGGCAAAACCCCCTTGAGGGGGGTGATCTACGACGGTTGGTTCCATTGCTGCTATTCAGCGCATTGTATAGTGTCACACAATGAAGTAGTGCGGTAGACACAACAACGTTCTATATACTTTGTGCAATCAGTTCTCGCAATTATCTTCGGTCGACCTCCGAGGGGTGAGTGAGGTTGATCGCACGACAGTGCTCCGTTACGGTCTGAATATCATCTATAAGGGCAGCGGAGGGCAGTGTTCCGACCAATGAGGGAATTAAGCAATGGGCGGACGACATCATGAGATGCCAAAATGCGGGGGAAGGTTAAGGGCCGATCTCCTTCTCTCGGCCACTTCGGCCACTCAAAACGGCGGAATTCCGACCCGCTCATCATCGGGATGTCTAAAGTTGGAGATCTCTCCTTGTTGTACAGACTGCAAACCAATCCATTGGAGTCGTTGGAGACACAAGTGTAACATAAGCTCTCAAAAAGAGTTTAGAGTTCCCATCGGCGTGGGGAAGAATTCCTTGTTACTCACTGCCTTAGGGTGTATTCCACGAGCTATTCGGGGAGAGGGGACGCTTCGGTCGGCCGTAGTCCGATGTCAGAACGCTCCGGAAGACGACAAAGGGACCTGTGGTGAAGGGTATCAGTATTAGAAGACCTTGTTCTGCAAAGCTTTTTAGTAATCATGCTGTGCGGCATAGGTCTGTAAAGCAAAGTCGGAAAGACCGAACATAAAAGTGATCCCGTTTAGACGGTTCTGATTAAGAAATAAACCGTCAAGCCCATGGGACACTTTGGCTTGCCGGACGACAAAGCAGTCTGATGTCGATACTGCAATCGACCTCCTCGGAGGATGATTAGTATGCATGCACATCGTTAGTTTGCAGTTTCATGGTGCATTTCAATCCAAACTCATACAGTAATGAGCCGCGGGAGGTCCTTGGTCTCCTGTCTCGACATAGAGTAGCCTAGAAGGTGAATGGCAGGAAAAGCAAGTCAGTAATCACTTTATCACAGTCATGTCGGGATTATATCACATGACATGACATGTTCATTCTCCTAGGTACTTAAGTATATTAGTAACCCATCGATAACTTCGTGTTGAACTAAATTTCCATGTCAAGAACCGATAGCAAGGAGCATTCCCCACATCACTTGTTCCTGGAGGAAGACAACTAGTAGATCTACTACGTATCCATCAGATGTTTGTGGACCTGCGTACAGCATTTTAACCCCGAGTATGGGTCTGACTGACCAATCAGGGCCCCTTCCCATGAGTCATTCTCGCTCATTCTTACTAACGAATGATGGTGGCTGTAATCATACTGTATGCAACTTGCATACAGATCGGATACAGAGAACATCATACATCCATGTCTTGATAGCAGTTCTCCAGTATAAAAGATGTAGAGCTTTCTTGAAGTAGATGTTGGAATAAACTACACTGAGAAAAAGAGTCATTCTAATCAGAGTTCGATTTATTGACTAGATTTATGATTGATTGAGACATTGGTGCCTGGCGCATATCACTGAACACCGTACGGTACGGAAATGTCATACATATACTAAGTATGGTATGTATTATTGCCTTTCGGGACGATCCATGGAACCTTAATTAACAGGGTCAGTTTTGAATCCACTTCGATTTCACTTACCCCCCCCCCCATACTGCCGTTTGTTCTCCACACTTGACTTCCACGGGCATGAAGAAGAAATCCATCTCTGAAAAGATTCTATATCTTACACATGAAGGATTAAATTTATCTGTCGACATCGTCAGAGCCCCACTTCCAATTCTCTCATTTTTGTGCTATAATGTCTAGACGATCACGTTTGCTTACTATGTAATGCTTACAGGTATGATTTCTTACGGGAAAAGGGGCGCCAAATAGACGAACAATGACAGCAAGATCCTCTCAATTATAATGCCACTGATCTAAATATCCAAAAGCATAGAGCAAAAACTATTTCTTTTTCCGCCCGACAAGACATCTCAGGGCTTCCGTTTCACCTTCCAGTTTAGAGACGCGCATCTTCAATGCATCGCGCTCCTCTTTGACCTTGCGCAGTTCCTCTTCTAGACTCTTCAACTGATCCACTCGCCTTTGGCGGTACCGACGAGCAGCCAGTGTGTTCTGCTGGCGCTTCTCGATACGAGAGGCGCTAGTAGATTTTGCAAGGCCAGAAACTGATGGAGTAGGAACGGAGTCGCTGGAAGGAGACGATGAGCTAGGTGACGAGGTCATGGTTGCGGTTGCAGGTGGAGGCGGTAAATTAGTAGCGGGCTCGGGACAGTAGTCTGGGGTTGGTTAGGTACATCATATAGAGCAATCCGAACGAGTTTCTCGGACGAACCTTCAGGACGTGTCAAACCAGCGTCAAGGGATCGGAGGAATTCTTGAGAGTCATTAAGTTCCAGGATCGAAGGGAGATCATTATTAACAGGAGTTGGCAGTGATTCTATAACAGGTGTCGGATAGAGAGAAGTCGAATTGGCTATCGATGGCTGATAATAACCGGCATCGAGCGTAGCCCAAGTATCCCAGGATTCGAGGCCAGTGAACTCATCACCGGACGGGATAAATTGTGAATCTAAGGACTGTGGAGAGTAGGAATGAGGATTGGGGTGGTAGAGCGGATCGTAAGATTGCAAGTAGAGGTCTGCGGGATGAAGGTGGTTTTGATGGGAATCGTGACTACTGCCGCTGCGGCTGGTAGTAGAAGAATGCTCCAAGCCTAAAGCATGCCACGGCGGAAGACACTGCGGTGGACATGATTGTATTGCGCGGACGGGCCTCTCTCAGGCCCGTGGGGGGTCTTGCTAAACAAATAAAAAAGGAAGCCTTAGTCCTTCGTGTAGGACTGATGATGAGGTTGAAAAGAAAGAAGGTAGGTCAGGGTGGGATTGAATCGTTTTATCTGCAGCCCGAAGAGTGGCTGAGTCAGCTCAGGTCAGAATCAGGTGGAAACTCTAATCCAGAGTTCCACTGCGTAAGGGCTCGTAACAGTACCGTAATACAGTCGATAACGATACAGTGTTTGAAATCTGCATGTCTATCAAAAAGGGTCTATAATAAGAGTACCTAAAGGCTAAGCACAAGTTCTGCGCCCATACAATAAATCAAAATGATTATCCCAAAGCAAAGTTCTTTCGATCAATACCCCTGAGAATCATCCTGCTAGACGCGTCTTACGTAAAATTGATTTATCTATTCAAACCAAATGGATGGAGGTTTGGTCCCTGAAAACCTACTTATCTTTTCAAACAAAAATGTGGGCCTACAAGGAGCAAACCACCGGGCGTCTAGAATCGCGTCTCGGAGTCCCCGACAATAGACCCTTAACCTCTACTCTCTAGTAGTAAGCTGAGGCTGTATCCAATCACTTTCACTCAAGTATGGGCTTGCGTTCCAGAACAAAATAAAAAGCCGCCATTGGGACCCAGTTTACTACTAATTACTCAACAAGGCTGTCGACTGTTAATGTAAGAACTGAACCCACCCACTGACGGGCACAGTTTTTGCATGTCATATTATTATGCACGCCTCGATTTTTTCAAATACCTAAACTTGCATGCCAGAAGATAGTCAAGGGTATATCATTCTGATATAATTGAAATACGGCGCCAGAGGCTCAAGTATTTGATTCCTTTCATCGTCATCTGTAGATTCTCAGCACCTTCTATGTATAGCGGCTTAGGCAAATACAATATCCTAGTTACATCTTATATAGCCCCAAGGAGTTAATTTTGATCTCGAATCTCCTTAGGCAACCTCCAACACCCTGGTCGTATCTGGAAGTCCCCAGAAATCTCCTCAAAACTATATTGAACCTAAAGCTTGCCACTGAAATACTCCCGGGGCTCCCTCTGCGTTGTGCTTGCAATATCAGCGGTACGATGCAATAAATATATGACATTCTTTATGCCTTTACATGTATCATGGGGTTCAGGTATATACTGGAATGGAAAGCCTAACACTAGAAAACCTCACAAGATACAGATTTCAAAACGATGTTAGGCACCTCGTATGTGATACATCTGAGATCAAGGTTACGCCTAGGAAGAGGGGGTAATGCTTCACCTGATCCCGTTAGTAGTACAGCCTGAAGAGATGCGCCGATTTACTGTCTCGGAGGAATTACGGCTAAACTCGACTTTGGTTCATAAATGTGAAGGTCATCATGTCGGTAAAAGTCCCCTCGTCAAACATGAGGGCAGGATTGTTTTCGTTCATTAAAAAGACAGATTTTAATAGAAGCTTCCACCCAGATAATATCTGTTGTAATGATCTGAAAGCAAAACTTGAAAATCACGCTCATACCCATGCAACGCGTAAGACAGACGCTAAGCAACAGACTTACAGACAGATCAATAGATGAAGAAAAGTAATAAGGAAGCGAGTGGAGGTGTGAACCCTCGATTGTACCGAAAGCAAATGACACAGTCAAAAGATCCTTCGTCTTGAGAGCGGTGATGGTGGCAGCTTTCCCTTGGTAGAGCGCTGGTCAGAGAGCCTGGGAGCTGGTCAACGAGCGTAGTATGAGGTCATTGATTGCGAATCATAAGAGAGAAATATTTGGACGTGATGCTCCGTAGCGACCTGAAGTTGGGGTATTGATGTATCGGTGTTGGGAATATACTCGAGGATCATTTGCGAGATTCACTAGGTTCCCAGTGAATTGGCTCAAAGTCTTGGTTCTGGAAATGAGCTTGATTATAGGGAGAGCTATCCGAATATTAGTGTTTGGCCATTTAAGGTCTACAACTGAACGGACATACTTCTTAAATGGCGTCGTGACCGGAAGAGAATGGCTTAGATTAGGTTTCATAACCAGCGGATTCAGCCGAATCTGTGGCCCGTCGGACGAGCGGCTGGGTAAAGAGCTCATCGGCGGAGGTGCTGACATCCGAGGAGGTGGCGGAGATGCCACAGGGACAGGTGGCGAGGTGTGTATGGGAGGTTGATAGACATCTGGAGGCGACGAGACTTGGAAAGGACTGGCCGGGGCGGCAGGGATCGGAGAGGGGCCAAGCCCAAAAGTTGGGTCCATCATGAGATTCGGAATTGACATTAAACTCGAATTTACATCGAATGAGAGAGCGCCTTGATCCCATGGGGTGTAGTTAGAAGTCATCGCGTATTGATAATTGACCACAGGTTCCATATTCACAGTAGGCTCAGCCTGGTAGAGCAAGTCATAATGACCCCTGTATAATATTAGCGCATTCTGTGAACCTTGGAAAGGGTCATCATCATTAAGCTTCGACTCACGGGCGATATAGTAGACGAATGGTCACTACACTTGGCCGGGCAGGAGTCAACATGTGAGGAGTCACAGCGTCACCTTCGCTGCGGTCGAGATATAAGATCTCAACAGCGAATCCAGCGGGCTCGATCACACCGTCAACAAGAGCTTGGAGGCCAACTTCGTCAATTTCCGTCTTGACCGTCTCGATTCGGGTTGCGCAATACTGGTCCACGGGCAACGAGAGAAAGGCTTGGTAGCGGTGAGGGTTGAGTTTCATCCACGCACTTGTCAGGATCTATTGTACTCGCAAAAGTCAATCGTCGTTGGCTAGAAAATCCCCGAGAGCCTGGTTTGTATAGGGGGAGGAAACAGGGTAGCATTTCAAGGGTTGCTACTCACTCGGAAATGCGTTATGATGGCACTCGAATCATATTCATTATTGAAAGCGTCTACGAGGAACGAGTCATCGCGGACGCCATTTTGTATCGCCTCTGATATTTGATTAAAGATCTCTTCTGTCGCATCTACGAAAATTTCATACAGATGCTCCTGCTGGCCGACCGAATTAAGGAGCACGTTCAACGACTTGATCCGAAGCAGCTCGCGGTGCACTCGGAGCGTGTCTCGTAGGTTGAAAAGATTCTCGAAATATCCGAATGCAATAGCTACATCAAGTGAGTCAGCGTGGTACAAGATCTCAGAAAGGCGCGAATCATCACCTCTCCAGCCACAGTTGCCGTCCCCTTTCATGATACGGGTGAATGGGTGAGTTACTGCAAGCGCCTATGGGTGGGATAGTTAGCATCCAGCAGTTCCGTAGGGATCCGAAGGAGCCGTCACATACGCTAGTTTTTGCGACAAAAGTAGGATCAGCACTCGCATAGTCCATGGCGATAGCACTGCTCGGTTGTTTCGTTGACACTAGAGGACCCTTGATTTGGTGTTAGTTATACTGCATGGTCAGTTCTGGGCGTAGTAGGAGTTACCTGGATATCCGGTTCAAACTCATTGGACAGCTTCTGGAACCGCTCCATTTCTTCTGTCGAGAGGGTGTTCATGTTGAAGAAAGAGGAATTTCCAGGATACACGGCACTTGGTAATTGAGAATACCCGGAGTTGAAAAAAGCTGATGAATGGGGAGAGCGATGATGATATAAGTTGGTTGCGGAGCCTTGCCTAGCAGGGAGAGGATGATTCAGAGGACCGGGGTGATTCCAAGGGACATCCGCCAAGGACATCGCATATAAAATTCAGGGAAGTTCTGAGCCTCGAGGACCTTCTAGGTGCAGATTCACAAATAATTTGATGTCTTTAATGACATCCGACTGTGTCAGTCTGCTACGAAACAGCAGGGAACATCAAAGATCATAGCGTGATACGCACAAGACAAAGAAGCATCTTTCCAGCAAGGTAGTCGTGCCCCTGCTGCGCCTTATGCTCCAGAGAAGATGTGAACCGGATCAGCTCGGCGGATCGTCGACGATGACAGCAACCTATTCATCACAATCTTAGCGCACAGACCAGACAACGGCTTGTAAGTAAGGAATCCGAGCAACTGGTACGATCTATAAATTCAAGATGCACCAATAACGGGGGGATACAGGCAAGTGATCATAGAGAGGAGGAACGATAACCACAGCCGCACACGATGTGGATGGTTGTGTAACAAAGCATCGAGAGTGGACAACTGAATCCCAGGCCGAAATAGAGAGAGGCCAATGAGGAGAGCATGAGGAAGGATGAGAAAGGGTAGGAAATGACGGCATAGATGACGGAAAAGGCAGTTGAGGATTAGGTCCCCAGCTGCGTGTAAGCCCGAGAGTCAAACACAGACACACACATATCACGACGTGACATCCAGGCTGTCTCTGATGAACCACAGACCCGACAGACGACCTCTAGATCGGTGGTGGTCTGTCCCCTCGTGAAGGTCACAAGGATGGGAGTGAGAACGAATGACAGTGGAAGTTAAATCGGCAAATGATTCCACCTAAGACCAATGATTGAAGGGTTAACTCCAAGGATAGAGTTACTGGTAATTTTCCCTTCTGGCCGAAAGAAAGATGGTGGAAGATTCGAAGGGGTGAATTTTTTTTTTGTAAAGGTGGGTAATTAATAACTCTATATCAAAAAAGGTAGGTGATAAAAGATCAAACACAAAAAAACAAAAATAAAAGGTTTAAAAATTATAGATAGATAAAAGTAAAGGAGGTGTGAACATGACAGTTTTATTTATCACGTCACAAAAAAGAACAAAAAAAAATATGATGATAAGAATAGAACTTGGGGGGAAAAGTTATAGAGACAATAAAAAAAAAGAAAAGGGCTCAGACCTTCTTCTGACGTCTCGTTTACGAAAACAGTGCATACACGTGCCTGAGGTGTGTATGTGGATATGTAAAATGAAGTGGTAGTAGTAGTAGTAGTAGTAGTAGTAATAGTCGTAGTAGTAGTAGCAGCAGGAAATGATGCGATGGAAGATACTTTTATTGCCCTTGTGAAAGGGGGAGGCGGTGGGTGAGATCAATTATGCTCAAAGAAAATAGTAGATATTAACGGGAATAAGATGGAAAGATGACAGGGATCCGAGGGACCTAGCGAGGAGAAAATGGGATAGGGTCGGACGACGATCTGGGTTTAATAAGGGAATTTAATATCACCGACACATTCGTGGGGAGAAGCTTCTTCGTGGTTGATTGAGGATCGGTGGACAGCGCGGGGTTTTGATTTCTTTAGTAGTGGAATGGCTAGTGGTGAAACTAATAGGGTCTTGTTGGTAGAAAACAAACCACTAGTCGCGGTTTGCTCCAGTCAGAGGCCTCGAAAGAAGGTAATCCATGGAGTGCAGCCGATCAGAGGGTTTATAAAAAAAAATAAGAAATTATGGACAAGTTGAATAACACACAAACCAATAAAAGAAATACGGTCAGTGGACTTACTTACGACGGGGCTGTCATAGGACGATACGGGAATGGAGTTTGTGGGTGGGGAGGAAAAGAGAGAGGGTTAAAAAAAAAAAAAAAAAAAAAAAAAAAAAAAAAAAGGAAGAAAAGAAAAAAATGGTAAAACGAAAACAAAAAAGAGAAGAATGAAATGACATGCACATGAAGTTGAAGTAGAAACTAATGAAATTCGGCCCTGTTTTAAAATGACAATCAATAATTAGAACCTGCAGCCGATGGGCGATAACAAGGAAAAAGGAAAAAATAAGATTAAGATTAAATGTAGTTATAGGATATCCTTAAAGGAAAATTAAAATATCGTAATTGAGAAACTGATTCAGGTGTGATATAAAAAGAAAAGGGCTCAACTGAAAACCACCTGTCTAACAGGGTTAATCAAGAGAAAGTAATGATCAATGATTATGAATGGAGGTGAGGTGGTGGACGTCAGTTAGCGTAGCAAATGCAGCGGAACAACCGGTTAAGTGGTTGATTTGAACTTGGATGGATCCTCAAATGACGATCCATCCAGAAGCTACTTTGTTTTATTTTCATTATTATATTATTCTATATTATATTATTCTATATTCTATTATTCTATTATTCTTTTTCTTTTTTTCTTTTACTTCCTTCCTTTCCTTCCCCTCGGTGTCTCCATCTCTTTTAGGACCCTGATATTACCGAACTTTCCCTCGTCTATGAATTAATCTATTTCCCTACCTATCCACCAGTATGAGATTTGTACTCGGTACCTACAACCAAATTACCTTACTGCCACACTATCAGGAAGAACCCCGATACTACTAGGTGCTAAGCACTGGGAATATGCCGCCGCTCCATGATTGGACGGAGAAACACTAGTTGCGGTGACTTGACTTGCCCGACATCACCGGTGATATTTCGCAAAAGTGGATCATGAGGTTGATAACAACGTTCGGTACTTCAACGATTGGCATTTTTTTCCCATGGCTATGACTCAACAAGATGCTTGAAGCAAGTGAAATAGCAAACAGCTCCATACCTCTTCTACTGTATATACTAGTAGTAGTAATAGTAGTAGTAGTAGTAGTATGGAACAACATCCAGGATTCGGAACGACCTTCCGGTCACATTGGATCCAATGCAAATGCCGAGCGGTGTTTGTTCGATTGGGGGCTGTGGGATCTTCGGTGATAGTGGTGGTAGTAGTGTGTCTCTAGGATAAGTCCTTCTTGGAATCCTCTTTTTTTTATAAAAAGAAGAAAAAACTCATTTTTATTTCTCTCCTTTCTTTGCCTTTGAATTTCTCTTTCCTTGGTTTTGTCTACGTGCGTCTCAACATCTCCACGGGATTAAGCCGAGGGCTCAGATCACAACTGTCTGTGCAGAACTCAACCATGAAAAACTCAGTCCGACAACATGTAATCTCCGTATTTGATAGGCACAGAGAAGAACACAATGAGGAATCGCCCGATCTGAATGCAACGTCCTCGATCTCCATGCAGTGGAAAGCGGCCACATGTCCCGACATGGATGACAAACGCTGGGGTGGAGCGACACTAAGCGGAAACTAACGCCGCTGTTGGGAACTTGAGATTCGCTCTAACAAGCTCACTAGTCTAGTTGCCATAGTCCGCTGGTCCTGCTTTCGGAAGAAGAGTACGAACTGGGTCTCTGCTAACTCCAACTAGAGTTAGAGACGACGACCCAAGGGGGGTTACACTTTTAGCAATCGATTCTAATCTAAAATCCTTTCGCGGTCCCTGTTACTTGCCGTCTTGCATGCAGCATACGAGTGCGGAGTAAGTGATACTCAGTATTACTCACTGGCTTAGAATTCCGGGTAACTTTGGGTGTCCCGCTTTACGAGAAAATAATGGGTTACCTAAACAAGCCCGAGGTGAGCTCTCTCCAGTGAACGCATCCCTATCCCCGTGTCCTATTGATGGTCGTATTCGATGATCGATCCAGGATTCCAGACCCATTTCCAGTGTCAAGTTAATGTTGAGCTATTCCGTAAGGCCTCCAATGATCGTGATACATCGCCAGTGCCTCAAAGAAGCAACGTTACGATGATCACGCTAGGATCGTGATTATGCGGATAGACATCCTCAATCACGTATAGATTGTACCCTACCATCCTATAACCTGCAATGCTATAACTCAAATACCATGAGCCACCGGGTAAGATAGTGAGATCAGACCACCACCGCGAGCAATCCTGGTCAGTGGGATGAACCGTCTGACGCCCGCTGGCCCATCCGGCCGGCACACCCATGCCCTCGGCTACCAGCTTCTCCAACCTGTCTGGTTGGAGCGATAATCCGCTTTTTGTTAATTTATCCTCTTCTCTTCTGTATGCGCATAGGGTTTGCCAATCGTCATGCTCAATTATCCACCATCTAGGATGAGTTCGATCCAACTAGAATCAGACTTGCATATGCTACCTCGGCTGTCGCTCCGAAGCCATTGCCCTCCCGGATGGCGTTGTGATTTGGTATTCGTCCGTGAGCTGCTTATACCTGCTACCTTAGGTACCTATCTTGGGTCGCTTGCTAGCGGTTGCCTCTCTCTCTCTCTCCCCCTCTCTGGTTACATCCCGCCCCGTTGCACATACTCCTCGGGTACCTGAATGCCGGGATGATTTATGTTTTACAACTATCCAGCCCAGTCAACCACCCATAGAGAGACATCCATCGGACTGGGGTTCGGAGTTCCGGCTCTTGATCCTAATCCCAGCGTGCTGGAATACCGCTTTTTCTCCCCCCGCCTCCCTCCCACCCAGTCAATTTACGCGGACAAACAGTTTGAAACGCAGCCAACAAAAATCAAATACAACCTAGACGAATGAATGCACGAAGACGGCCACAACAAAGAGAGTCGCCCCTGTACTTAGAGTTCTGATGTGATCACAGTCATGATCACATTCCAACTATCTACCGTTTAGATCGAGGAGGCTGATTGAATGTCGCCACTTTCATATAGTTCCTTTTTCCTAGCCTATGAGTGACTCCTATAAACGGGTAGCTCAACATCCACAGTCTTGGTACTCACTAGAAATCATGAGAGCTACACAGTAAGGTTAAAAGTGGGTGGATGCGGACCCCGGAGATTCTTCGGTGCCCTAACCGTCAGACAAGGATGAAGATTCGGTATAACCAATGCTAATATGATGTGGCCGATTACACGCCAAGGATCCTTCCAATGGTACGTTACTGTAGGTACCTGACATTGATCCCTATCAGAACCTATTTCAACACTGAGTAGGTACCGAAACGACACGTAAGTAACATACCTCATCACCAAACGTTAAATGATAGCTTCTGTCCAATAACACCACTATCACACACGCAGGGACCCCCATCGAACTAGCTTCTTAGTAGCTGATGGACTCCAGGAAGCAAACAAACTCCATTTCTACCGAGCATTTATTATGTATGTCCACATCATAAGCTAACGTTATCATCCCCCTGTATCCACTAATCAAAAAATCAACCCTAGTTTTTCTCAGCGCCTCGGGAACGAACAATGAAAAGCATACGGAAAAGTGGATTTAAAAAAAGAAAAGAAAAGAAAAGAAAAGAGAATAAAAGAAAAGGCTCACGGGACTTCTCCGTCCCCCTCCTAACATGATAGCCCAACCTTCAGCGGGGCGGACTAGTATTCGATGGCAGGCGGCCAATCGTCGAAAGTACTCCAGTAACCAGGTTCTGTCCCCTCTTGGCAAGGCGAGGGAGGGGGGGAAAGAAAAAAGAAAAGAAGAAAAGGGAAGAAAAAGAAAATAACTAAATTAACGAACGCACACACGCATTTTTCTGCCAATGACTCCACTCGGCCGCAGTACCCTATAATTGTATGAATTATTTCTACCGATATGTTGCAACGATGGTGGACATGATCTATTTAGTTTAGCAATAATTATCGATTGAGAGAGAGAGCGCGAGGCCCCTCCCCATCACACCATTTACATCCAATAATTGCTATCCCTTCCGCTGGTTGATCGCCTATTTTTATATATTTTTATATTGAATCTGTTTGGAGAATCCCTGTCTTTGTTGTTGTTTCTTCGCTGAATCATTGACTAGTCCCATTAGGCATCTAACGCAAGGCGTTTAGTTCACTACGTCGGTACGACCCGTGTCTCCATTCCACCATCTCTAACGATAACTAACTAGATCAAAGCTGCTGACTTCCGGTGGAAATCCGACTTGTCACTAATCACTAAGTTTTCCTCCGAGGCTGCTGCATCGACCTTGATATTATCATCCCAGTAGTCTGAGTATCTGAGTACACATACCTTTGTAAGATAATATCTATTCCTAAAATCAAATATCTTGATCCAAGGAGGGGGTAAAACAGAAGAAACAAACACCACATCTACATGCATCTGCCAAGTCCACTACGCACCTTTTTTTTTTTTGTTTCTTCTTTTCTTTTCTTTCTCTCCAAACGCTACGACGGAGTACACTTACCAAGTATTTCAACCCCAAGCGAAAGGTGGACTCCGGGTCCCCACAGCGGATGTCGTCTCTGTGGATCCCCCTCTCGTTAGGTGGACCATGGGACCGTCAACTGCTTTTCCCTACGGTGTTTTGGTCCTATCGCTGAACCGCGACGCAGACGTAGCCTGCAAAGCTATGGATGGTGATAAAGGATTGATGAGCGATGAAACTGGGTCCTCCTGACTGATTGTCTTATTAGTGTATGCATCTTGCAGAATTTTCTTTTTACTTTTCTTTTGCGTGTCCTGGTTTGCCTCTTTTTTTCTTTAAAAAAAAAAGGAAAAAAAAGAAAAGAAAAGAAAGGATTTTCAAATTATGCTTTTATTTCCTTTGGGTTTTGGGTTTGGGGGATTTTTTTCCCTTCGTATTTTTGCTTTTGCTGGCTTTTTTGTTGACAAGTAAGTGCATATATGGAGTCTGTATGTATGATTGATTGATTCTTGTAGTGTCAGTTAGTTTGATGGTGGCTGTTTGTGGATTGGTTCGTTCATTCATTCATTGTTTTCTATCGGCCGATGATTGTTTTGTATACTTCTTTTCATTATTAAACTCGGCAGCAAACTGGGATTGTGTCTGCTGGTCTGCTTCTTTTCCACAGCCACTCACTACTACTGCTGCTATTGCTACTGCTACCACTACTGCTACTACACCACACACACGCATACCTAATATCCGCCTGCACCTGTAACCTTGGGCCCGTGTCCTGAGCCTTTACCCTTCCATCCACCCCGTAATCGGCGCCCAGTACGTAAACCCAATGCAGGTGTTGCTTCATCACCAAATCCCGATTGGAAGAGGGGTCCGCCTCTCAACCCGTGGAGTTGAGACGTTTCGTCCGTTCTAAACCCTTCCCCGTCATTTAAGGTGGCCCGCCAAAGGGTCCGAAGCGATGCGTTCCACTCCTCAAGGGATCGCAGTCGATCCACGTCACTAGCGCTTTCCACGACGACCGTTCCATTTTCTTGGTCAATTTTGGCGTTCAGCTTCTTGTCCAGGATCAGGAAACTCAAAATGTCCTGTACCTCTTGGATGGAGATTTTAATGTGCTTGGAGATGAACGCCAGCGTAAACCGCGTGTAGGGTGCGATCAGCTTGAGGACTGCCTTGGTCCGCATGTTTCGGCTGACCTCGTCGATGTTTTCTGCGATGAAGGGATCCGCCAGGACATCAGGGTTCTTGCTCAGGACCGCTTCGTATGCGTGGATATCGTCGCGCTGGAAGGCATCGACTAAATCGGTCATGGCCGAAATGCGGGGGTCGCTCTTGTAGGGCTTGGTCTCTTGCGAATAGAACGGGTTGATGTCAGATTTCATCAGCATGGTGGTCAGCACCAGATACTTAAGAACCTGGATACGTTGCATCGAACCAGCCTCGTCGTAGTTCCGGAACGACTCAAAGAAATCGCTCTGCGCTTCTTCCCAGTTTTCCTCGCTCATGTGCATCTTCCCTCCACATTCCCGGATAATTCCCATGATCTTAGGATGTGGCACCGCTGACCGCACACGGAGAGCGCGCTGATACAGGGCCTTGAGTCGCTTATTGTTCTTCGTCTCGGCGTACATTTGAATTTCCAGTGCGTATAATTCCAGGAGATATGTTCCTTTGCTGGGATCATCCGACCCATCTTCCCGTTGGCATGCCCGATGCAACTCCCGCACCTTCTTGCTCAGTTGACCGTACTCCTTGCGTTCTAGCCATAGGCGGGCCAGTTTAATATTGGTCTTCAGCCACAGACGCTCGTTATTTGTGTTCTGGAACGAATGTAGTGTCAACGAATAAAACTCTTCCATGCACTGGTAGGCCTTGTCGTCATCCGAGCCTTTCTCAATGTAATCCAGCATGTTGTTGATAGACTTTTCGGAATAGTTTCGTGTGACGGCCGACTTGACGTAGGTAAGAAGTTCTCTGTAGTGCTCAACCGCCTAGAGCAGTCAGCAAGGCATCCAGTGCATGGAGGGCACCAAAGAAAGACCTACATCGCTGTATCGTCCGAGTTTGAATTCCAGCTTTATGGCTTGCTTGAGACCTTTAAAACCCCTTGATATCATCAGCGGCCTGCCCAGCCAACCCGAAAAGTGCAATTTCTAGTTACCAATCGCCTTTCTCTTGCTCCAGGGCCGGTACCTCCAGAAACTCGTCGATCGCTTCCTCCGGGTTATCTATTTTCATTTGTTTGGCGTTGTAGTATTTATTCTCGATCCCGATGTCTCCTGACTCGTCGTCGTCCGCATCTTCGTACTCAAAGTCATAACTAGCAGGAGTCAACCGCACGTTCCCAGGGCTATTGTATCAGGCGGGAGATACACACTCTTCGTCGCCAGAATCTTGCATGAAGTCATCGTCAGACATTTTGGGGTAGCTTTGTGAGGTTCTTTATTTCGTGGTCTCGGGTATTTCTCGTCTGTCGGTAGTATGGATATGAATATTGGTGAAGGTCAAGGGATTTCGTAAGGATGCACGTGAGATTCGTTCAGTTGTTGTTTGTTGTTGAGGTAGATAATGGAGGTTGAGAAGAGACACAATGGAGCTTGTTGGCAGCCTATCGGAGGCCGGGGCTGTCAACCACCTTCCTTCTCTACGTTCCCCGCGCTACGGCTGGCTTAGTCCAAGGTCGATGGGTCCGACCGTACTTTTTCAATCTTTCTCGATCTGGAATTGATCTGGAATTGATCTGGAACTTATTTGCAGTGTCTCATTGCTGTGATTATCTAGACCTGATTGATAATCTATAAGTTATTATTCATGTTTTTCGTCTGAACTGGCCGAACATCCACATGGCACGTGAGACTCGATGTCGCACCATGTACGTTGATGCGTATACTATGAAATATATATATTTATGCCGCGCCACTAGATATCGCACACGACAGAAAAGTATCGTCGATCACAAAATCCCAAAATAGACCAACGATGTAGAGTACAGTCCTCGTTACAGTGTAGTTCCTATAGAATATCTACGGGCTGAAAATATTTGTATATAATCGTTGAAATACGACGAGGAAATCTGAACAAATGTTGTGTCACTGCCTTAAAAAAAATGATTGTAACATAGAAGGATTGCATGGAGTCCGTCGGCTAGACTGTGATTTCTTCATCGTTGAGTGTTATCATGGTGGTAGGCTATGTTTTCTAAATTTATAACCTCAGGTTAAGACAGTGGGGACGCGGTATCAATTGAGCGCACCGCAGTCATGATGACGGCATCGAAGAAGTCTAGAAAGCAATTGCGATGAAAGTTTAACCTCTTCGTTTCTGTCCTGTTATAATGTGAGTACATAAACGTTATACAAGCCATGTAGTACTAAGCATTGGGATATATATGCATTGTAGCGAAGTAAAAGGTCAAATGAGTGAGACAAAGCCATTCTTTAGTTTGAAGCTTGTCCAAGTAGGTACCAGAGGACAAAAACCCCATAAATGGAGCACATGCGGATACTACAACCACCGAGATTCAACCAACAACAAGAATGCAACGCAGTTTTGATGTCCAGCGTGTGGCGTGTCTTATGAGTACTGAGCAATCTTTGAGGTTCAGGCACTTGGCGAGGCGAAATTAGACCTGAGTCCTTGGCAGATGAGGATCGTCTCATTCGCTGACCCTTTCAAGGTCCGATGACATCGTCTGCACGGCCCATGACCGGTGGCTTTGCTTCCCTCACCACCAATGCCACAAACTCCTCATTTGCTTATCACTGAAGTGCAAAAATTATTCTTTGTCCCACATTCTCTTATATATTCTAGATATATACGTCGGTGTCGACCCCAGACCGAATTGATCGCATCCCTTCCACACCCCTTATCGCTAGCCCTCGCGCATACCGTACCAAATTTCTTGAATACTATCCTCTCACGATGGGTTTGTGCGGACGTCAGACGGTTGTCCGCCGGAAGATGGTGCTGCTGTTAGTAAAATCTGCGACTTTTCTATCACCCGGAGGACAGGGATCTAACTATTGAACTAGAGGCGACGGTGCTTGTGGCAAGACTTCGGCCTTGAACGTGTTCACAAGAGGGTAATAATCGTATCCCATCCTTTCTTATGATTTCCGCTAATCCTTGCTACATAGGTTTTTCCCAACAGTATAGTAAGATACACACTCTTTCCACGTGGTTATACGCTCTGCGATGTTGACTTCGCGACTCCCACTTAGTGAGCCGACTGTTTTTGGTGCGTGCTAGCCCCTTCCTAACTAATACTTCGCGTTTGCTAACCTTGATCCCTCCAGAAAACTATGTCCACGGTAATCGCTTCCACCCCTTCCATGTCCGATACGTATATTCATACCTCTCTAGATATCTTTGTCGACAACGTACACATGGAATTATCGCTCTGGGATACCGCCGGCCAGGAGGAATTTGACCGATTGCGTGCGCTGTCGTATGAGGACACACATGTGATTATGCTCTGTTTTAGTGTGAGGAACCCTTGCGCCCCAATATTGGTGAATATCAACTAAATACTCGAATGCAGGTTGACAGCCCGGATTCATTCGAGAACGTCGCAAGCAAATGGGTCGACGAGATTTCAGAGAACTGCCCCGGTGTGAAGATGGTCCTCACAGCGCTCAAGTGTGACTTGCGGAAAGACGAATTTGAGAACCCTAACCCCAATGCTATTACGTACGAGCAAGGCCTAGCGAAGGCAAAGGAGATCGGTGCTGTGAAGTACCTGGGTAAGTACCGTTGATGCCCTGCGGTTTTGGTCGAGTGAGTCTTATTAACCATCCAATGACAGAATGCTCTGCCGTTCAGAATCGCGGCATTATGGAGACTTTCTACGAAGCAGCCAAGGTCGCCCTTGAAGTCAAAGCCCAAGGATCGAACGGGTCCAAGGAAGGCTGTGTCATCCTGTAAACGGTTCGCCCGTTGCTGCTCCTAGCTTCTTTTGACGGTTTCAATCGTTTGTCCGTATACCCTTTGATTTGCTTCTTGTCCGTTGCGCCATTTAGGACTGTCCAATACGAGCTTCGAAAGTCCCAAGCCTACCGCGACTGATCTTCTTTATTACCATGCCAGCTCTTCAGCCTATATGTGTGGCTATTGCATTCTTCTCTTCTTTATATATACTTTTCTGCATCCCCTTTTCTAATTATGTACGCTTAATGTTCTGGAAAAACACGAACTGACCCAGCTTGGAATGGACTCGGGCAATCATGCCTTACTCGACTGGATCTTTCTATTGCCTGGTATCGTGTTCCTGGGTCAAAACAGAAGACAGGGAGAACCGGGTCTGTTTATTGCTATTGCTAGACATGCGAATGTGTACTATCTACCAATTGATGACTCTAATTTTTGGTTTCCAGCCGGATAGCATAAGCTACACAGCTCAGAAGCTCTATCTGTACAAACACACCAACCAACCCTTCTAATCCACTCCAAGCACATCCTCCTCCGTAATCCTATACACGCCCTCAATCTTCTCCCCCTTCGCACCTTCACCACAAGCAAAATCCTGATTCACCCTCCCCACAAACGCCCTCACAAAGCGCTCCGCAACCTCCCCAACCTCAACCCCAGACACCCCCTGCGCTTCCAAACTCGTCGCCTCCCTCCCCTCAAGCCCGCACGCCACAATCTGCTTAAACCACCACATCGGCTCCTCCGTCACATTAAATCCAATCCCATAACTACTAATATTCCGCCGCAGATGCACCCCCACCGCCGTGACCTTCTTCGGCACTCCCTCCCCACTCACCGGCGGCACCCACACCCCCGGATCCTCCGTGATTAATCCCCGGACCCCATACCCGCGCAACACATCCACAACACTATTCTCCAGTACCCGGATATGGCATCTCGGCGTGAGCCCCAATCGCCGCAAGTCGAGGATCGTATACGCTACCATCTGCCCGGGGCCATGGTAGGTCGTCTGCCCGCCGCGGAGCGTGGGTTGGTACTCTGCGCCGTTGGCGGAGGTGAGGAGTGAGCGGATCGGCTCAAGCGCCGGGGGTAGTGAGAGGTGTGCTGTGGGGCTTGTGTTGGAGGGAGGGAGGTCACGGCGGCCCGTTGTGTAGACGGGGTTCGGGGTGAAGGTTATGATGGTTGGGTCCGGGGGTTGTATGGGGTTTATGCTTGGGAGCGTATCTTTGGGAATGAGCTTTTTGTGGGCGAGGAGGCGTGTCGTGAGGGTTTGTTGGAGGTTGGAGACTCGTGTGAAGGATGTTATGTCTGGGATGTGGAGGTGGGCGAGACGCATTTTGGTGGTGGTGGTGGTTTTTGTTTTTTGGGTGATGTGGTATGTCTGTCTATGAGTGCATTGCCTGGGTGTGTGCAATTGAGGGCTTGTTGGCTAGCTTGGAGTCGTGGTGGTGGTGGTCTTGTTGTATTTGGAGGTTGATGGGCATTACTGGTAGGTTTGATTGTATTGATGGATGTGGAGTATGTAGTATTGGGGCGTGATCATGTGATCGATGATGTCGATAATTATTGGTGATCAGTTTTAGTACGAGGGTTGAGTGAATTTTGTTTTTATTACTTTATGGCCGGTAGTGGTTTGTGTCTGATAGGTACTTTTTTTTTGTCTCTTTTGATCCCTGTACTGTGTATGCCTTATGAAGTCTGTAACGTTTAAATGGCCCAGTCATGATCTTAACTCCGGCTATATAGATCACCGACTGGCAGAATGCTAGAGCTATCGCATGAGGTATCGCAGTGATATTGTCATATTGTACACATGCGGGAAAAGAAAGGCTTCAATACATGTCAATTATAAATGTATCAAATTGTCAGCCACTCGATAATATTCCATGTTGGTACTGCCGAGGGAAAGTGGACTCATCGCGACATGAAAAACTACAGCTATTGCGACTCCAAGGTCCCATTGACCAGCGGCGCAGGTTGGCCTTCACCTTCCAGGACAACCTGCCAGTCCCGTACGCCTCCTTTCCAGTCGGCAATCCGACCCTCACGTACCCGGACGGTGACCACCCGGACGTCACCGTCGATGGAGATACTGGGCCTCCGTTGGCCGGGTTGTTGTTGCTGCTGCTGGCCAAAGAGTCCCATTTCTTCCTCGAAAGTGTTGTTCTCCAGATGCTGCTCTTTGCACCAAGCTTCCTCCTCAGAGCCAGGTTCCAGGACACGAGCCGAACCGGCGATGGTGGTAGAGATACTTGATAATGCGCTTGTGTTTAGATTCAACAGAAGGCTGGCCAAGGACGAACGGGTCGCAGCCGGAGGCGGGGATCCGTCGCGCTGACCTCCGGGGTTGGGTGCACGGGTGGGCGGACGGTGTGACACCCAATCGTGGACAAGCAGGGAAACTCGGGGATTGGTCAAAAGATGGTTGGTCTTGCGAGAGGAGGGATTTGTGGTCATGATAATCGTGGGGTACTGGTCGTAAGGTGTCGAGGGCAGGTAGGTATAGGACATGAGAGAGACATGAGGGGTCAGGCCGTCACATGTTGCCAGATGAAGCTACCGAGAGTCAGTCGTTGTCTCCATAGGATAACCAAAGATCAAAATAAATCAATTTGTAGAGCAAAAACCTACAAATCGTGAATTCTTCAAGCATGCAATGACCTCTTGGGGCAGCGTGGTTGCCACATGCGGATGAGTTGTCGAGGCTGATGCCTCATATGAGAGGGGAGGGTTCACGGTATCCGTCATAGCGTCAGCACAGCGTATACGACACTAGTCTTATAACGTTGTACAATGTTCACACAGAAGTTCCGATCGTCGATCCTAGCTGTCGATACAGGCTGAGCCGCTAAAGAGAGGGAAAAGCGAGCGTTGTTCCCATGAAGCTGTGGCGGGGATTCGACGGTCGTAACCGCATTGAGCCGGAAACACTAGTCCGCTTTGGTTCGGATCGAGCTCGGGCCATTTGGCGGTTGCTGCTTTCCCTTCGACGTCATCGGGTATTGAGCTCTTTATGGACAGTAATACTTCGGAGTAATTAGTAGTACTATAATACGGAGAACTCAGCACTAGTAATTATCCCCTTACGTCGAGTAGACATACTCCCGCAGATCCAAAGTGGCTTACAAAGTAGTTTGCCCCCGATATGTTTGAAATTAATAGACGTGGAGCAGGATAAGGGTCGTTTTCGTCATAATAACCTAAGTTATGGAGCAATCCACATTGTAGATCAGCGAGAACATAGCAAATTACAGAGCATTCCCGTTGGGTATGAGCGAACCGATAATGTCGGAGATGTTGTTCGATTGTGGGCTGGATCATACGTTTCTAAACATGGACTGCAATTGGTGACGTTGTTCCTCTAAGTAGCCCAATCCGTAAGTGTGGCTGTACTAGCTGCTAAGGTATGTATGTACTAGTAGTAAGTAGTATTGGGTGTCGTGACTGCTAGAGTCAAGACTCCTTCCCCGCACTCAAGCTGCTTCCCCAGCTTTTCGCCTTCGACCTTCTTCCACTTCCCATCCTATCAGCTCTTCCATCTTCTGCTATCCGTGTGTCACTTAATTTACTAACTCTGCAACCTGTCACGATCCGTGGGCAGTATCCGGCAGCCATCGTCTGGATTTACTCTTCTCCGCCTGATCATCGCTGACGAACAACTAACTGTTCTCATTTGATTCGAGTGTAACTCCTGCAACACCTCCCTTTTTAACCGTTCGGCAAGCCATCGCGTGTCGACAGCAACCTTACCCCTGTCTTTCGTCTGTGCTTCCCCATTCTTCCCCTCTCTTAAATCCCCTCTTGTGTTCTTTTCATAGCTGTGTCGACTCGTCGTATCGCTGTTGTCAACTCGGTTCGCTGCTAAACGACTGTTGTGGTTGTCCTGTTTTCGAAAGTTGCCCTTTTTTTTTCTGTTCTGCTAGAAGCATTTGTCTCAGCATTTCTTTTTGTCTGCACAGCATTTATTTTGTATACGATAAACAAGCATGCTCGCACCACGCATTTTCCGACCGGTGTCCTCACTGGTCCGGCCTTTGAGCTCCTCTGCTACTGCCTACCGCGCTCCCTCCATTCGTGACATCACCCCCACTTCAGCCGAGGAATTTGCTGCGCGTCAGAAGGAGTTTCGCGAGAATTTGGAGGTAGCTCGCAAAAAGAAAGAACAGCAAGAGAGTCAGTCTGTCGATGCCTCTGCTTCTGCCTCTGCCTCATCATCCCCTGTGTCCCGTGATCGCTTCCGTGAGTACGCTACCGCTCCCACTGCTCCGGGTGCGAGCAATGCGAGCAGTAACTATAGCCCTGCTGTCTTTGACGCTGCCCAAGTTCTTGATAATAAGGCATTGGGCTCACTTTCTACCCACCGTATTCTAGGAGAGGAACATCAGCTAGAAGTCAATCAATTGCCTAAGCGCGGTCCCTTGTCTTCGCTCATCTACGGAACGAAGGAAGGCCAGCAACTCGACAAGGATATCGAACGCTCGTTCTCCCAAGTCCTCGCTCGCGGCAAATACGTCCACTCGATCGTCTTCCACGAGGTCAAGCCCGATAGAGTAGACGAATATGTTGATCTGGTAGGGCAGTGGTATCCCCGCATGGCCGGCACTGAGGAAAACAAGGTGAATCTGGTGGGAAGCTGGCGGACGCAAGTGGGGGATAATGACACTTTCGGTATCTCCAATCAAGCTCGACCCTTTCCTGACCCCTCACATGCCTTGTCTGTGAATTCGGAATGCTAATACTAGTTCTGCAGTCCATATCTGGGAGTACCAACGGTATGAGGGCTATCATGCGTCCCTCCACAACATCTCCCGCCATCCGGAGTTTCCTGAATTTGACCGCAAGCTGAAGAGCTTGATCAAGAGCAAGAAGACATCACTGATGCAGGAATTCTCGTTCTGGCCAACGACCCCACCCCGACGACTGGGCGGCCTTTTCGAACTCCGATCCTACACGCTTCACCCCGGTAACCTCTTGGAGTGGGAATCGCACTGGCGAACGGGCCTCAGGGCTCGGCGCGAAGTCATGGAGGGAGTCGGTGCCTGGTTCGTTCAAATTGGTGACTTGAACACTGTGCACCACCTCTGGCAATTTGCGAACCTCGAAGAACGCAAGATTTGCCGGGAGCAGTCATGGGGTATCGAAGGATGGGCAGAGACGGTGCACAAGACTGTCCCTCTCATCCAAAGCATGCAGAGCCGGATTCTGATTCCTATGCCATGGAGCCCTGTTGGCTAAGTGCATTGCACCCCATAGTCCAGTCGATTTGCGATGACAGGTAAGGTCCTCGGGGAACGCCCAGTGCACGCCAAATACTCTGCCGAAGGAAACCAAGCATCAAGGTTGTGGATGGACCGAGATCAATGGGGCGCAAATACACTGCATGGTTTGGAGAACAGAGTCCGCCGATCTCTGGGGGAAGAATGTAACGGTTGCTCCAAGTTTCGGGCATTATTTACGGAGTACGGAAAGCTTGGTCGCTCCACTATCCACTATCGAATTTCAACTAAAGCAGCCATAGGGCTCTTAGTGTATCCAACCCGCACTAGCATTATCGTCATATCATTTCTCTTTGTATCTAGAAATTTATTTGAGAACATTTGTTCCCCCAGTCTTTGCCCCAAGTTTCCATGTGTCACATAACTTCTTGCCCGATGGACTTCATATGCTGCCTCGGGTTGCTACTAACATGCTTTCCCTACCCCTCTTTTTTCTGCAAATGATGAATGACGATCACGAAAGTGACCATGTCCTGTGGGATGCACAGCGGTCTTGGGAGATGACCCGGTCCTCCCAACAAAAATACACCCAGCGAATGAAAGGACACACGTGGGTTGCCGAAGCCAGCAGAATTTCTCCACCAACTTCAATTCTGACGACTCTCGTAGTTTCGACGCTCGGGTTGTTTTGCGACTCCCCGCGCGGCATTTCTGCTAAATAGCGATTTTTGACCGGCAGAAAAAAAAAGTAATTAATACCTACTAAAAATTTAGTACTAAAAGGGAACATCAATCAACAAGAGCTGCGCGTATCCTGTTTTTCTTTCGTCTCGCTCGTATTTCGCTTCTTCCTTTTCTCTTTGGCTTCCTTCTCTGCCTTTTAAGTCTTTTCGACAGCCCAACAACTAGTCCCAGACCTTCCCTTGTCTCTAGTCCTGTCCTACCCCCTTTCGGAGTGACACATTGCCTTACTGTCCTTAATTTCACCGCTATCTTTGTAAAGCCCCAAGGCCCCCAGCGAAAAAATCAAAGTCTTTCTTCCCACCGTACTCTTCGTAGCCGGACGGACAAGAAGAGTCTCTCCCTGGAAACAAGACCAACGCAACATGGTGTACATCCGGCAGCATCAACTGCCCAAATTGCGGGAATACCGCTATGCGGGAGTCGACCATTCGCTAATAAGCCGATATGTCCTGAAACCATTCTATAACAATGTCGTGATCAAGTGTTTCCCCATGAGCATGGCGTGAGTAGTGACGCTTCTTCATTCCAACCGGTATCCAGCCTGGCTAACAGCCTGCTTGCCTTAGTCCTAACGCCGTAAGTCTTTAATTCTCCGGCTCATGGCAAGAACAGGGAATAACTGAAGACTGGTAGATCACCTTAACTGGCTTCTTCTTTGTGGTAATTAACTTCCTCACGATACTATGGTACAACCCTACTCTAGACCAAGACTGTCCGTCTTGGGTTTATGCCAGCTGCGCCGTGGGATTGTTCTTGTACCAGACCTTTGATGGAGTAGACGGTATTCAAGCGTACGGGCCTCTACTCATTTGTTGATAGTTATACGACGCTAATCCTGTCATAACAGGCGGAGAACTAAGCAAAGTGGTCCTCTAGGCGAGCTGTTCGACCACAGTGAGGCAAACCTACCTTTGTATGGCAAACCAGCGCTAATTCATCTTTCAACATATAGGCGTCGATGCGTGTAACACTGCTTTGGGAGTGTTGATCTTCTGTGCGGCCATGAATTTTGGCCAGTCATGGGCTACTGTTGTGACTCTTTGGGGATGTACGTTGAATTCCTTGCCGGGAGACAATTTCAAGGGAACTAACGTGAAACAGCAACCATGACATTCTATGTTCAGACCTGGGATGAGTACTACACCCAAGTGCTTACTCTCGGCATTATCTCTGGTCCCGTGGAAGGTGTTCTGACGCTTTGCCTTGTCTTCGGCCTCACGGCTTACATGGGAGGCGGTAGCTTCTGGCATCAGTCAATGCTGGAGACCGTCGGTGTTCCCAAGTTGGATACCATCCCGGAGCAGCTGTATGACATGCCTTTTACGCAGTGGTATCTGGTCTACGGCGCGATTGTGCTCTTCTTCGCCACTGGATCGAGTATTGTGCATGTCATGCAAATTCGGAGAGAGCGTGGGCAAGACCCCATTGCGCCGCTCTTTGGTCTCCTTCCTCTTGTTGCGGTGTGGGCGTTCGTGCCGGCTTATCTCTATCTGCAACCGACTATCTTGGAGAACCACATGGTCCCATTTGCCCTTTACGTGGGTCTGGTCAACGCATACGCGGTGGGAAGGATGATCACTGCACACCTGGTCAAGGCCAGTTTCCCATACTTCAACGTGCTTCTTTGCCCTCTTGCACTTGCTGTGCTTGACAGCGCTGGGCCTGTGTTCGGTCTGTGGCCCAGCGCACTTGGCGGCGGTGACGGTCAGATTGCATTCATGTACGCATGCCTCGGTCTGGCGATTGGTGTTTATGGAAGCTTTATCGTAAGTTCCTCATGTCCCCACATGTTCCTTTGCTCGATACTCATCAGACAACAGTTTGACATTATCACCACGATATGTGACTACATAGACATCTGGTGCCTCACTATCAAGCACCCCTATGTTGAGAAGCAAACCGCGAATGGTCAAGTTGATGCAGTTGAGAAGAAGATGAGCTGAGAGATAGTGTCAAGATTTCAATTGCATGTCAACTATGCGAAGAACTTCCATGGTGGGTGGGTATGTCATAAACAGGTGGGAGAGTTTCTTCGTTCTGATTTTAGTTCGCTAGATTCATGTTTCGGGTCAAGGCATTGGAGCATTGGGTTGGCCTTCTGCGAATTGGCGTCAAGCTGTATAAAAAAGACCAAAAATGCCGGGCCATTCATCCTGAGATGCAGATGGGCTGGAAACCTTTGTGTCACATGTGATGTCTAAATGTTTGATTAGTTTAGTTGATAGAAAATACTACCTTAATGTTGTAACGTTATATTGGGGAAAAATGTCGAATGTCTGGTTGCCAGATCGGGTCAAGGATCCATGGGACGAGAGGGACCGTACAGTACAGTACGTGGAGATAGAAGGGAGAGGAATGACGATGGCGATAATGTGATTGCTCTGGAAGAGTCCATTCCGGAAAGGACCTTTGGGACCTCGTGAGGTAAGCAGAAATGCGGCTGCTGATTGGGGGAGATTCGAAACGGTACGGGGTAAAGCTGCCGGACACGCCAAGATTCCTGAAAGGAGTAGTGTTAGCGAGGGCTTGAGCCCTATTTTCCCAGAAAGGGCCAGTGGGTTGAACGGGAGCAGTGAATTCCCTTCAGAGTTTGCCCTCTCCACGAGACCACCTTCTTCGTTCCTCACCCTTCAAGCAGGCCATCTCCATCAGCGCACCATTCAACTTTTATCGCTGATCGACTTTTAGTCTCGTCAAGATGGTAGGTTCTGCTCGTTTTGTCCACCCATTACCTCGCGGATATCCTTCGACATAAGCAAAGATCAAGAGTGCGACTCTTCCTCTCGTGCTCGCCATCGCCGTCGCCTCCCGAAATCCGCTCCTATCGAAATCATCCAAGTCCACGCTGCTAACAAGAATTTTTCTCCCCCGACAGGTTCTCGCGGTCGACCTTCTCAACCCTACGCCTCAGGCCGAGGCCCGCAAGCACAAGCTCAAGGTATGATAAGACAACCAATTCTGGGAACATGCAGAGTTGGTGGGTTGGATAGCTGACTGGTACCCCCCCGACATTATAGCAACTTGTGCCTGCTCCCCGCTCCTTCTTCATGGACGTCAAGTGCCCCGGCTGCTTCACCATCACCACCGTTTTCTCCCACGCCCAGACCGTCGTCGTCTGCGCCGGCTGCTCGACCGTCCTCTGCCAGCCCACCGGTGGCAAGGCCCGTCTCACTGAGGGCTGCTCTTTCCGCAGAAAGTAGATGTCACGACGCAACCAGGCTGGAGCGATGATGAAAGACATGTGGCGTTTTTCGATGGATTAATCTAATCTTTTTTTTGAGCAACACTCAGATAGAAGATGGAGTCCTCGCCCCCTTGCGAGAAAACCCCTCAAAAAATACAAAGGTTCGAAGGGAAATGAGAAGTACCCAAGCAGGCGCAGCCATTTCTATACCAAGTTTCCACCAAAAAGCGTACATGGAGGGAGTTCCGGATATCTGGCAATGATCGGTCCATACTATATCAACCTTTGCCTCTTTTTTGACTACTATCGAAACGTTGTTTGCTTTTATTCTTGTTTATGCTGTGGGATCCGTACGACATCATCTTCTCCCGACACCTCTCCCGTCATGGAAGGATATGACGGGTGGATCCTACCATGGGGCATATCTGCATGAGCGTTGCCGGTTGATTCACGTATTCGGATGTCAAGGGGATTGAGTATGGATTCTCCCCTATGACGAAGATGAATAGCTGGTTACTGGCATTGCTAGGACGGCGGATGTGACTACGGGTGAAACTTGGATCCAGTCAGGCAGATGGCGCTTGGTTTTGGCAGGATGTAGAAATACGGTCCTGTTGTAGGCTAGCCTATCTGACCAGGACGTTCAAGCCGTGTACATCCCTCGATGCTATGCAATTGTATTCATGTTCCAGATTATTCCGTGGATTGCCCTTGTAGTACCCCCGTAGAGATCCCCGTAGATTCCAAGTCCCACTGTAGAGTAGTCGAACCAGCCACTGCCGACATGGTGTATATTCCTTTAGATGGTGGAGTACGATTTAGGCCACATTCGTCCTAGGCCTCTTTATACGCCGTAGCATAGATAGGCGGCTGCTCCACAGTGGAGTCTAAAAAACAAAGTCCTTGTAATTAGATACGGACTTCCTTCTCCCCCTCTATCTTCAATTCCGGGGTTCAGTTTCCTTCGGTTGAAGAACCTTGAATATGCAATATGCCTGCACTGGTAGTTCAATTCTAAATTCCTTTCGACATTCGCCTGGTATCCAGTAAGAGAGCTTCGACTAGGTTATTATTTCCTACCGTCCCGTTCACACTAATACTGAACTAATCCAGACGTAGCAAGCAAAATCAACAGGTTCTCGCCCATGTGGTGCAAGTCCTGAACGTTAATTGGGCGTCTGGAGAAGCCTTAATTTAAGGCCAACTTCTCGGTCACGGGGGTAGACTGAGGAGGACTATTTTGGTTAGTAGAGGTAGCTTTGAGCAATGAGGTTAGTGTTGTCATCACCATCGCTGTCGGTGTTCATTTTCCTTTTTACTTTGTCTCTTAGCTTTTGTATGGTCTACTTGAAAAAATGAAGTTTCCCTCATCAAGTTAACTTTGTATGCCTGTATATCATATTATTCTTGACACTATGAGACCTATAGTGATTGTATACAGAGTGTCATACTTGTTAATATCATTGTATCCTGGAGGGAGCGAAAAGTAAAAAAAGAGACAAACCGTCTCTTACGTAGCCAAAAGGCATATTCAAAACCCCTAAGCCCTTCTTTGCATACACACACACTATTAACCCTGAAACGGAGTCAATCATGGTTACACAGTCACATCCATAGGCAAGCCAAACCCCTAGTTTTCTATACCAAACCTATTCCTATCTCATACACACACACCATGATCCCAGAACCAATACATATACAAGCTTTAAATAGAATTAACCGCCCGAGCCTTCTGCTTAATCGCATCACCAAAGTCAAGCGGACCTCCCCCCATCATGAGCATCATCTGTGCCATCGGCCCGCTGCCCTCGATCAGTTGCTCAGCGAGCACGTTGCGGGCCCGGATATCCTGGAACTCTTTGACGGTGGCAGAGTCTGCCGCTTGGAGTTTCTGGGCGTCAATACTCCTTAGCTTGGTGTGAGTGTTACGGATGAAGTCATGGATATAGAAGCCTGTTGGGTGGGGTGGGCTGCCTGTCATCATCGGGTGGGATTCGATGGCTCTGTTTGAGATGTTCTTGGTTAGCTGTTGTTGGTTGTGTGTACTTCTTCTGGTCATGGTTTTGGCTTATCTCTTTGGGTTGACAAATATGGTTGCGATGAGATGTAAAGGAAAAGAAATGAGTTATGTTATGTGACGTACGCCAGGAACTCGCCCATGCGGGTGTCGAGGGTCTGGATTGTGCTTGCGTCGGTCATTTTGGTGATTTTTGGGTTTTACTGATCTGACAAGAACGGATACTGACGATGTTAAGATTTTGTATAAATGGATGTCTTTTGTTGATGTTCATGAAACTTAATGAGGGGTTCAAACTTCTTTTCTCCACCTTGGGTGGCCTTATCTTATCGCCTGATTTGTACCTGAATTGGTCCTTACAGGGACAGAGAAATCGAACTAGTGCAGGGTGGACTAAAAATTAAGAAAAATATGGGGTATAGAGTGTTGGTTTGTGGATTTCAAGATTTATGCTAAAAATGCGGGTGGACAAAATATGTATACAAGCCCTGGTACTGAGAGCAATCAGTCCGTGTAGTTCAGACACCACAAGTTACTAGTTATTGACGGTGTGCCTCTCCGAGTATACACTTTCGCATATCAGCCTATATTAATGCCTGAAACTTGCCAAGGAAAAGCACACACTCTGAGCCCGTACGTTTAGTTTCATGGTTTCGCAATGTTAAGCCTCTAATATGGTAAGCCAACCTCTCCAGGGGCCTAAATTTGCAGTGTAATGGATCATCCTTGACTCATCTCGCAAATAAAAACTCCAAGAGAATGAATAGTATACATCGTATGGTGGACGTGTTCACTTCAAGTTATTATAGGTCCTATGCTATATACTCCCGTAGTGCATGACTCTGACGTAGGTGTAGTTATACCTACGATCACTTACATGCATGTACGTGCCTTTAAGACAGGGTATCGAAGATACTAAACTTAGATGCATTACTCAGGCAGCTATAGAAGGTTACTATAGCTAGGATGAGACTCTAATTAAGTTCCACATCCTGTACTGCAGTGTCAAACTGGTGAGGCCGGTCTGTTTCTATACCATCGAGGGGAAAAAGCAAATAATGCTACCATTTCCCGCCTTTCTTATCTTATCGGCTCTACAATGCAATTCAACTAAACCATACTTAGTCTCCGATCACATCAATATCAATCAATCATTATCCCAACTATTCCTCATCAACCCCTCCGAACCGAACCCCCCTTTCAACTTATACTAAAAAAAACACAAAGAAAAGAAGTCAAAATGTCCAAACAACCCCTCAAACTCCTCATGCTACACGGCTACACCCAATCCGGCCCCCTCTTCCACGCCAAAAGCCGCGCCCTAATCAAACACCTCACCAAAGCCTTCCCTCTCCACGACGTAACAGCAACCTACCCCACAGGCCCCCTACGCCTCAATCCCGCGGACATTCCGGGCTACGAACCCTCCCAAGAAACCCCCGCCGAGCCCCTCGAAGCCTACGGCTGGTTCCGGCGCTCCAACACCGCCTCGCCGCCCGAATACCTCGGTCTCGAGGACGGACTGGCCGCCGTCGCAAAAGTAATGTCCGAGGAAGGGCCCTTTGACGGCGTGATCGGGTTCTCGCAGGGCGCGGCCATGGCCGCTATGGTGGTTTCGTTGCTCGAGCCGGGCCGGAAGGAGGCGTTTGCAAGGTTTTTGGATGCGAATGTTGCGTCGGAGGGGAAGGGTGAGGCGGATGCTGTTGTGTCGGGGGTGCCGTTTCCGAAGGCGTTTGAGGGGTTGAATCATCCACCTTTTAAGTTTGCGCTTTGTTATAGTGGGTTTCGGTCGCCCGGGGCGCGGTATCGGGGGTTCTATGAGAGTCCGGCGTTGCAGACGCCAATTTTGCATGTTTTGGGGTCGTTGGATGCTGTGGTTGAGGAGTCGAGGAGTAGAGCGTTGGTTGAGGCTTGTGCGGGGGATCCGGAGAAGGAGGGTAAGGTTGTTTGGCATCCTGGTGGACATTTCTTGCCTAGTCAGAGGCCGTATCTGGATGCTGCGGTGCGGTTTATTAGGGAGCAGTTGGAGGGTGGTAACAAGAAGGATGCTGAGGAGGAGGATGTGAATGATATGGACTTGCCCTTTTAGATTATATATCTAGATTTAGAATATTTTTACTTTGTCTTTCTCTATAGACATCATGGAGACTATCTGATGATATACGACTAGCTTGGGGAAATGGCAATAGCCGGCGCAGCATCCTGTATATAGCATGCAAAAGCATTAATCCATTTCTAGATACTGTCTCGTAATTTTACACGCCGTGAAACCAGCGCCGATTCATAATCGCTGACCACTTTCTAAACTAACCCATTTAACGAGCCTTACCCTTCTCTCGGGTGGGGAGGATACGGGCCATCATCTCTTCCTTTGTGATCAAGTGATCGATGCGCTCTAAGAGCCCCAGCAGGCTCTTCATGTCGCTACTCCATTCGTTCAACACATCATCAGCATCGCGCGGCTTGGCGAAGTTGATCAGCCGCGCGGGACGGTCGATCTTCGCATAGATTGTCTTCGATGTGACCAATTCACTGATATACTTCTCCGTCTCCTCTTCAGTCAAATCCAAAAGCTGAGTCAACCGGCCCATCTGGATCCGCGTGTAATATTTGGCCACGACACGGACATTGTGTTCGATAACTCGCTTGCGAAGATCCTGCCACCGCTTGAATGGTTGGTCGTCTGCAGACTGGCTGGGCTTGGGGCTGAAGACGTCGGTATTGCACAAATGGGGGCCGAATTGCTGTCCAATGGCCGGCCAGCGCATCAGTTCGTGGATGGTGAAAAACTTCAGAAGCCGGTTTTCCACGGGGACCATGGAGATTCGAGAGTCCGATTGGATACGGTGCAACAGATCGGACTGTTCGTTGTCATACGGAGACAGGATGATGTAGTAGATAATCCGGGCAAGAACCTATGTGGTCATTAGCTTACAACCGACAAGATCAAGTCATACAAGAATACTTACTGCTCGCAGTTGTTCTGGGTTGTTCTCTACCGACTCTGTATCCAGCACTTCCCGATAATGTTTACACACATCCAGATACTTGTAATCATGGTTCGAAAGGATGATCTGTTGTTCATAGTAGCGGAGCTTCAGATCCGTTACGTCGTCGTCAACTTCCATCGGGGGCTCATCCGGACCACGGGTCTTCTCCCTCTCTTCGGCTTCCTTCTTGAGCTTCGCGATCTCCTCGGGGCTCTTCTTCGGCTTGCGGTTGAAATAACGCTTATTGATCTTGCGGCTCAAAATTGTTGCTTGTGTCCAGTCGCCACGCTCTATGCAAAGTGCCACTTGTTCCAGGATAAATTCGGTCTTCTCTCTTCTAGTCATGGATCCGAATGTCTCAACTTGCAGTTCGCAGAGGATGTCAGCGGCGGCATTGAGATCGCCTTGGGATTTCTTGATGTTCGACAGGATGCGGGTGACGCGGGCTCTTTCGACTTCGACAAAGATCTGTACGGTGTATTAGCGATACACTGGACAGAAAGAGACTCTCGAGGAACCCACCTTTCCCTCAGTCACAGTCCGGAGGGTCTGGATGACAGACAACTTCACATCCGTGTTGGGTGTCTCATCCAAAAATCCCATAACCACCTGCACCATCTTTGTAATGGCTTGCTTAAGCTGGCCATGCTTCTTGGAGAGAAGAAGGACTTGGTCGTTGAGAAGGTTCCAGTCTCCGGAGTTCTTGCTGAGCGTTACAATCGTGACGAGAAGACGGGATGTAGTTGGGAGATCAGAGGCCTGTATAAAAACTCCGTCAGTATCGCGCAGTGCATCACACAGGGGCGGTCATATGTCATACCTGTCTCGCTTGCTTCTCCAATCCGAGCAGACTATCAATCGCACGTTGAGCATCGGTCTACCAGTCATGTCAGCATCACACTCAAGTGCAGCTATACAAAGCGAATCCAACCTTGGCGATCTGCTCGGCCTCGGGGATCAGCTTGTCAGCATCCTTGGAGAAGTCCTTCTCCGCCTTCAATAGTCCGTCAGCCATGATGACGGATGTTGTGACTGAGTTTGACGGTTTCGGAGTTTATGATATAGGGTATCAAGTGAAATGAATTAAATGATCCGAAACCGAGGGATGAGAGGTAGTTCGTGAGAAGAGATAACTGATGGCGGAATGACGGGCTGAGGATGGGAACGAACATGGAGCTTGACGTCTTGCCAGTCAAGCTGCCCGAAGCTCTACATCACGTGACATACACTCTAGACTTGGTGACTAAGGCATCAGTCTGGTCAAGGTCACCATGAGAAGTACTAAGGAGGTTCAAGTCCTGGTCTTCCTTGTTTACTTTTCTATAGCATCTTCCTCCCCGGATGAGCATCATGGGTATTCTATGTCACTCCCAGTCTTGTCTTGAACTGAAGTCCTAGGAGTTCCCTATTGGATCCTTCCAGTGTTCTAACATGCTGCACCTTTGGCTGTCTTGCAGCGACCATAACTAGCTGATCAGTGAGAAACATAGCCAAAGGAGGCAGTCAACCTGTGCAAACACCCTCATCGCGATGACAGCTAATGAGCTTCAGGCTGATTCGCGATGACCAGTGCGGGGCTTAGATAAGCAACGAAATGCACGATCACGCAATATCGCTTTAACCGCATTGGGAACTACAGAGAAATGTATATAAAAGAAAGAGTCACAATTTCAGATGACTGATAACTACTGTGGTACATGGGATTTGCTTTATTAATCGCCTAGATAGGCTTATCGGACTGCGCAACTGTGATTGTCAGGAGAAACTCAATCCTTATCTCCAATTCGCCTCTCATTCGGTTGCGTTGAGCCTATTTCCGCGGACATTTGTGCCCGCAAGCAATCATATTGACTGAGAGCCCCTCTGCCATTTCGGTGATTGTGGGGTAAAGGAATAAAAATCACTCGGTTCTCGCTGATTTTGGCCTCCCACATCTTCACAATTATCTTGTTAGTACATTAAGAAAGGCCATTAGGAACAGCAGGGTTTACCTGCGGTGGCAACTTGGCACAATGAAAGACGCATCGTGTGATAACGGATCTCCAGCACCATTGCTGACGGCCGTCTATGCTGAATCTCAAGTCCATTTGATTATCGGTGGAAACCCTCTTGCTGCAGCTCGTTGTGCGAAATCTCTAGAAGCTGGCGCAAAGCCAGTCATCATTGCGCCAGACGCTGGAGACTTGCATTTCAGCTTGTCTGAGCGTATAGAGAATGGCTCTGTACAATGGGTACGCAGAGAATTCCAAGATAACGACCTGAAGTCTCTTGGAAGGGAAGAGGTCGACCATGTTGTTGACACGGTTTTTATCACCCTTGGTGGGAACCACCCGTTGAGTATGTGCTGATCTCAAAAGTTACGAGGAATATGAACTAATTACCTGATAGGTGCACACATCTCGAAGCTTTGTCGGCGTCTTAGAATCCCTGTCAATGTCTCTGATGCCCCAGAGCTGTGTACTTTTAGCTTACTTTCTACGTACTCAGATGGCCCTCTCCATATTGGGATAACGACATCGGGGCGTGGTTGCAAGCTTGCATCTCGTTTAAGGAGAGAAATTTCTTCTTCTCTTCCCTCCAATCTTGGTACTGCAATAGACAGATTGGGGGCGGTAAGAAGGCGCCTCTGGGCGGAGGACTATGCAGCAGGTCTGTGTACTGCACCCCTCGAAGGAGACGAGGATGACTCTACCGGTCAAAGCCACACGTTCAACAAGTTAGTAACCGAGGATGACATCTCTGCCGCAAAGACACGGCGGATCCGCTGGCTCTCCCAAATATGCGAATACTGGCCTCTTCAAAAACTCGCAGCTATCAGTGATGCTGATATTGATACCATTCTTCAAGCATACTCTGGTAAAAATGACCTGGATAGCACCAATGGGGTGGGTCACCTACAAAAGAAAGGGAAAATTGTTTTGGCAGGTTCGGGCCCTGGACATCCAGACATGCTCACGCGAGCAACCTACAATGCGATTCAGAATGCAGACATCATTCTCGCGGATAAACTGGTTCCAGAGCCTGTTTTAAAATTAATTCCGCGGAGAACAGAAGTTCATATTGCACGGAAGTTCCCTGGGAATGCGGATAAAGCGCAAGAGGAATTCCTGCAAATGGGACTGGACTCACTGCGTCGGGGACGGTATGTTCTTCGGTTAAAGCAGGGAGACCCGTATTTGTACGGAAGAGGAGGTGAAGAGTTTGAATTCTTCCGTGGTGAAGGGTATACTCCAATTGTCTTGCCCGGGATTACTAGCGCTCTGAGCGCTTCATTGTTCGCAGATATACCAGCAACTCATCGGGGTGTGTCCGACCAGGTCCTGATCTGCACTGGCACAGGAAGAAAGGGTGCAGCTCCCGAGCCTCCTACCTACGTTCCCACTCAAACAGTGGTCTTTTTGATGGCATTGCACCGACTATCGGCGCTAGTGGAGTCGTTGACTACGCTACCCCAGGAAGGTTCGCGCCTACGAACTCCCTGGCCCAAGGATACTCCGTGTGCGATTATTGAGCGGGCTTCCTGCACTGATCAGCGAGTGATCCGTTCTACTCTAGAAAATGTGTGCCTTGCATTTGAAGCTGAGGGCTCACGGCCACCGGGATTGTTAGTCGTTGGGGCTAGCTGCCACATCTTACATCCTCGTAAGGACGAGAAGTGGACTGTTGAAGAAGGTTTCCGTGGTTTGGACGACCTGCAGAATGAGATAGTCCCGGAGAACGACCAGAAACATGATTAATCAAGACTACGTTTCTAATTACGTTTTATGGCTGACGATGTCGCGGGAAGGCCCTGGAGCTCTGGAGTTGTATATAGAGATAGATACCCATATGTACTAGATTTTAAAGAAGGATGTTGCCTATTATTATCGTCGTTCGATTTTCTATATGTATTTTAGGTATCGTGGAGTAGATAGAAGAGTAGTTAGCGTAAGATTTCATTATGTACACGGCTAACTTCTCAGTTGACGTAGTAGTATGTTCGTAAGACATGTTAAATGCGAGATACCGAGTTTTAATATGTCTAGGTAAGACTGTTACCCCTGCCTGGCTTTGACGGGACCTCAGACGGTCACTAGTTAAATTACCCGATATGAAAACCTTTGACTTAAAAGTGGAACCAGAATCACGAGTTCCGGCGCTAAGATAAAGCACGCCAATCCCCATCTCATGAATGCCACTTACCACCACGCTTTACCGTCATTAACAAAACCAACACTGTCTGGTTGCTACTACATCATGTCGTCAAAACCTCAAACCTATTTGTCCAATGGACAGGTTCTCGGAAGGTAAGGAGACAGCCATTCTGCGCTTTGGATAACAACTCACAGACTGTACCTTATCTCAGCCCGCCCCTCTGGGTTCGCATCAACCGCCTTATCGAGAACATTTATATCTTCTTCGGCCTCTATTTCGTGAGCCTTTTCTCGGTACGTGATGAATTATTCCCTTTAGTCGCCACACTACCCGCATCTTTCCACGCTGTTCAGTAACTTCGCCCTGTCCCGCCACCGTCATACTTGCCTATATCATACTGACATGATTCACAGCTTGACCCGTACACGGCGGCGCAGAACTCGCAATTCAATGTCAATCGTTCTCAGAATCACCCAAATACAAGAGCTCGCTGGGGAGGCAGCGGTGGATCCGGCTCCGGAGGCGGCGGCGGCGGCGGCGGCGGACCCGGTGGATTTGGACCTAGGAGGATTGGGCGCGTCGATGATGTTCGAGGGCCAGAATGCAAGAGTTGCCGCTGAGTGTAAACAGTGGGGTTTTGATGTTCTTGAGGGTTCATAAGGAGTGTTGCGCATGGCGCGATGGGCAATCGTGGTTTTGGGTTGGATCGTTACTATGCCGGTTACTATATCCTTTGCTTTATTATCGATAGGATGAGCGCTCTACATTTCTAGTGCTTCTGATTGGAATCTGGAGACAACCATTTTCTAATGACTTGCGCGAGCATACGCTGCGGTAGCTCATCTCCATGTGATGTTGATTGATATATTATCACGTGATGGCATTTCTCCGCATTTTACGAGAGAGAAATTCGCTGTCCCCGGAAATTCACGACCTAATCAAACGTGTCTTAAAACCACTTAAACGTTTGGAATAGAGTCTAAGTCTTAGGTTGGTTGAGTTCGCGATAATTTTTGACAGGGCGCATCTGCCTAACCTATGATAGTTACCCTTACAGCAAGATGTCTATCCCAAAAGACGACGCAGAATGGGCTGCTCTGATTTCTACTACAAAAGACTCGCTTCCGGAGACTTTTCCTGAATACAAGACACCATTGCCATCCGAAGTTAATCGTACCATCGATCACACCCAGTTGGCGTTGACTGCGACGGAACAGCAAATCGACCAGCTGTGCGCCGAAGCCCTTCAATACCAGTTTGCGACGGTCTGCGTCCGCCTAAACCATGTCCGTCGCGCGGTACGGGAACTCAAGGGAAGTTCTGATGTGAAGGTGGCTTGCGTTGTGGGATTCCATGAGGGCATGTATGAGACCTCCGAGAAAGAGCAGGAAGCCCGGGATGCGGTTGAGCAGGGAGCCGCCGAGCTGGATATGGTTCTCAAATACCCTCTGTTGAAGGACGGAAAATATACGGATGTCTACACAGATATACTGGGTGTGCGGAAGGCAGCCCCGTCGCCGATCAAACTGAAGGTCATCTTGGAGACTTCGCAGCTCACGCGGGAGGAGATTATTGCGGGGTCGGTCATTGCAGATGTGGCTGGGGCTGATTTTATCAAGACTAGCACGGGATTCAATGGGCCCGGTGCCAACATTGACAACGTGGCCCTCATGCGAGCCACTGCGGGCTCGGTAGGTAATGGATGTAAGGTTAAAGCTAGTGGAGGAGTGCGCTCAGCGGAGGATTGTATTCGCATGTTGAAAACAGGAGCCGAGCGGATTGGCACTAGTTCCGGGGTGAAGATCATGCAGGAATTGAGAGGAGAAGCAGCTGGTGAGCAAGGAGCGCAGCAGGGCGTATATTAGAAGGCATTGTGATAGTGGCCTAGCGCCAAATTTGGCATGTTCCTGATGATCCCAAGCGAATCGGAAACTGATTGGTAGTGGTACCTGAACCTGTAGACCTTCCATTCTGGATGATGAAAGGGTAGACAAATTAAAGTGCGACAGGCGCTAAAGGTTCCATAAGGCGGTGGAGACCGACGTCATCAGGAACCATCCTCATCGGTCAAACCATCTTGGTGTCCATAATAACTAATAGACCTGTCGATTAGTCAAAGGGTGTTTGTGTGAAATATTTGCGATCCCATGCAAAACACCAATTACTATCCCAAGCGCCCCTCATTGTCTGCTCAAAAGCCCCCTTCGTCCCCTCGCCCGCGGCCCACGATGCGACGTCCGAACGTTCCCAAGGTATATATATACTCTTCTGACTTCAACTCCACATCCTTTACCGCCAGTTACTGACCCAATTGGTCGTCTTAGAAACGTAAGACCTCTCACGATCACGGTCAGCCTGATCATAATGTCTTTTCGAGTAATGCCTTCACCTCAAAGCCTACCGCCGTTTTTACCCCAACTGGCGGCCGATCGCATACATTGACTGTCGCTCTTCCAGGCAGCATTTTGGCCAAGTATGTATAGACCATGCCGCGTGACTAGTTTCGTTTCTCTGCCGCTAGGACCGACAGTGGAAAAGTGATACTGACGAGGCTCTTGGAAGTGCTCATTCTGTGGAGCAAAAGACTCTTTTGGCCGGTATCATCGCACGTGCTCTCGCCGTCTTTTGTGTTGATGAGGTAGTGGTGTTTGATGACGATGAGAATAGTCCGCGCGACGAGTACCACGACCAACGCGATTTTTACGAGTCCCCTATAGACAAAACGAGTAACGAACTCAACGGTAACGACTCATACGCCAAAGGGTGTACCGCATACTCCGACCCATCGCACTTTCTGGCCCATATACTTTCATACCTCGAGACCCCGCCATATCTTCGTAAACATCTCTTTCCGATGCATCCGAATCTTCGTGGAGCTGGCTTACTGCCTAGCCTCGACATGCCGCACCATCTTCGCGCCAACGAATGGTGTGAATACCGTGAAGGAATTGCAGTATCTAGTTCCGATGGTGGCGGGCAGAGGAAGCATAGTCCACAGATGAGCAACTATCATTCTAACCGCCGCTACTCATCCAGTAGCCCTACTAATTTTAGTGCTACTGTGGTCGATACCGGCCTTCCTAAGAAGGTCGTCCTCCCGGACATCCAGTTGCCTGAATATGCCCGCGTAACCGTCCGGTTCTCCGAGCATGGTCCCGAGCACTATGCGCAACCCGTACATCCGTCTGCCCCTCGTTCTGAAGCAGGGTACTATTGGGGCTACTATGTGCGTCGCTGCCGATCTTTGTCGTCAGTGTTCACTGAATGTCCATTCGACGGGGGCTACGACCTCTCCTTTGGAACGTCCGAGCGAGGTGCCCCGGTCTATTCTGTTCTAGAGGAAGAGCAACAAGAGCATGATAATTATGACCGGCGGAAAATCCCCCCGGACTATAAACATCTCCTTGTTGTGTTCGGTGGTGTAGCAGGTATCGAAGCAGCAATCCACAACGACCCTCGGCTCTGCGACATGGACATCAGCCCGACCGAAGCCGGGAAGCTTTTCGATTACTGGGTCAACCTTCTTCCTGGCCAAGGGAGCAGAACCATCCGCACCGAAGAGGCTGTTTGGCTGGGCCTGACGAGTCTTCGGGGCTTAGTGGAAGGTACCCATCGGCCGAGACCATCGTATAAACCGAGGAGCTTCTGATCTTCGACGAACCACAAGTAGTGTTGTATTGGCACATTCTAGGTGAGGTTCATGCTTCGCCCTGTCTTTCTTGATTCATTCCTTTGCTCTGCTATGTACCGTCCGGAACGGATGTGCAAGACTATTTTGGCCAGCAGCGGGCATCATTTTCTTGCCACCACCAAGTATGCCATCAAGCCATTGACCAACGATCAAACGCTCAAGAATGCGACTTGTCACTCCTGTCACCCAAAAACGCGCCCTGTCAATCTTGTCACGCAAAGAATGCGCACTGCTCCAGCAGATCAGTTGACTTTCCTAGTACGTATTGGTATTTTGTCCTTTTACTTCATTGGTGGACTGATGATGCGACGTTATTTTGGAATTCCGTCGTGTCACATTTTATTCTTCTATCTTTGGCCATGCATCTGGAATGGGAGTCTGGGAAATTAGTATAGCGTATGCTGGAAATTAAAGGCACCACATTCCATTCAAAGGCATGCCGTTGTTGGATTGTCCATTTACCAGTTACCTCCTTTCGACGAAACAATAGAAGGTAGGATAAGCGCCACAGTATGGCAATTGTAGCATAAGTCATTCATATATACAATGCGTACATACAAAGTATAACCTAACGAGCCTCTCACCATCTATCAAGTTGAACCTGAACTTTTGAACCATAGCGCCTTCGTAAATCAAGATAAATTGGACATGACAGTGCCGTGCACAGTGTATAGAAAGGATTATGACAGGAAGGAGAAAATGCAACGCGACAGAGTTTAGGAAAGAGGAAAGAATAATCACTCATCGCCGCTCTGATCGTCCGAGTCACTGGTCTGCATAGCTTCCTCGGCTTCTATTCTTCGAACGACGGCATCGCCTTTCTTTCCCTTCTTCTCAGCCGCAAACCAAGCTTCCCGTTTGCGGGTTTCGCGTTCTTCTTTCCGGGCTTGCCGAAGGACCTTTTCTCGCTGTGCTTGGTCTTGTTTCTGGTGAAGTTCGTTGACGTAGTCGGTTAGATTGGCGAGGTCGGAGCGGAGCTTTGTTACCTCGTCTGTGGTGAGTTGACGGGCGGCCTCGTTAGCTGTTGTTTTCTTTTTGAGGGTTACAAGCTCGTTTTCTAGGGACGCTATCTGGGAATCCTTTGCTGCGAGGTCCTCGTAATTCGTGGCTTGTGTCATCATGGGCGAGCCTTGGGCAGTACTGCCTCCCGGTTGGTTAAAGGCAGCTAGCTCGGCGAGACCTTCTTCGATCATTGAATCGGGGAAGACAGCTTGAGTGAAAGCTTCTGTGAACTGGTTTGTTCGCTCGGTGCCATCGATGTTCTTTGCTGTGGCGGGCTTGGATGATGTTGAGTTGAGGAGGTGGGTGCTGAAGGTGTAATCGGCAGGTACGGCGCCTGCAGCTTGAGATGATTCTGACAGGCTACTGTCATATCGCGGCTTGACGATTGTGTGTGCTACTCTTTTCAGATCATGGCCGGGAGTGGGAAGACCAGCCAATGGAAGCATATGAAGGTTCGTCACGGGATGTGTGTAGTCGGCTATGGTCGTGGCGTATTTCTTTCTTCCAACATTCCATGAGAGGACTTTTCCGTTCTGGTGGCCGGATAGCAGGGTCATTCCATCGTAAGAGAGTGAGAGGGACTGCGCGGCGCCGCAGTCGACGGACGGTGGGGACCATTTCTCTTCCGCGGAGGGCTGGGCGGGGGTAGACTGTAACGATGAGTCGTGGAGAGGATGTTGGAAGGATTGGGCTTTGTATAAGTCCACTGATTGGATGCTACCATCTTCATAGCCGACGTAGAATGCGCGGTCAACTGGATCAAGGACCAGGGAGACTGCGCTGGAAGGCAGGAGGAACGTCCGTAGGACGCGTCCGGTGTGATAGTCCCAAGCGATGGCTGTGTTATCCTGCGCTGTCGAAACGGCGATATTGTATCTACCGGAGCTATGTCCCACGGCGAGTGATGTGATAGCAGCGCGGTGGTTCGAGAATGTACGGATGGGGGAGTTTGGTGGGCGCCGATCCCGACCAGACGGGAGCTTTGCGAAAGAGAGGATGTCGACTAAAGACCAGACATGAATACTGGCATCGGACGAGCCGGATAGAATGAAGTTGTCACTGGGGTCAACGACCAGGGCGGTCACTGGGCTCAAATGGGATGCTGTCGTCGCGACTTGACGTCCAGTGCAAGTCTATTAATAGAGCTCAGGTTAGATTTGCTTGACCAATCGTTTCCTCCCCGCATAGCGACGCAGTAGATTTAAGTTAAACTCACTTCCCATAGGATCAGACGGCCCCCTTCGGTACCCAAGACCAAGACGTCGCCATTCTTGCTCCCCGCAATCGCAAGGCTGCGAATGCGCTCCGGGAAGGGAATAACCGCCTCTTGATTGCCCTTTTCTCTGCTGTACACATGAACAATGGCTTTCTCTGCCTGAGCTGCGTACACATGTGACGGACTCACAGCCAGACAATTGGCCGGAGTCGAGCTCTTCTTGAAGGTGGAGCGTAGGTTGGGTGATGGTTGAAACTCATGAACGCAGATCCCTACATCGCGGAGACTCGCTGACGCCGGGGCTTTGCCTGACGTCAGGGTAGCCGCGATAAAGCACTCCGATAGCATGAGGAGAGCTGTCGAAGGGCAAAGAAAGACGATTCGAGTCAAAAGGGGTGGAGTAAAGGGCAATGTTCCTGCTCTTTTTCCCGCTCTACATTTTTTTTTTCTTCTTTGGATCGGCGATAAAAGCAGCGATAAAGGTGGAAGTTTGCACTGTTTGTCTCGGAGGTGATTGATCGCCCCAAAAAGGGAGATGAACTATCGAGCTACTATTCCATTCTGTCCTCTCCTTCCGTAGTACTTTTCCCTGCGTCCTTTTTGGACTGTTAAGGGAATCACATTGAGTTGATTCTTTAGGAATCCCTGGTCTCCCTTCTAAGAGACCTCCTTGGGTTTGATCCCTGGTATACGCGGTCTACTCCTTCGTCAACATGAAACATGGCCTTCATCCACAGCAGATGTAGTAGTCTGGGCATTGGTGCTAATCGTGGTACGAAGCTCACATTTCAAGAAGGCATCGCGCGCCGCCAGATGGCATTTGTGGCATCTTAATATTGACACTCGAAATCTCCGCATTTACAGACCAACCATTGGAGGCTTTGCACATGCTGGATATTGCGGCCACCTCCAATAATGGAGCAAATCACCGCACCCACAGCAACAGAAGCAAGGGGGTCATTCTAGGGGCTCCGATTTTGATTGCCCGGTGCAACAGTCCTGCTTAAGATAGGCCCGTGACGTCCTGTTCAAGTCGTTTTAGGGACTTTCACTGCTTCCCTGCCGCGGCTTGTCTCATTCCTTCCATAATGACGAACTGCAATGGCCCTGAAGAGCGGATCCTCCACGTTGTGACGCTCCTGCAGGTGGCGCATATCGAGGCTTAGAGCCAATAATCATCGCGGCTGTTCGATCTCACCTCTTCTGGAATGCAAGGACAGTAGGCGTCGCGACCCTTTACAGTTCACTCATGTTCCAGGGTGTTTGGTGACCCTCTGGAAGGGGGCAAAGACGCATGCCCGGCATCTAGTATTTTGTGACCGCCAGGTAGCCAAGGGATGATTCAGTGCAGCTTCGCTTGCTCGTATAAGGTCTCGCTGGCCGCCTCTGTAGATCATACAGCTGTTGCTTCGCTCTATTTTGGGTATCCAAATCATCGTTTGAAGATCTGTCCCTGTTTCTATTTACTCTACATTCCTCGCCCGGCATGTCCACTATGGACTGCGCTCTCGCAAATATGGATATCAACACAAAATTCTCCCATCACCAATATGCCTTTTCGACAAACAGTATTCCCACCTACGCGAACAGGAACACCACCTCGTACTACGTAACAGATGAAGATCCCACAGCCCAAGGAAACGATATAGCTTACCCTCGCTATTCCCCAACATTTCAACCCTGGAGGAGGCAACAAGCGCAGAGTTCTCTCTCATTCATTCCTTCGACATCTCCTCGCCCGGAGCAAACTGAGTACACGGCGCAGCCCAAACGATCAACAGAGCGGCTATCTGCCACTCCCGCCTCGCCATTTCGGTCTGTGCGCAGGATGAAGCAACCCTTTCAACTGCGCTTACCATCATCTCCATCGGTGGAAAGCATCCAGTCCGCGGCCAGAGAGTCCAGGCTATCGCGACCTCCATCCGGAAATCAAGCGCTGCGGACTAGTCGCTCATACCAGCACATTACGAAGACAAATATGGAAGCATTTGGACTGCTTCCAAGTCCTCCTCTATCAGACTCGAGGGAGTCACAGCCCTCGCCGTCTTCCGCATATTTCTCCCCCAAGCCGGACTCAGACCTAGACACTGACCATGGGACCCCTAAGAGTAGCGTATATACGCCAACGACAATTTCGAGTGAGGTCTACAGCACCCACAGAAACGACCCGACTCCAAAAAGAGCAGGGGACACAACAAATGTACACATGGCACATTCCAACTTGATGAAGCAATATAGCACCAACGACGGAAAATGGACTCCAGTATCTACTGCTTCCCCGCGCATGTCTTCGCCAGCTCTCTCTTCGGATGTAGATGCTTTCGAGAAGAGAACATTTTCCGGTTCTTCCATAGAAACGCAGCGGAGTCGGTCAGGAACCGTATCGAGTGAAGGAAGCTGGGTCCCAAGTAACCTTTCGTACTGTGAGGACTGGCTCCAAAGAGCTCCCCTGGAATTCGAGACTACCGGAGAAAAGTCGAAGGAAAACAACAGAAGAAGAATACAGATAGTTCAACAGAGCCCTCCGCCACCTGAACGGAAACGCGAGATGAAGGCTCCTGCGGACGAACCAGTGGTAGGCATTCTCTAAGACTGTTGATCTAATATTTACTTACACTATCCTAGATGTTTGCGGTGGCCAGCAAAACCAAGCCAAAGCTGGTTGACATTTCGCGACAATCTTCTCCCGCCATGAGCTGCTCCATTCCAACCCCACCTCAGCCACCAGTGCCTTCAACACCGGATCTAGGCCATCAAGAAATATCTGCCTTCAGCCCCGACACACCATTGGAGATGTCAGACAGCGGATATTCTACTACTGATGCATCTTGTGATTCCCCGGGTGACACTAAGCCGGACAAGGAGGATGGCTTCATCCATGTAAGCTCAGTAGGGAGCATCAGTGACACCGCTATCCGCGATAAGCCAATGCGCAGTGTTGCATCGCCAAAATCACCTCCACGGCCAGATGCAGCGTACAAAGCTAACTCGCCATCAAAGCCTCGGCGACCTGTGCCCTCATCTGACACGGCTGAGAATGGCGAGTTGAAGAAATGGTGGGATCATGAATGGGCAATGGATCAGCTGGAACATTCGATCAAGGAATTCCCACGCACCATGCTTAGATTGACATCCCCGGTCATTATACTCGTTCGTCATAGTGACGAAAAGGACATCCTGCGGAGGTTTCGCCAAATCTTTCCAGATGCCGCAGAAAATCTATTAGATGGTCTATGTGCAGCACTAATAGCGCGGAACTACGTGCTGTCGTTAGCATCATCTAAACGAAAAACCGCAAACCATGGTCATCGCCCCACCCTGTCTCGTCTTGACACCGTCCCCGAGAGAGCGAGCGCTATGTTATGTACACCGCTTGCCCCGTCATCGCCATCGCGAGTCAGAGATAGGGTATTGGGGTCGCGGAGTGGAGAGCTCAACAAAAACTTAGACCGAATAATTGACGACCTTCTGTTTGCTATATGTCGCAAGCACGACGCAACCCTAAAGTCCGCTGTGCTCGTTTTAACTCAGGTCCTGGAGACCAAAGCCTAGACTGTATTTCCTTTCAACTTCTGTATGCCCACTCGATGTATTGACCTTATGAGACCCACTGCTGCCTTCTTCTCTCTTAATCGCGATTCTCAGGTTCAAGTATATTCCCTCTCTAATTGTCTTATCTCAGCTCATATCCCTGCCTTTCTTTTCTGTCTGCTGCACTTCCAAGTTGCATAGACCTCTGTCGCTTCCACTCATTCGTTCAACCTTGTCTTTACTATTGTATCATTGCCCATCCTCGTCCTTCACTACATATTTCATTTTGCCTATGTTACGAACAAGTGTTCCACCACCCTCCAGTTTTATTTCCTCTGTCTATCTAACTAGCCATAGTGGTTAATTTCTAATCACTAATTGAATATTTCCTAGCCTGTACATTGAACAATGATACCATTGCATCGGCATGAAGACCTCATTCAAGAACCATAGATTTCGTATTTTGTTAATAGACTAGTATCTCCTGTCAATTAGGGCAAATAAGTAGGCCTTAGGCATATGGCACCCTAAACCAAATAAGGTTAAGACACGCTGAGTAATGGCAGCGGACTTCGTTATCATGTCGGAGCTACGCTCATCTTTCCCGCGGAATTCAACTTTCGCAACTTTTGCAAGTTGAATAGCATCACCATGGCTGCATCGACGAACCGGCTACGATTTCTCTATTCCTCCGCGAGGACCATTCCTCAAACAGGATCCATTGCCCCAATCCCCCGCCGCACATATGCCACAACAGAACCTTCGCCGTCCGCCACCGGTGCCCCGGTAGCAGCCCGTAAACGGACAAACTTCACTGATAAGCTGAATGCCGGCCCTTCCTTCGCAGATTTCGTCTCCGGAGGCGAAGAGAACGCTCCGCTGGAGCCTTCCGAAGCATATGCCCTCAAAACCGCCATGGTCGGCCCCGCCGGCCGCAAGAAGGAAATGACCCGTTTGCCTTCCTGGCTCAAGACCCCGATCCCAGACTCCAAGAACTACCAACGGTTAAAGAAAGATCTACGAGGTCTGAACCTGCACACTGTTTGCGAAGAGGCCCGGTGTCCCAACATCTCCGATTGCTGGGGCGGTAGCGACAAGTCCGCTGCTACCGCTACTATCATGCTCATGGGTGACACCTGTACCCGTGGATGTCGGTTCTGCAGTGTGAAAACCAACCGCAGGCCTCCGCCTCTCGACCCGCATGAGCCGGAGAATACCGCCGAGGCGATCTCGAGGTGGAGTCTGGGATACGTGGTGTTGACGAGCGTGGATCGAGACGATCTGGCGGATGGTGGCGCTCGCCACTTCGCCGAAACGGTTATCAAGATTAAGCAGAAGAAGCCCAGCATGCTGGTCGAGTGCTTGACGGGTGATTATAGTGGCGACCTGGAGATGGTGAAGTTGGTGGCTCGGTCCGGACTGGACGTGTATGCGCACAACGTCGAGACGGTCGAGGCTCTGACCCCGTTTGTCCGTGACCGTCGCGCGACGTTCCAACAGTCGCTCCGCGTCCTGGAGGCGGCGAAGCAGGCCAAGCCCGATCTGATCACTAAGACCTCTCTTATGCTTGGGTTCGGTGAAACTGAGGAGCAGCTCTGGGATGCTCTCCGTCAATTGCGGTCGGTTGGTGTTGATGTTGTTACGTTCGGCCAGTACATGCGTCCTACGAAGCGTCATATGCCTGTGCATGAATATGTTACCCCTGACCAGTTTGAGCTCTGGCGCCAGCGCGCTCTGGATATGGGCTTCCTCTACTGTGCTTCTGGGCCTTTGGTTCGCAGTAGTTACAAGGCTGGTGAGGCGTTCATCGAGAATGTTTTGAAGAAGCGACGTTCTGCTGGCACTGCGGGCGAGTCTGTTACGGATAGCAAGGTTGCTGTCGATGAGGCTACCCGGTGAAAATCCTTATAAATCTCTTTCCCTATTGTCTACTTTTCTCTCGGCGCAGGTTTAGGTTGGCTGTTTATCAATCTTATGAAATGTATTGATATTGACGGGCATGGGCCGTCGTTCGCATATATTCGTTAGTTGGGGTTTGGGAGGTAAAATAGAAAGCATCCTCCGAGGGTGCTCTGGACGTTCATTGGGTTCAACACTTATATTCAGATGGAATCAACAATATAATCTGCATATTCATTCAGTAATGTCCGTGGCCCTTCCTTATATGCACCCAAATCCCTCACACCACTACGCCTACGTTAAATAATATCTTCTAGGATCAACCGTCCTCTCGACTACTCCCGTCAGAAAGTGAAAACACAGACAGCCTATACGTATGTATCGAAGCTGAGTCCCTCGGCTTAGGAAAGAAAATAATCGAGCGAAGCACGCCGATCAATCGGTGCTCCTGTAGGTCCCTGCTGACAAGATCCAAATGGCAAATATGCACCTGGCGAAGTCCCCACGCAATCTTTTGGCCAGTTATCATTTGAGATAGGGTGTGCCTTCTGCCGTACTCGCGACACACCTACAGCTCCTGGGATGCTCATGCTACTTCGGCAATCAGTTCCTTGACATCTTCCTTGCTGAGACCAAGAAGGTGAAGAATGTCCACCATGGTCTCTCCGTTCAGACGAGTGGGCGCTTCGAGCTGAACTTTGCTCTTGGCGCGCCAGGCAACTCCGAGTCCAGCAGTATGGAGCATGAGAAGGTCATTGGCACCATCACCGACAGCAGCAGTCTGAGCGATGGGGATGTTGTTCTCGGCCGCAATGGACTGCAAAAGCTTGCGTTTTTGGCTGGCATCGATGATAGGGTAGGTGGGAACGAGCTTTCCCGTCAGGGTTTGAGATGCTGGATCTACCTCGAGCTACACGTAGTAATCAGTACACGGGACCATCGAATAGTCCAATAGGGCCCCAAAGAGGTAAAAGCCCGGAAGAATAGAATGTACTTACGTGATTAGCGAATGCGTAATCGATGCCAAGCTCACCGGCCAACCACTCAGCAAGAGGCTGGAAGCCACCACTCAGAACTGCCAATTTACATCCGAGAGCCTTCAGGGCCTTACACAATTCACGAGCGCCAGGCGAGATAGTAATGACAGACTTCAGCTTCTCAAAAACATCCGCTGGCACTCCTTTGAGAAGACCAACACGCTCCCTGAGCGACGCAGAGAAGTCCAGCTCGCCGTTCATAGCGCGTTCTGTGATCTCCTATAGCAAAGGTTAGCTCTCACGAGCGTATACAAATATAAAAACGAAACTTTTAAAAAAGAGTCCATAGAGACTGACCGAAACTTCCTTCTCTACGCCAATGAATTTGGCAATCTCGTCAATTACTTCATTCTGGATCAGGGTACTGTCCATGTCAAAAACTACGAGCCGCTTGTGACGGCGGAAGACGCTCTCCTTCTGGAGCACAACCTCTACATTCCATTCGCGCTCAAATCGCCATATGCTCTCATGTTTGCGCAGGTCTGTGAATGTGAGGTATTCCGGGTTGGGGGGTGGGGAGAAAGTAACTTCTACTACGCGCGGGTGCTCATTCTGATCGAGGCAGCGGTGGGAGGTGTTCATGCGCTGGTAAGGGGTCGGAAGGGATTCGAGGATTTGGAGGAAGTTTGTCAAACAAAGCTGCGACACAAATGGTCCGTAAATGTGGTCTAGTGGTTCGGGTTCTGGCGCAGGAGGCTCTCGAGGAATCTTCTCAATATCAACTGTCGGAGCCGAACCCACGGGAACCGTGGGGGACGGAAGTTTAACGCCAGTCCCAGCATTTGACGACGAATCAGGATGGAGATGCGGATGAATTGGATCCGATGATTTGTAGTAGATGGTTGCGACGAGTTGCGGGGTACCGGTGGGAAGAGGGTTCGCGTGGTGGTTGAACAAGCTGTGCGTGATGCCACTTTCTGTCACCTTTTCGGGATCTGGGCTTATCGGGTTGAGGGACAAGGATCCTACTCCCGATTCAAGGGAGGATTCAAGGACATTGCTAATGCTGCTAATGGGGACCGAGGGCTTGTATTGTTGATGATCATGGAGGAAGGAATTGCTCCTGAGCGATTCCTGCAGTGTCGGCCGTTGCGGACGTGTGGTGGGGTTGTTCAATGCCATTTCTTTGTAGTAATTGGTTTGGAGTTGTTGGAGAGAGGAAACCAAGGAAGGGTGAGAAAGGTATGACAGATACCTCGTAGGAATTCACCGATGATCAATGGAAGCTCGCCCGTCGGGACCGTACCCTGGAGGAGAAAGCTGTCAAAGAAGTCGCTGTGGAATTGTAGAATCGACCCGTTTGCTGCAAGCCGATCCGCGGCACGTGGCGGGGTGTCTTAACCCAGTCCGCGCGAGGGTCACATGACGGACATGGGAGAGAAGAATATTTCACCGCCCTGGCAGAATCGAGGGAAACTTCTTAACATCAACAATTCAGTGGCAACATACGGGGTATGAAGGGTTCACGGTGCAACACCATCAATATGGATCGAGTGGGGTACATGGTATCGTGCTTTCACTGCACCGTACTTCGAAGTAGATTAATACTGACAGGTGAGACAAGCTAGGGTGATTCTCATTCTTTATTTCTAATGCTAATAAACTACTACCAGACCAGTCATAGTGTTCAGCAAGGAGAGGACCCTGCGTACAGGAAAGGTGGACGCAGAGAGGTTCCACCACATTAAAGTGCCTCTACCCCGGATGAATGTTGTTCTTCTCTGGACATTCGACTATGTTCTAGAGAACAGGACTAGGGGATTTATCAGCAACCTTGCGCTGTCTTGCACTGCGATCAGAGCATTCCGGGGACCCACAGAGACCCAAGATGCAAGTATTGCGTGATTTCCCCAGGACATGAGGGAATTGAATTTTTCATCATGCTCCCCCGAAACTGCAGGCGGTCACAGCCAATGTCGTGATCGAGGTCGGCAGAATCAATCGGCATGTATGAGGAATTCACCAGCAAGATCAAGTTCCGATTGCCGCTGATGTCGTGCTCGCCCCTGTTTTCTTATATCTGACCGGTTGTGGGCTCTCCCCTCCGTGTTGTGATGATTACTATTCTACATCATCTCACGCAAATTGGACCTGGTCATTTGTCATCCTCTTCCATTCATCCATAGTCATATAGACTTGCTAGAATCTCTACTCTTTTTTTGTCTTTCAATACTCTTTCTCTCATTCATTAGATTCAACTCTATACAGGTCACGTTGTGAAGATGCCTGCAAAGATGTCTGACACCTACCCCTCCCACGCCGAGGACATTGAGTCGAAGGACAACGCCACGGACTCTGGTTATGTCAGTGGTAGCTCAAGTGATGACTATCTCCCTGAGATTGTCTTCACGAAGCCACACCTGCGGTTTCTCAACAGACAGCTGCAGTTCCTCGAACCTCAAGGTCAGCATAGAGTGGTCCTCAGCCCACTAGGTAGATGACTAACAACGTACTGTAGATGTCTTGAGATGGTGTGTTACATCACTTCCTCACCTTTTCCAGACCACCGCATTTGGTCTTACTGGACTCGTCACTCTTGATATGCTTTCAAAGCTGGATGTCCCTCGTCCTCAGATGGTCGACCTCATCTTCCTGGACACCCTTCATCACTTCTCGGAAACCCATGCTCTGGTTGACAAGGTTCGCCAAAAGTACCCCTTGAACAACATCCATGTCTACAAGCCCAAAGGCCTCAACTCTGAGGAAGAGTTTGCCAAGAAGTACGGTGACCGCCTATGGGAACGGGACGACCAGCTCTACGACTGGGCCGCCAAGGTAGAGCCCGCCCAGCGTGCCTACCGTGAACTGAACGTTCATGCTGTCCTTACCGGCCGTCGCCGTAGCCAGGGTGGCAAGCGTGGTGACCTTGACATTATCGAGGTTGACGAGGCCGGTCTTATCAAGATCAACCCTCTGGCCAACTGGACCTTCGATCAAGTCAAGCAGTACATCAAGGACAACAATGTGCCTTATAATGAGTTGCTCGACCGCGGCTACAAGAGCATTGGTGACTATCACTCTACCCAGCCCGTCAAGGAAAACGAGGATGAACGGTCTGGTCGCTGGAAGGGCCAAGCCAAGACCGAATGTGGCATCCACAACCCTCGCTCCAAGTATGCTCAATACCTGATGGAGCTTGAGCGCAAGCGGCAGGAGGAGGCCCTGTCTCAGGCGCTGCAGAACCAGATGACCACTGCTCAGTGAACATGGTCGTCGGTCACTTCCGACTTGCATTGATAATGGCGTTTGGGATTGGGAGTTTTAGTATCTAGCGACACAGCCTTGATTTTCTCTATTCTTACACAGGCACTGGCTTTGAACATATGTTGTTATGACTTGGAGGATTATATGTCATGGGTGGATTTAATGGTTTCAAAAGATATCTTATGCTGGCCCCGCTCCCGAAAGGAGCTTGTACATAGCGGGTGGCTTTTTTGTTGTTTTTCTTTCCTCTTTCTACAAAAGCTGGCCAAGTGGCCGACTATGATAATGATTAGCATGATAGAAATGGCAAGACCCTGATATTGTCTTGATTCTCGTTTACTTTCTCTGGTAGTTTGTGGTGCTTTTTAAAGTCATGTGGGGCTCAAGCCCTAAAAAGTTGGTTCCGGTAGTCACGAACCACTCTTATAGTCTAGGATCAATGGATCATTTATAGAATTTAAACCCTTAAATAGACCCGCAATCAATTATTAACACCTAATGATAATTCCCTTCATTAGAATGATCGTCTTTAGTGTAGGTATAGTTGCCTTTCTTCAAACATACGGATGCCATGTACCCCACTTGCTGTCCGGTACATCCGCTCAAGCCCGCTGAATACGTCGTAGGTTGTTGACCTCTAAATTACTCGAATGCTCATTACGTTATCTACGATATGTTCTTAATATTTATTTCCCCCAACGCCATTCAACCCCTTTGTAAATCTAGAACCTGTTCTATGATGTTGCAGGCAATGTCCCCCCCAAACACTAGGCATCCACCGCCATCATCCGTTTCAAGCTATTAAACTTCGCACAGCGAAAGTTCTGATTGGGGGCTTCGTGTAGGACGTTGCCTTCTTTTCATGTTTCATAGGTTCTAAATGATTAATGACCCTGGTTGATTACATATAGTGAGTCACGCATGGATTGACTATAATCTGACATACGAGATAAACAGGATGTAAGTGGCTACTAGGAAGTTGGGGCGAAAACGATAGTGGATAAGTCTGGTGTATTCAACTAACACTGGGAAGGGAAGCATGGAAATGAGTATAAAAGGGAAGAAAAATATCCTGCACAGCTAGACTATTCATAATTCGACAAGGAGCAGATATTCTCACCAACATGTCCCAAACTGAGACCATCCATGTAGTTTCCAAGAAAGACAATAGCCAACATGCTGTTGTCACTATTGAGAATGCCTCTTCCGCTACAAGGCAACTGTCGCCTTCATCGGTTCGCGTGCGACCGCTTATACTCAGTCTAAGCTCCAATAATCTTTCTTATGCACGTGCTGGCGAGTTACTTCATTGGTATGTTACGATTTTATGCCTTACCAAGGGTGAGACTCATTGATTTGATCGACAAAAGGTGGGATACATACCCCGTCCCCAGTGTAGCTCCGGCGCCATACAACGACCAATCGGCGTGGGGGATCGTCCCGGCATGGGGGTATGCCACGGTCCTCGAAAGCACGACTGATATCGCCCCGGGATCGACACTCTGGGGGTTCTGGCCGACCTCAGGACTCCCGACGGACCTTACGTTGATCCCGGGCGAGCCGCACGGGCATTGGACTGAGGTTAGCGAGCACCGGAAACGTCTCATGACTTACTACAACCGATACGAGGTCGTGAGTGAAGATGATCGGGACACGCTGGCTTGGACTGCCGCCATCCGTGCCATCTGGGGCGCCGGGTATCTGCTCAGCGAGTATGTCTTTGCGCCTAAAGAAACGCCTGTCCATCCCTACGGTGCTGCGGCCGGGTTGGATTGGACTACTGAGGATGCGGACTTATCGTCTGCGGTTGTTGTTAATTTGGCTGCGTCGACTAAGACGGCGCGCTCCCTTACGTATAACTGTTTGTGTCGGCCGGCTGGGTCGGGGCCGTTGGGTGTCTTGCAGATTACTTCTTCGCCTGAGGCTCTGGAGCGGGCGGCTGAGCAGCAGATTGCGAAGCGTCAGTCGGGCGCTGGACCGGTGAAAGCTCTGGCGTATTCGGATGTAGATCGGGCGGTGCCTTGGTTGGTTGGTCTTGAGCCGTCGAAGCTGGTGATTATTGATTATGGTGCTCGGGATAATGCACTCCTGCGACTTCGCGAACTGGTGCAGAGCCACGAGTCGCTTCAGAGCTGCAAGGTTGTTATCATCCAAGTTGGAGGCCAGCAGAAGGTATGGTCTACATGAAAGGGACATGTTGCGACTGTTGACTGATAGCTACGCAGGTGTACACCGAGGATGAGCTGCGCGAAGCCTATGCATCTATGCAAGCGCTCGGGGTGATCCAATCCAATGCTTCTACTGCCCGCGATACGGCCATTGAGCTTGACGGCCCCGAGGCATTTTTCGATAGAATGGATCAGCGGTGGAAGCAATGGCTTGACGACCGCGCGGCTACGGTTCCTGACATGCGTCTGGTCTGGGGTAAAGGGGTCGCAGGCACCGAGGGAATGTATGGTGGATGGGAGCGGCTGACGAAAGGGGATGTGCGTCCAGAGGAGGCGTTGGTGTATATGGTTTAGAGGCGATAGGGTTGTTTGAGCTAGCAACGGTCTCCTGAGGCCGACTCGCCGTAGAAGGTTTGCAACGGCATATGAATGTCTAATATGGAGTATGAGACCCCCGTTTAGACACACTCTGTTAGGACGGTAGAGCTATATGTCATAGTTCTCCACTTAGTTACTCCGTACGTAATAGGAATTGCGGAGTATAGGAGGAAGCTCTGGTAGCTCCTATCCGAGACAATTCCGCCTTGTGTATATTGCCCTCCATATATCTTGCCGTGTATCAGCAGAGATGACGTGTCTCACAGCGCGAGTCCTTTATCAACGTCCGCGCGAGCTGTGACACCTAGGTGAGCACGAACGCATGAATCCTGCGTGCGAGCAGTTCCACCTTCCGAATGGAAAGCATCATTGCGGGTAGGGCTCCATGGGCTTCTTGGCAGGGGTACTTCATTGATAACGACCGTCCTCGCCTACGGCGCATGAAACGGCATTGCTGACGACTCTCCTTAATTAATGTGACATATATGCGGGGGGATACACGGCGATCGTCATCTAGATTAGTATACTACGTAGTACCCGAGCACTCCAAACGATATAAAAGTAGTAGTATACGTGTCCATTCCGTATCACCGTTTCCGGATATAAAAAGGGGATGATAACCGTTGGCCAATGTGACGGCGAGAATGGTGAAACGTTCTACTCTTCAGGCGGGAAGCTTTGACATCTTGAAGAAGGCTCATACGTCAGCTTGTCGGCGTCGGAGCGGAATCCGGTGGCAGCTTTAGGGCCGTGCAGATCACATGATCCGCCCTGCCAAGAGAAGCAATCACGCAAGCCGTGTGGAGGATGTCGTGATGATGAACGTGCCCCACGTGATGACGGCTGCCGGGTACCGAAAAGCCGTTTGAAAGGCGATATCAGACGTGTTTCACCCTTCCGGCATTTATTGGTGAGAAAGTGCCTGTCGATCCGATCTCGCAGATGCTTTGGACTATAGAACAAAAAGATAGACAACAACAAAAAGACAGGAAAAATCACTCTCCCATGTAATTGTACTTTTATCAAGTCACCGGGGATTTGTCTCGAATGAAAAGTATTCATGAATAATTCATTCATCACCCCTGAAAATCATGACTCGTCTCGGTTTGATGATCCAGGAGATGACGGTTTGATCTCCAGTTGAGAGACGACGTGGTCCTTGAAGGGCTCGGGGATGGTCATGAATGGTGGGATATTTTCTACCTCGAAATCAAACTGTTCGGAGAATATTCAGTGAAAAAAGAAAAGAAAAGAAAGGAACTGAATGGGTTTAAGAGGTGTTGTATGTTGTCGGAGGATTCTTGACTAGTATAGAGTAAGTATTGATAGACGGTATGAACGAACCAAGGAACAGGAACGGATTGAAGAATATTCTAAACAAAAGGCTTTAATTTACTTTAGAGAAGAATATTCAACAAGTAAAAGAGAAAAAATAATTGAAATCACCGTGATAGATGATGTGTTAATGTTGAGAAACTCCATAATTTGCATACGTCGTCCAAGGAAGCCCAAGAGTTTGGAAGCTCCACAGCCTGACGACTTCACTCCGATCCTTATTATCCTCTTTGGCTGGAACAAGGCAACTCGCCTCGGGGTTCGAGAACCTTTTGCCTTTCTCCTAGGAGCTTTCCATTCAATCACCTAATTGAGAAGTTCCTTGGATGGAAAGTTTCTTTATTTTATTATTTTATTATTTTTATTTTTTGGTCCAATTGCTTTTAAATCAAATCAATTTCTTTTTCCTTCTGTATTTCCCCCCCCCCACTATTTCCGCACGTCCTTTTCCCCCCCTCCTCTACTGACTACTTCCCTCACATCCCACCAACTTTTTTCTTTTTAATCTCTCCATACCCTCTTCCCCTCTTGTGTTTTCTCTTTCTCTTCCACCTTCTTTTTATACATTAAATTGGTCAATTCATACACACATACAACATGGCCAACACTCCTCACGGTGGTGTCCTGAAGGACCTTCTTGCTCGCGATGCTCCCCGCCACGACCAATTGGAAGCGGAGGCGGAGAGCTTGCCCGCCATCGTTCTCTCCGAGCGCCAGCTTTGCGATCTTGAACTGATCATGAACGGTGGCTTCAGTCCTCTTGAGGGTATGTTCCCAATCGCCAAATGGTGTTTTTTCTTGGTTGTATTGCGACAACGCTTGGCAGATGGCGGGGCGTTGAAAGTTGACTCGGTGGCTGACTCCGATATCTCCCCGCAGGCTTCATGAACCAGAAGGATTTTGATGGGTATGCTGCGTTCTCCCTATGCACCCCGAGAAAACCAATTGTAGTTCAAAGATCTCGACAATGAGACTTGGCAAATGTCTGGGGGAAAAAAAAAACATTATTACAATTGACGCCACACGCAGCCAAGACAATCCGCTAACGTATTGCGCCTTGTTAGTGTCTGTGAGAACTGCCGTCTTGCCGATGGCAACCTTTTCTCTATGCCCATTACCCTCGATGCCTCCCAACAGGTCATCAGCGAGCTTAAGCTGCAGGCTGGCTCTCGCGTCACTCTCCGCGACTTCCGTGATGACCGTAACCTGGCCATCCTGACCATCGATGATATCTACCGTGCTGACAAGTGAGTGCTTCCGTCTGGCCGTGGAGCACGGTTTCGCATGCGATCAGGTAATGCAGATGACTGACGATGGTATTCCACTGATGTAGGGAGAAGGAAGCCAAGCTGGTCTTTGGCGGTGATCCTGAGCACCCTGCCGTCAAGTACCTCAACACCAAGGTTGAGGAATTCTACATCGGTGGAAAGATCGAAGCTGTCAACAAGCTGAACCACTACGACTATGTCGCTCTGCGCTGTACGTTTTGTGGCCCGCGTGAATAGATGTCTTGATGTTGAGTGCTAACACGTTTTAGACACCCCCGCAGAGCTGCGCATCCACTTCGACAAGCTCGGCTGGTCCCGAGTTGTCGCTTTCCAGACCAGGTACTTTCATCGAGCGTTAATGACGACCCCTGTGCGAACTTGTGCTAACGGTCAACTGTAGAAACCCTATGCACAGAGCTCACCGTGAGCTGACCGTTCGTGCGGCTCGTGCTCGCCAGGCTAACGTCCTGATCCACCCCGTTGTCGGTCTCACCAAGCCCGGTGACATTGACCACTTCACCCGTGTCCGTGCTTACCAGGCCCTCCTGCCCCGCTACCCCAACGGAATGGCCGTCCTTGGTCTGCTCGGCCTCGCCATGCGTATGGGTGGTCCCCGTGAGGCCATCTGGCACGCCATCATCCGTAAGAACCACGGTGCTACCCACTTCATCGTTGGCCGTGACCACGCCGGTCCCGGTAAGAACTCCAAGGGTGAGGAGTTCTACGGCCCCTACGACGCTCAGCACGCTGTCGAGAAGTACAGGGACGAGCTGGGTATTGAGGTCGTCGAGTTCCAGCAGGTCACCTACCTGCCGGACACCGATGAGTACAAGCCCAAGGATGAGGTTCCTGCCGGTGTGAAGACTCTGGATATCTCCGGTACCGAGCTGCGCAACCGCCTCCGCACTGGTGCCCACATCCCCGAGTGGTTCTCTTACCCCGAAGTTGTTAAGATCCTGCGTGAATCCAGCCCCCCTCGCCACACTCAGGGTTTCACCGTCTTCCTTACTGGTTACATGAACTCCGGCAAGGACGCCATCGCTCGTGCCCTGCAGGTCACCTTGAACCAGCAGGGTGGTCGTGCTGTCTCTCTCCTCCTCGGTGACACGGTCCGCCACGAGCTCTCGTCCGAGCTGGGCTTCAGCCGTGAGGACCGCCACACCAACATTCAGCGTATCGCCTTCGTTGCTAGCGAACTGACCAAGGCCGGTGCTGCTGTCATCGCTGCCCCCATTGCCCCCTACGAGCACTCTCGGAAGGCCGCTCGTGAGGCCGTGTCCCAGCACGGTTCCTTCTTCCTGGTCCACGTCAACACTCCTCTGGAGTACTGTGAGAAGACCGACAAGCGCGGTATCTACGCCAAGGCCCGTGCTGGCGAGATCAAGGGCTTCACTGGAGTTGATGACCCTTATGAGGCTCCTGAGAACGCTCACCTCACTGTTGATCTCTCCAAGCAGACCGTTCGCAGCATTGTCCATGAGATCATCCTCATGCTTGAGACTGAGGGTTTCTTTGACCGCGCTTAGAGTGAGGGTGTTCTGGAACGGGCTTTTTATGTAATGAATTTTAAAGTGATTTTGAACTAAGTGTTGAAAGATATCATAGAACGTTTTTGCTTTAATGGATTATCTTTGATTCCCACTGATATTTCAAGTTTTGGAGTAGTACTTGCCGATGTTGGTATGAGTACACTTCTCGCTGGCATGATAGCGATCAGTGCTTACGTCTTGATAGCGTAGGAAGAAACACCTACTCTATACGCTTATATCATCTGTAAATTCTTTCTGAGTCAATATTTCCATAATATTTTGTTGCTGTTACTCTCAACATCTGCGCAATCGTTCATCCGCGGGTAAAAATTTATTGCAAACCATGCAAACATACCTCCCAGTTTCCTCCAACCACAGAAAAGCGGAATTGACCGTCTTCGAGCTCATCGACACAATCCAAAGCATCAGAGATGCTACCTCCTCGCCTTCCAAGTCGGATACCGGGGGCCATCCGGCCAACCCGGATACCAGGTCACCACAGTCTACGCCATTCCTCCCGCCCATTTACGCAAAAGTCCCGACTCGAACTTGTAACCCCCCCGTACGTCAGGCCACAGCTACCCTTCCTCTCTCCATTGGCGAGCAGCCGGCCAGTGCCGCCGTTGTCGATTCACCTCCGACAGCATTTCGCACGATTGATATCGACCGAGAGTCGCGAACATTACAAACAGCGTCTTTACCGCGGTCTCCGGATCGGTCTGTCGTTCTATGCTATACTGGTCTTGTTCCAGGTGATCAAGCTGGGCGTCTATCAAGAAGAAATCGAACATCAATGGCCTACGCCGCCAGAGTGGTCGTGGAAGAGTCGGTGGTGCTTGCGCTCTGCGCAGGCTCTTCAGCACCCAGAGGATATCGGCAAGCTGATGACCAATTGGCCCATGGTTGCGGGGTATTTGAAGGAATTGCTGGAGCGGTTGGAAGATCCGGCTGGTGAAGGAAAGGGCATTGTTGAGCAAGGGGATGGCGGGTTTTTGGTTGAGGGTGTTGGGAGGACCGGATTTGATGTGTCCAGCAAGAGTGACCCGTGGCGGAGAGGATACTTCCAGGCACTTATGGGTGCTGCGAAAGCGGCGGAGAACCTTGAGGGTTGGCTGACGGATCGAAAGCAGCGTATCTCTGCGCCGGCTGAATACGTTGTCGGTCCTTCGAACCCTCGCCCGAAGCCTATGCCTGCGGGTCAGAAGAAGGTGCCGCAGGAGGAGGATTGCGAGCAGGCTTCTCCGAGCCCCGAGGTCTTCTACATGAAGATCCTGACTACGCGTGGATTCGATACTCGGCAGAAGCTCGATGCTGCCCTCGCTTATGCGGATTGGTTAGATTATAAGGGCTTGCAGGATACTGCGAGCGACATGTACAAATGGGCCATGGACATTGCTGCCTCCGGGTCACTGGTTGACGCTGGGAAGGTGGTGGATGTGAAAACGGGAGTTCTCAAAAATGATGGCAAGTCCTTGCCATCGGAAAATATACTGCGTGTCTCGACCGCGCTTGCGGTTTATCATGCCCGACATGACAACCTTCCCACCGCTCTCTCCATCTTTACCTCCGTTCTGAAGGCCCGCCGTTCTCTCCCGCCGCCACCTCCTGGCACAATTATGCCGAAACTCCCATCTCTACACAAATCCAAAGACCCGTTCCGTTACCTCTTTGACTCGATTAAGATCATGCTAGTCCCCGTTGAATACCCTGCACCTCTCCCATCTGGAAATGAGCCGCCGCTCCGAACTGCCACCTCCGCCTGCGACGAGGCAGGGCTCATGACTTACATTGGCGAGATTATCTACGCATCATCATCGAAAGAAACGGGCCTTGCCTGGACCCGCGACGCAGTTGACGCAGCGGAAGCCACCATGCTCGAGTTAGGTCAATCCGACCGTATCCCCCGACACCGCTGCGCCGAGTGCCTCCGCGTCGGCCTGGAGAACTGGAAGACGATGGTCTCCCGACTTGTCGCCAAGGCTGAAAAAGAAGAGCAAGAGAGCATCCAGAAGTCTGGGCGCTCCTGGTTCGGCGGCCAGAAGCAGATCGAAGCCAAGTCTGTGGAACGGAAGAGATGGGAAGCTGAGAATTTGATTCTCGACGACCGAATCCGGCGACTTTGGCCGATGATCGACGGGGAATCTGGGCTTGAGGGCATTGCGCCCAATAGTTCATTGTTTGTATGATGTTTTATCTTGGGTGAGAAATTCTTATCTTCTTCGAAGGGGCGATTATACCAGGAGTTTGGGGCGAGATTGGCATCTTTTGGTCTTGTTGGTTCACACACAAAATGCCTGTATATCTACTGAACATATTTGCATAAGTCATACGACGTTGAATGTCATTCATAATAGGTTCTCTTCCCGGTTTCTGCGCCTTCGGATTAATACCTCAATGGAGGAAAGTACAACTGCATACTGCGCTGCATGGAAGCGACCAAGACGACGTGGTATGATCACTAACGGTATCATATCGTTAGTGCCTTGGTTTCGATACCTAGTAAAGGTATCGCCATGACATTGCGTGCTCAAATAATTTAGAGACATCATCCTAGCAATAAATTAGCCACGGAGTACTCCGTAGGGTATATCGGATTGTTCTCCGAAGGGATGGATAGGACATGCAGTAAATCCATTTTTCCATTACCCAACGAGTTTCCTTATTATTGCATCCATCCTCGCTTATAACCCCTCTTTCACCCTCGCTTAATAGGAAATGAAGAGAAAATACCTGCATTGAACCATGAAAAGACAAGTCAATTGAGTGGCGGTGTTCCAGCAGTGCAGAAGTGGATCAAAACATTTGCTGTGTATTTAATGTCGTGATCTACACGTTCCATGAGCCGTGATGCGTCGCGTTATTGGCTTCTCGCTATCAACTGTTGCATCCCGATGGAGCTCCACATGCAACCCCAACCCAATGGGAGAGATGAGAGGTTACTTATCCGGAGTAGCCGGCAAGGTTGAAATGCCTAACATTGATACTAGTATTATTATTATTATTACCACGGCTGCTTTGGGGCTGGTCTACAAGTCGGATCCCCGTCGGGGTATGCATCTGAGATATCCACAATTGCCTTCCTGATCGAGAAAAGGATTGGCCCCGGGGTTGGAAGCCATGAAAGCTTCCCAATGCTTGTCTGTCGCTTGTTCTCGGGGACAAGCTTCTCCACTCTGGTGATTGGTTTCTGCCTGGTTTCTCGCTGTTTAAAAAGCGCACGAGGGACCACACACACCCCCGGTCGATAGATCCTGAGGTTGTGTCGACGGGTTCCCTTGCTCAACTTAGCACAGCTTCTCTACGATGCGTGTGGCAACGGCTATCGCTTCTCTTTTGCTGGTCGGCTCTGCCGTCGGCTTGGAGAATCCTCATCGCAAAGCTAAGGCTGTTCAGCGAGCTTATCAACACAAGGCAGTGGTGCCTCGGGCAGTCCCAGTAGCTCGGGATGATACTTACAAGTACTTGACTAACAAGACTGAGAGTTAGTATTTAACAATCTTGGAATACTTGGGTTAATAATGCTGATGTGTTCGTGTGCTTGTAGGGTTCCTTGTCAATGGCACTGGCATCCCAGAAGTGGACTTTGATGTCGGAGAATCTTACGCAGGTCTCTTGCCCAACTCACCCGCTGGGAACTCCAGCCTCTTCTTTTGGTTCTTCCCTTCTCAGAACCCGAAGGCGCAGGACGAGGTATGTTTTCGCTGTCCACGTAACAGAGTAGTCGTAGTCCATTTAACTCTAACCATTCTCTAGATCACAATCTGGCTGAACGGTGGACCAGGATGCAGTTCCCTCGATGGATTGCTGCAGGAAAATGGTCCCTTCCTTTGGCTTCCTGGAACTTACAAGCCTGCCAGAAACCCTTACTCGTGGACCAACCTGACGAATGTGGTGTATATCGACCAGCCGGCCGGAACGGGCTTCTCCCCTGGCCCGTCTACCGTGGATGACGAGGAGGACGTTGCCGCCCAGTTCAAGAGCTGGTTCAAGCACTTTGTCGACACCTTCGGCCTGCACGGTCATAAGGTGTATCTTACCGGTGAGAGTTATGCCGGGCAATACATTCCATACATCGCTTCGGCAATGTTGGATGAGGAGGATGAGAAGTATTTCAATGTGAAGGGTATCCAGATCAACGACCCTTCCATTAACGATGACTCAGTGATGATTTATGGTATGTTTTGCATGTCGCTATGACACTCGCGCCGGTGCCTAATCTGACAATACTACAGCCCCGGCCGTTAGGCATCTGAACCATTATACAAATGTCTTCGCTTTGAACGACACTTTCCTAGCAGATGTCAACTCCCGTGCGGACAAGTGTGGCTTCAACAAGTTCCTGGATGAAGCATTGACTTACCCGCCACCAAAGGATTTCCCTGTTCTTCCGAAGATCAACTCGGAGTGCGCTATTTGGGACGATATTGTCGCAGCTGCTTACGATGTCAACCCTTGCTTCAACTTCTACCATTTAACAGACTACTGTCCCTATCTCTGGAGCGAGATGGGCTTCCCTTCTCTTGCAGGCGGACCCAACAACTACTTCAACCGCACTGACGTCCAAAAGGCCCTTCACGTCCCTCGCACAGATTACTCCGTCTGCGGAGAAACTACGATCTTTAAGAATGGCGATCAATCACTTCCCAGTGCCCTGGGCCCCCTCCCCAGTGTGATCGAGCGGACGAACAACACGATCATTGGCCACGGCTGGCTTGATTATCTCCTTTTCCTGAACGGATCACTGGTGACGATCCAGAACATGACTTGGAACGGTGCTCAAGGGTTCCAGAAGCCTCCTGTCGAACCTCTTTATGTCCCTTACCATTATGGTCTGGCGGAGCTCGCCAATGGTAATGCCCCCGAGCCATTCACCCTGATCGCTGGTGCGGGACTTCTAGGTACAGCTCACACCGAGCGTGGGTTGACTTTCTCCAGTGTTTACCTGGCTGGTCATGGTAAGCTGAAAATCCATATGAGCTGTTGCTAATTGTCCTGGATTATGGTGCTGACAATGAGCATAGAAATTCCCCAGTATGTCCCCGGTGCGGCATACCGCCAGCTGGAGTTCTTGCTTGGTCGCATTGAGAACCTGCAGCAGCGGGGAGGGTACACTGCCTAGATGTATGAGCTTTACCCGGAATAGACCACTTCAATGTGTATATACAAGAGCCGAGGTATATAGGAAGACTTTTAATACCACATTTAGACGGGAAACAAGAGCAACTTCGACATTATCTCTCTTGAGATTCAATGTTCATCTCACTCCTTTCAAAAATCATAACGAACTGTGCAAGGCTGCGTACCTTCCCTCGAATCCTAGACTAAAGCAGGTCCCCCGACCCTACGAAAACGGGAAGTTGCAACGCCGCGTATTTTGGAGTATAGACTTGGAGGTTCAACAGGCTCAAGTGACCGAGCTTCGGCATTGCTTATAGCAACGTAGAGCGATCCAAATACATCGTTGGCATCATTGATTGCTATCAAGTGATGGCTTTTGTACGCAGTATATAAGGTTATTGTTCTACCCGGGTCGCGGTTCATGATCGGATTAGCTGGGCGGTAATGGGTAGACTCCGCGTCCATTCTATGGATAGCAGAAATATGCAGTTTGGCGTAAATTGGGAGCTTTCGGCGCTTCGTGAGGGTTAACCGTCGATATGCAGTATGGTCACGAAGAGCGCGGGTGATAGTTTGATTGATTGTGTGTTTGTGGCTCACGGTGCTGTGCAGGTGGCCTTGTGTGGATGCCAGATGTAAAGAGTCCTTCAACTGGCTGCTAGAGAAGATTGTCCCTGGACTGACTGTAAATGCATTATACTGGCCGCTTAAACTGTTACTGTCCAGTATCTTGGTCAGATCTAGTGGGCTGACCTGCGTATGCTCATCGCATCCAAACTGCGTCGTGAGCCTGAAAGACAGACCGGCATTTATGGCCTCGCGGACCATCCAAACCAGCGGGATGTGGCTGAGACTCCAAGTCTCATCGGAGTCTAGTGGTACGAGGCCCCCAATGTCCTGTTGAAGTTAGTACCAAAGGAAGAGAAGAAGAAGAGAAGAAGAAGAGAAGAAAAGAAAAGAAAGGGAGGGTTCATAGACAAACAGAATACTCACAGCATGACTACCTGGAAACCAGACTTGCTTGATTCCTCTCGTACGTAGTCTATCACCGGTCTCTTCATTCAGGAGAACCGGACGCAATTCAGCCTGACAGTCATCTATTGAGACCGCATGGCAGATAGTATTGGCTGATTTCGAAATTTCTGTGCCTGTAGAGATTCGTTTTCCTTCTCTACCGAGATATTTGGATTTGACAACGACAGCATCGAATAAACCAAGAAATGGGATTCTGTTGGCTGGCTTGCTGAGCTTTTCCCGAAAACCTTTCATTCGAAAATAATTCTCTCTCTCCTCCCACATTTCATCAACATCGGCCCTCAGCGCATAGTTATTCCAGCCTTGGTACACGTCCCAGGCATCCAGAAAGACCCCGTTATTGTCAGGTAAGATTCCAATATAGTCGACCATCCTTGCGAGTGCTTGAGCTATGTAAGCCCCACTAGAAAAGCCGAAAAGAAATATCTCATCCCCAACGTTATAATGATCTACGAGCCACTGTTGGAAGTAGTGTTAGTACTCCGGTATCTTTTGGTCTCAGAAGTTAACTTACACTATATCCATCACCCATACATGCTTTAAAGTCGTCAGGGCGGCTGAAGTTAGCTCGTTGGTAGTGACAAAGCTGGGAGCCGTTTGTGCCATAAAGCATGTTATGAATTTTCTCGATGTTAGATTGATGATTCGCTCCATGCTTATGGCTCCCTCCATCGAAACACAGGATTAGCTTTTTCGGGCGCTCTCCTGACTGCGATAACTCTTTGCGGAGACGGGATTCGGTGTAGCGATAAGGTTTACGCTCATGCAGCAAAGAGCTCCCTCCCTTGCCAATGGATGTCTTCATCACATAGATCGTTTGAGGCTTGGCATGACGTATTCTCCACAGAGGAATTCTGCAGAACCCAGAGTTATATCTCATATATTGCAACTGGCCGCCATGGCTGGGCAGCAGATATATCCCCACAAGGGCTATGTGACTTTCTGAGGTATCCTGACACTCAAGTATAAGTACATCCTTTATTAGTAAGTTGTGGTATAGGGGCAGATGTAGCCTTATACCCCGGTTAGTTACCGAGAACGGAGCAGAATCTTTCTTTGAAAAGTAGAAAGGTATGATATCTCCAGAATGCTTGAAATCATCAGGCGATCGCGCAAGAAGACCAGTTGCAGATCTGTCTGATGATTCGCGTGGTTTCCATGCGAAAAGTGTCTGGTCGGCTGACTCCTTCATAATCTCTTCCTGCAGTCGTATAAAAGACTTCTCTCCCTCTCCATAGAGCAATGGCATGTTAACGTGGAATATCCCCATGAGGCAGTAGGCTGTATCCTCAACACGTGTCGTCTTTCTCCCTGAAGCCCATGACATTCGCCGGGCAATACTGAAATCGGACAACTGTGCTGAGCCTCTCAGTATCGATTCGTCTATGTTGGTGATGCTATGTATCAAGGTACACCAAGATTCCCTGGATCCTATCTCACTCCAGTCATCTGCAAGGAAACGCACGTCCGATGGAGCAATGAGCTCTTGAAGGGTCCAGCCTCGTTTGAAGTATTCACTGTTTCTAACTTTGGTTGATAAATCAGATTGATCATCTTCCAGAGAGACATCCCGTAGGTAAGCGTAACACCGTTCCGCCGATTCGTACCATCTGAACATTGAGTTGATTGCCTCGGACAGCTCAGCGCTGCTGTCTTTGTTGATACAACAGGTGTCAATCCAAGCATACTCGAAGCCATCCTGGTTGGCTACTTTACAGATGTTCTCCACTTTTCGGTAGCCCTCCGTACCATGGCTCCGGCTGAGGAGGATGTCTTGGAACGTCACTTCTTCCTTACCCCATCGGTGCGAAAGAACCGCATAAGGCGGGATTTCATCTGCGAATTCTTCAAGCTGCAACCGCTCTGTGTGAATGAGACGCATTGTTGATGACAGTGCAGAGCATGGCAGAGGAAGAGAGGTTGGGCTTCTTATTTACGGCGAGCATATCGTCTAGTCTCTTTTGGGGGATGGTTGCTTGATCATGTGACGTGGCATACCACAGCGGACTAAATCTAGCTTACGGTCACCTTGTTTTACTTGAAGCCGCTTAGACCGTTCAAACTCGTAGGTACTCAGACTTGTTCAGACTGTTCATGCTGCTGAGGGGATTCAAACTTGGTACAATTTCCAGGTTGACCGGAAGCTAGACTTAGTCCGCCGTACCCTTAGCTCCTCTCACTATCAGGCTAATTGTGAACACAGTTCCACCTTCAAACGGATAAGCACTGACAGTGCAGGTTGTCGACCAAGTAATAGTAATGTGAACATATGCCGACAAGACACTTCGTTGTCCCCCCATATCCCCCCTTCCCCCAACACCCACAAAAACTTCCCGTAACTCCCCTTGAGCCTACTGTGTTGACATAATACTGTCCGCCTCAACTGCTTTTACATGTTCAAGCGACTCAAGTGTTGTTATCGCCTCATCATCAAAGGTCACCCTGTGAGAAGAGGGCGGTTAGCGTATTATCTTAGAGCACGGACGGAGGACACCCACGAAAAGCCTTTGATGAGCGTATACTCGTGTCCTATTTTACCACCCTGATCTATGACATGTTGTTTTGTTCTGGTTAAGATCCCCATTGATTAGCCAATATTTTATGGCATCAGTATATGAGATTTACGCTTGAACATCCTCATCCGATGCGTCCTCCTTGCACGTAACCTGCCAGAGTTGGAGAACGTTAGGATAGCGAACCACAATTTGTTTTCAGCGGCTGTATAGAAGTTGGAGACTCACAATGTATGCAGGCATATTGTTCTAGAAATGGTTAGTCCTAAGTGAGAAGATAGATTTGTGAAAGTCCAACGTTGAAGGAGGGATGAAGCCTGGAGGAGGATGAAGCCGGGAGGGAGGGGTAATGCGGGGGATTTGGGCGCCTTAAGTAACCTTATCTGGAGTAACTGATCAGGTAATTTGTTCTATATATTAGTGTCATAATATCAATCTAGCGGTCTACATCATGCTGGCTATCCGATATGGAATACACCTTTGCTGTTTGGTTCTCCTACAACCCAGGGTTCAGCTACTAATCATCAGTTCTAAACCATGACCGTGAACAGACGGTATCTCTAGGGTTGATATCCTGAATCTAGGACCCATCTCTAACCCGGGCCAATTTAGGTTAACCCGACCCCAAAAAAACCCGAAAACCCCGCTAATAGGCTTGAATAAGTAAAGATAATACTTAGTCAGCAGATACTTGATCTAACTATATAGATCTAGATTAGAATCTTAAACTAATTTTGAAGGCTCTTTATCTCTACCACTTCTATATATATAGAACTATAAAAAAATTCGGCAGAATCAATAGGATATTGTAAGGCCATCATTGATATCCTTAAGAGTAGGAGATGTAATGGTGAACAATAGGGGGCCGGGTTCTCCGGGAATCCGTGCCACTCGAGCAAACGTCGGTGATATTTTCGGGGCAAAATAACCTACATGCATTAAGCATTATACCTACAAGAATTCTACCTTATCCCCTACTATCTACAACTTCGCTCCACCGTACCCTATCGGCCTTGGATAAGATATGACTGAGAAAATGCTATTCGCTGCTTTCGTCTATTTGGTTCTAAACAATGGGTAATTACTAATTAGGGTCTTGCTTTCTGGACCTCCTGCGTCATCGGTGTACTACCAGCAGCATTATGGGCCTCTACTCGGTGGTCCCTGTCTCTGCACAGCCTTGCATGAATTGCTAAAATAGTTAGGAGTTACAAAAGCAATGATACCTTCTCAAGAGTTGGGTTAATGCTATTTCGCAAGCTGAAATACTCCTTTCACCTATAGTTATGTATAATATCCTTCTTATATTCGGTCGAAATCATGTGAATAAAAGCTCTCTAGAACCAGAAACGAAATGTCTTGTGCCCCTTGAAGCCAAGTATGCATGGCTGGAAGGTTGAAAGAAACCATTAGTCATGTATTTATTGGTGAGTCAATTGGGCAGTTGAAGTGAGTATGGTTTCATCGGGGAACGAAACCAAAGTCACTTCAGGGCGCGCAGGCATTCGACAGTGCCAGCCGAGGACCATGGGGCTCCATCAATATCCTATGGTCCCACAGAGCAAGCTCATTGGCCTCCCTTGGAGCCTTGATCACTGTGTTGGCGTTGGTGTTTGACCCATTTATCCAACAAATTCTGAGTTATCCGACGCGACAGGCAATAGCCACGGACCACCCAACCACCGCAACAATCAAACAGGCGAAGAGCTTCATTCCCGATAATGATTCCCCTAAGATATACAGTGCGCTCTACAATGGGATTTGGGGTAGTGATTTTAGTATTGACCCCAGCTGTCCCTCCGGAAATTGTACGTGGCCTACCTTCCAATCCGTCGGGGTTTGTAGTCAATGTGGAGAGGAATCGAATGTGACGGTCAATTGTGATCTATCATCCACCATTAATGATATCGAGACGGATCCACCCAAATGCAATGTTGGCCTTTCTCAGGGACAGCACTCGAATACTAATGTCCCGCCGCTTTATGGAGAACGACCACGCTTACAGGGCTATATACCCAAAGAGATCGTGTGGACCGTCAACACCGTGAGTTGGATGATCGAGAACGAGACCTACCTTGGGATCGACTATCCACTTGCAGTGGTAGCTGACACCCAACTTGGCATTCATGAGGAGCCAGACGGCCGAGTGAACGTAACACGGCCCTTTCAGGCCGAAAATACAACCGTCTGTGTCCTTGCCCTGTGTCTCAAAACTTATAACATCTCGGTTCATGATGGCAAGGTCCTCATCAACACCACCGCGCCACCCAACTACGGAAAGACTATGATGGAAACTATTTACCAATCCTGGAGCCCTAATTCGCAATCTATCAACCAAAGCCTTGATGTAAATACGACAGAATTTACATTCCACTATCAGCAATTCACTACGTTTTCTGGCATGTTAGATGGAAGCAAAAAAGAGGTTGTATATTACGACCAAAAGACGCAACGGATTTCGTTGACAGGAGACGGTCCCGCTGAACTGAAGGGCAATTTCTTGAGGGTTCGGAATACTAGTCTAGAAGAGGTGATGTCCAACGTCGCCGCCTCCTTGACCAAGCTCTCGTTTGATCTCAGCAACGATGTTGTCAACGGGACCGTCTTAGTCACTGAAGTCTACGTGTCTGTTGCCTGGATCTGGCTTGTTTTGCCCGCTTTGCTTCTCGTGTTGGGAATCATCTTGATTTCAACCATCTGTGTCAACAAAGGCCAAACACTGCCGCTATGGAAGTCATCCATCCTAGCAGCTTTCTTTCACGGCCATATCAATACCGAGCCGGATGGTCATGACTGTCATACTATCAGCGGAATGGAGACCATAGCAGCTGATACAAAGGTCCGGCTGCGACTTTCCGAAAGCAATGGCCAACTTATCTTGGAGAGCGATAGATAGTCATGGGCAGGCGTCTTTATTTTCAGCCACCAGTCCAACTCATGGATCGCTGCGAGTTCTGGGTCGAAACATGTAAACGCTGCTACATGAGGACTCTACTTTGCACAATAGGGGTATGTAAGATACTAAGTGGCAGTTACTGCATCTCTGTATGAAATGCTATCCATTCAATACATCAAAAGATGTAAAGTCCACGATCAAGATGATGCATACACGCATAGGCCCCATGCAATTTTTTATGACAGTGAAAGCAAGAGAAGAATTAGACGAGAAGACGATACGCTTAGTAGACGAACCCAGCGAATGGCTCTATTTACGTTTCGGCGATATCTGGCGACAGCTATGATATGATTGCGTATGCGCTTCCGGCCCGATTAAAATCATTTGGACTTACATTGACCTGCCCACTGTCCCCTCTTCAAAGAAGCCGAAAGTCTACCGCATCTTCCCTCATAGGCAACAAAATTTGATTCCGCCTTACAAACCTCCCTCGACAATAGTGAGAAGGTTAAAAGCGCTTACAGGGCATTGAGGATGGGCGAAATCTGATATTGTGGAAAAACAAGTTCAACGTTAATGTCGATAGGCTTTCAGCAACAGCATTGGATACCAAGTATATCAAGACATCATCCACTATCGAGCGCAATATTACGATGGTCCAGGCTGGATCAAGGCGGCTGCCACGGAGGTGTGAGCCCAGCTGAGAAGAGAAGTGTACAGGAGGTATGTACATCCAGGCATTAACGCGGCGCAGAGACCACATCATTCTGCAGGCGAGTTCGTTCTAAACACAAGCAACCCTGATACATACCTCCCGTGGAGTTTCACTACTAGAAAATGCGTGCAAGATAGCTCGGATCTTGGCATTATCTGCAGCCTAGGACCTCAATCGATGAGATGATAAAGACGGCGAAAGACATAGAGAAATGGACGGCGGAGTCATCATACCGCGATGGAAATGACATGCCATTCTAAGACCTCGACAATCTAGGGCTTTCCGTCTTAAGGGTTCAGGGCTTGGACCTGCTGAAATTGCGTATGATGATTGCGCTTCCACTTTTGGGATTTTCTGTCCTTTGCTATATGATATATGATGGTATTGCAGATTAGATCGTGAAATAAAAATGATGCTAACCGTATTATACCTCACAATCTTGGGTTTAATCCGTCACTCCATAATCAACGAGCCCACCTGTCGGTCAATGCTGCATATAGATTGACCCTAGATGCCCTCAGTAGGGCAAATACTACCGCAATACTTTCAGAAGAGGCTTTACTAAGTTGTACATTGATATATGAAGAATAGTCGACAGGCATGATCCTCATCTAAGTACATACGAGGCCAGAGATGGGATGAAAGGACTTCCAATGCATCGCGTTCTTATCACACTAAAACATTAATATGTCACGATCCCGACGATCATATGTTTGTCTTAAATAACGTGTATCCTTCAGAAAGGGCCACTGGGAAACCAGCTGATCAAGCACTTTACCTTGCAGTGTATTAGTAAACAGTTCAAGCTTTTTCAAGGCAAGCGGGCTCTCCGAAAGACAACTTAGTGAGTGGTGTGCTCCTTACTTGTCGTAGATAATGGTTTGTTATTAAGCAATTGATAATCTGCAGCCGGTCTTCGCCGAATATATATTTATAGGCTGAAGATAGGACTGAATGGTACTTGTAGTAACCAACAATAAATCTAGCCCATCCGGGCTAGTATGAAATCTATCTAATAAGGCACAGCTCACAGCTCATACACCACCCTCCTTCTTCGCGCTAATATTCGCTCCATCCTCAGTAACATCCAAAGAGCTACCCAATGTAGCAGTCCACTTCCTTACCAAATGCCCCTTCAAGATAATTCCCGCCATGATAATATCAACAAAAACAATCAAAAACGCTCCCATCCCCCACATCCAACCCACACCAACAGAAGACTGCCATTGCGTAACAATGAACACAGACATCAGCCCAAATGAGACCCGATACGCATTAAGCGACACAGAAGCCTCAACGGGGTTGTTCAAAAAGCATTCGATGATATAGTTATAGCAGACCGGGAGGGCAAGCAGGGCCCCGAACCAGATGAGGAACGAACCCAGGGCCAGAACCATAAAGTGGAGGTGGTATTCGAGGCCGGCACCGTAGATACCGAGACCGATGGGGAGGATGATGCTCGGTAAGATGGTGTTTGCGAGTCGGTACTCTGTGTGCCAGGTTCCGCCGCGGCGACGGGCGAGCCAGAGAGGCGTCTTGTCGTTGAAGAAGAAACCGTAGACTTGGGCGCTGATGATTCCGACCCAGGCTGTCATGGTGAAGAAGGCCATTTGGAGGGAGGAGAACCCATATCCGCCTGCTTCCTCGGGGGGTTCGAGGTAGGTAGCCAAGGTGGAGGCTTGCATGATGGGGAGACCGAGGGCGATGAAGATGTAGGTTCCTGTTAGGAGTGTGATGGGGGTAAATGTGATCTGCAGCGGGGTGATTGCTTTGCGGACCTGAAGATATTGTTAGTTATATTGATTCTGAATAGCTAGAAGCATTGTTGCATGCTATTGGGGAGAGCTTACGAATTCTGGTCCTTTGCCCGATGGTTGTGTTCTGGTACCCGGCAAGAAGGTGGCAATGCGATTGGCAAGCCAGCCCTTGGGAAGGGGAGCACGCTTCGGCATTGAAGGGTCCCGGGGGAAAGTAGTGTCTTCAACAAAGAAGAACACGGCAAGGATGGCGGCGCCCACAGGGCCCAGCGTCCACCAAAAAACATAGTTCCAGGGCTTATGCTCAGCAATGAAACCGCCCAGAGTACCACCGCCGACGACAGCAAAGATGATGAGAACCTCGAAGATGGCAAATGCCTTACCCCGCTGATGCAGATAGAACATATCCATGATGTAACCGCTACCCAGGATAGCAGGGATACCACCGAACATGCCGCAGAAGAGTCGCGAAATGGTGAAGGAGATATAGTCATTCGCACCCGTCATCTCGGCAGCCCAAATCTGGCAGGCGAAAATAGCCACCAGACTCCAGAGTACCACTGAACTGCGACCGATGACAGCCACAAGAGGAATAATGAAGAACGGTCCTGCGACCCATCCTGCTAGGCCAGCGGCAACCGAGTTTAGTAGGTCGGTTTGGGTCTTGTGATATGCGGGGATTTGGTAGATGAAGGTGAGTTGGTTGGAATTAGGCGACATCTGACCCGCGAAACCGGCCAGACAGATACATGCGAATATGGTAATTTTCTTGTGCATGGGCCAGTTCTGAAGATTTGTTAGAGGGACGCGTCGCGAAATGCTATACCAGTGTTTTTGAAAGATTGTTTGACCTACCAAGGGGTCTTCCGGGTCATCACTCGGTTGAGGAATGAGGACGATGCCATCGTCATTCTTCTTGGAATATTCTGAAGATTGGTCGCTTCCAGTTGCGGCCATCACATCCGGCGAGGGATACTTGTCCTCCTGCTCCATTGCAGACATGGTAAACGTGCAACCAGTTGCAGAGAGCTTATCCAACGTTGACAGAGGAGAGAAAAAAAAAAGCAAAGGGGTTAATCTATTGGAAGGATTTGTTCTTCATGAGCTGCCAAACATGTGATTTATACTCGCATCGTTGATTTGCAGATTCTATTATTCATTCAAACCCTACTTGCAGGGATTATTTTCATACTAAATTACATTCGAGCGAAGTGAAGAGCAACCCCTGCATGATAGTAACTAGTGGTCTCGATGTAACATCGACCATAGGTTCACGGCGACATGGGGTCCGCAATAACAATTCATTAATCGCCTGTCTCAGGTAAAAAATCTCTACGCAAGCGACTTTATTGGGTTTCGAACGAGACCCCTTCTTGGAAGCTTACTTGCGGACGGGGTGACATTCCGCGGATACTAAAAAGCGACGGTTCGCGGTTAGGGTTTGTTAATGCACGAGGTGGCACGGAGCTAAGATGGGTTAGTAACGCTTATTACTGATCAGGAGGATTGGCTTGGTTTTCTTATTGGCCGGCCAGAACAATTCCGCCAGAGCACTGGAACTCAATACTACCTGATGCTCCACCATAAAATGCCAAGAACGCTTCGATATGAATTTCATTAGGCTACGGAGTAAATTTTTCTTGTCCAGGTTCCTCCGAGGACATCGTTATACCAAAGTGGAGCGCCTGAGATTGGTTCGTGGTCATGCTTCAATTTCAGATCGTATCGTAAATCTATTTTTTGTTCTAGACGTATCTCCTTTCGGCACTCTCCTCCGAAGTTGGTCTCGCATCTAGGTCACTCTCCACAGTATGCCCTAGTGTGGTGACCACCTCAATGGAAGTGGTTTTCATGATACCCCGGTCATCCAGACGAAGTTGAGATTCGCTGTCCCCGCCAAAGTCATCTCGCTCGTCTGGCTCGTTTCTAGTATCAAATACAGTATGCCCCCACTCAATTCGCGAGGTTCGCCCGGTGCGCGTGGTCCGGAGCGGTAGAGAATGCGATTTGTCACGAGAATAATAGTTTGTAGTCACGGAGTTATGACCGAGGAGTGGTCGGACAGATGGGGCGGCGGCAGCGATAATCCCAAAGGTCGCTTCCAGTCTGCGCCGGAGCCAAGTCAGCATCCCTTTCATTCTTGTCCAAGCCGGTGGAGTATAGGTTAGTTCGTGACAACTTACACGGCCCACATGAATAGGTCAACCAGGTCCCCTAGATGATAGCACCATCAATAATCTGCTCCAATATACCGGCATGACACATTACGTGCGAAGAATTATACTCACATGTTGGATCTTCCGTTGTCATCAAACTAGGAACAAGGGCTGTGCGAGCAATTGCGAAACCACCGCTCCTGGTGTTCCAGCCTTTCAGTCAGCAATCCTTTCCCCCGTAGCTTGTTCCGATCACCATCTACTCACGCGAAGCCCAATGCCATAATCCCGCATATGCCCACTTTCACTCTCTTCGGGAGTTTAATGTTCCATAGAAAAACAATTGGCAGAATGGACAAAGCAAAATCCGTTGATGCAGCAATCGCTATGCAGATTATGTCAGGTTATACCGTCACTACATGGGTGGGCGTCGTACCTCCTTGGGCGATTCCAATTGCATCGATCGCATTAGCCGACCAACAGTGTCCTTCCACCGACTTATCCCAATTAAGTTCCACGGGGGTACATTGCGGAAAAATGACGGCAGCGTCGAGTACGCTGGTGATGGTGTTGAAGGCGATAAAGCACCAGAAGAAAACCCTCCATTTCTTGCTTGTGAGACTGGGGACAACAACTGTTAGCCGCAGCGTGGCCGTGGTCAATATCCCAGGATCAGTACTTACAAAAGTCTCTTTAGAAATAGGCTAATTGAAATCTTGAGGAAGACGGTTGTGAAGATTAATAGGAATTCACATATCCGCAAGAGCTTCATGCTGTACGTCGCATGGTCATGGCCCACGTATTTTACGTGTCGTCCAAAACCATACGAGGTTGCTCCAAGAACCAGTCCCAGCACAACCAGTTGGGTTACCTGGAGTTATACCGGGTTAGCCAAGTATCCGGAGAATGTAAATCGGCGTAAACTCGAGATTCACCATGGCAAAGACATTGAACCAGTCATCCCAGGACAACATCCGGATCATGTACCGTCGTACATATAGCCGTAATAATGTGAGAATTAGGGCAATTATCGTCGTGGCAATGGTTGGTACAGTAACCATCGACGCTCTAGAGACGTCGCCGCCATCAGATGGTACTGTTGACCTCTCCATGAGGTATGATGGTCTGTGGTGACAGTCACAGGAGAGATCGGGGACGCTTATCGGGCGACGACGGCCATGATTTTTTCTTTATTGCCAAGGTAGAGAAACACAAAAAAAGAACGAAAAGCTGAAAAAATAATAATCAAGTCTAGCAGGGGGCCAGGATTGGTATCAACACAGGGATACCCTGTCGAATGACCACTAATTCCCGTAAGAAGCTTTGCCGAGGCTTCCCCCTGCTCGTACACGTGTCTTGCCCTTGCATTCCAGTGGGAATACTTTGGTTCTAGGAATGTAGGCTGGCTGACATTGAGATTAATTTCTAATTAATTACATACAGCGTGGAATTCGGCACACACGCACACCCAGACCGAGATCAAAATTCAGCAGGACAGATTCCCAGACCAAGCGTTGGATCTCGAGGGTGCTTTTGTTTCTTGACCCCACACGGCCCGGGACGCCGTCGAACTTTGACCTCCACACGATCCCTGTCATGGCGCCTCGACCGATGCGACGCACTTATTTTAAACATACGAATCGCCGTGCCCCTCGTGGAGTTCCTCTGCCTGATCCCTGTTCAGATTAATAACGCACATATTAAGTCTGGACCAACCACCCGCCTCCCGGCTCATTCGGATATCTCCGCTCTTATATTGAACATGCAAGACTGGCTGACTGGCTGGGGCTTATTTTGATTGGAATTACTAAGGTAAAATGAATGACTGCTACAAGCAAAGGCCCAAATCATGCCACGTCCTTGGTTCTACCGTACTTTTATTGAGTTGTGACTGTGACTGACCCACGCTCCACATAGCCCTTTTTCAGTATCTTAGCCCGCAGGATCACCTTGATCTCGACGCACATTCCCCTGTGTGAGTAGTTTCAGAAAAAGCTTAACGATCATTACCTGAACTGGGTCGTGAAAAAGAAAAAGAAAAAGAAAAAAGAAAAAAGAAAGCCAAAGAGTTTGGAACTATTTCTCACCTAGAGTCACAAATGGGCAGCATGGAATCAAACAAGGATTTCACCGTCACCATTGTCGGCGGTGGGATTGGCGGCCTGGTACTTGCCGCCGGTCTCCTACGACGCAAAGTGCCCGTCCGGATCTACGAGGCGGCGCACGCCTTCGCTGAGATCGGGCTTGGCTTGTCGATTGGCCCTGCCGCTCACCGTGCTATGCCCCTCATTGACCCTCAAATTCGAGAAATTTATGACTCGCTCGTCACAACTCACGCAGATAGCCCTGGATACGAGTCCTTCCGCCAAACATGGTTTGAGATCGTATGGGCCAGCGGCGCCCGGGAGGGCGAAACGCTGATGAACCTGAAGGCACTCCCGTCGGGGCAGACCACGTTGCGCCGAGCGGACTTTCTCGATGCATTAGTGAATCTGATTCCTCCTAAGATTGTGCAATTCGGAAAGCGACTTGAGAGTCTCGAAGAAACAGCTGAGGGTGTGTCCTTACGATTCGACGATGGCACAACGGCCATCGCTGATGTCGTTGTTGGGTGTGATGGTATTAAATCCAAGGTGAAGGAGTCGATGCTGCCGGAAGAATCAAAGGAGAAACAGCCCCAGTACAGTGGAATGTATGGGTATCGCGCTGTTCTGGATATGGACGAGATGGTGGAGGCCGTCGGGGAGCAACGTGCGCGGGTGTCCACCATGTATGTCGGAAACGGGGCATACGGTATCTCCTATCCGATCATGCGGGCCAAGAAAGTGAATTTTGGCCTTTATATCTTGAGTGAGAAATGGGATTGTGACACCTGGGTTCGGCCAGCGAAGAGAGAAGAGATGCGACAGGATGCTAGTAATATGGGCAGATATGTGAATGCTCTCATTGAGGTATGAATTCAGGTCCTAATCCATTCTGACTGAGATACCAGCTGACTTGGTTCACCTAGCGCATGCCCGACCCCTCTCAATGGGCGATTTTCGAGCATCCTCATATCTCCACATACTCCCGGTCTAAGGTTGCCATCCTCGGAGACGCTGCACATGCCTCTACACCTCATCAGGGCGCTGGTGCCGGCCAGGCTATTGAAGATGCGCATGTTATTGCTGAGCTCCTCGGGGATCCGCGTGTCACTAAGCCGGAGGATGCGGTAGCTGCGTTCAAGGCATATGATGAGGTCCGACGACCGCGAAGCCAGAGGGTCGTTACTAGTAGCAAGGAAAATGCGTACCTCCTCTGTTTGTGCCTGGATGGAGTAGGTGATGATGAAGAGAAACTCAAGGAGACGTGGAACCAGCGTCTCCGCTGGCTTTGGGATCTGGATATACAGGAGCAGGCAGAGGAAGCCAGGAAGAAAATGATCGAGCACATGCAAGGATGAAGGTGTATATTACGAGTATATCACGCACCAGCCATCTAGGTAAGTAAATAAGGAATACCAGCATTGTTTAAGAAAAGCTCCTGTAAATAAGACCATAGCCGATAGTCGTCGAATGTCAGCCTCTTGTTTCCTAAAGAATGACCGAAGGTAAATTATATTTATAGACTATATCTAAAAGCAGTTATATAGACATACCAATGCTCTCTGAAGCTCTGTTTCCCGGAGCATCACTAGCTCAGTAGCTGGTATGCTAGTAACAGTGGGCTGTTCGGTGGAAACCCTAGAATCTAAGAACGATCGACATTATCCATAACGCCACTGCCACCTCCAGACTAGGTGTGGAACCATGCACATGCCCACGCTGATAAGCGCATATGTTGCATTTAAGCATCGTTTCTAAGAGACACGATGTGGGTACGGTGATTGACATAGTGCATGACAGCTCAACCCGTTTCTTCGGGATGAAAAAGTACGGATTGACCCGTCTAATAATAGGACCCATACGTCTCCCCACTGCAACTAATGTAGCTCACAGGGGTAGGAGAGGTCAGTGCATGCTTATACTTATACTTACTCCATCGGATCTCTAGTATAGCGGGGCCATCGAGTCTATCCATGTTTAGTTGATCCATAAAACCCTTGTTCATCCAGACTTGATAATTCCCAAGGTTTCCTCTATCTCATGTCTAATAGCTATCATCGCTTACATGCCCTTAAGGCTAAAGGATACAGCTACTTCAATTCCAAGGACTTCTCCGGGGGTGACTGTAGCGATCACAGCCATGTGAGTGCGCTTGACGTGACCAACCCATTCGAATATACTTTTAGCCTTGACGATCAGTTTATCAGGTCTTCCTATTGTGTTAAATAGAGTAAAAATAAAGAAGAAGAGAAAAACAAAAGGAGGGGAACGTCAGTGCTGCACCCAGGGACAGCGATTCTATCTCCACTGGACTCACGCTATTGAACAGAGACAGTCTGTGCGTTCGTCGCCAATATACGTGTTTTCTTTACTTATGATTTTCCCAAATAGCATTACACAACTTTGTACAGGAAGTGTTATAACTTCCCATGTTCGGGTACAACCGTACATCCCACATCTCCACTAAGGCATCCATGTAGAACTGATAACTACTATGTGCTTGCTCCAGCTGGTAGTGACTGGAGCAGGACCTGTTTCCTTCTCGCTGAATACCCTTATTGGTCTTAGACGGACAAGGTCTGTTGAGCACAACTCTTCCTGCCGTTATGATGCGCCTAGATGCGAAAAAAAAAGAAAAGAAAAGAAAAGAGAAGAGAAGAAAAGAGAAGAGAAGAAAAAGCAAAAAGAAAAAAGAAAAGAGAAGAAAAACGGATTGTGTGCTAGCATAACCCTAAATGGTGGAATAGTGCGTATGTACGCTCATCGCAAAGGGTTACCCGCCCACTCATCAACAGCTCCTCCAGTGATGCAAAGCCTAGGCCTCTCAAACTCCTTGACACGTGCCAGAGACGACTCGCCATTTTGAATAAGCTGTTTAAATGGCGGGTTTCTACCGGCAGAAACTTCCGAGCGCTCGACCAAGACTGATTTCATCCGCATTTTTTATACCCCCTCCAAGACACCGTACTGTAATTGAGCTACTCATTATTGGTCCTCGGGGCCAGGAAAGGTTGTTTAGATTGACATTACAGATGGTTAATGGAAAAGTGAGCATTGCGAGTAGGTTATTTGCTGAACCGTGGCTAGTATATTCTATTTACTACTGACTCGGTTATCAGATCCGTCTGTTCTGGGGTGGCTAATGTGGTGAACCAATGATACAGCCTCGTAGGCGTGAAAGGGAGGCTAGGTAGAGTCTAGATTCAGTGGAAAGTGCATAGATTTATACCGCATTCGTTCTTGAATGGAGTAACCAACTCCATGATATTATATAATTGACTTATCGCAGGGCCTACATATCTTTTGAGATTATCCTTAGCCTTTAATAGGGTTAGCCACCCGCGGAAGTTTGGTCCCCTGGAAATTAACTTAATTCCATAGCTCTGCCTTACTTGTTTCCATATATCATTCAGAATCTGCTAACTAGACTGTGTCAAATGTCCTGTGATAGCTGAGATAGTATTGAAAACTATATCTCCGGTAAATGCTTTATTACGTGTTGCAAATTTATATACCGGTCGCGTTACCTGAGATCCCAACCACTGTAAAACTCATAGGGCCACTGGGGTCGTATATATTTATGCGGGGAGCTTCAGTGCCACGTCGCAACCAGGCAAGAGGCAAGTTTATAATCTTACCAGTCCCAGTTGAATCTGCGATGTCGCTCCTAAACCGAGTATAAACAACCCCCCCCCACTATTCCAATCGAATTAGACGTGCCCTGTTAGATAGACGGCGCCTGAGCCGGAAAGGATTTCATTCATACACCAGACAAGGCTTTAAAATACAACAAAAACCAGCAATACATAAATCCAAGCAGTCAGCAAAGCTCGAAACGATATCAAATAGCATCAAGATAATGAGACGGTGTCACGCGAATGAATACAAGCAATCAAAAAAGCTTAACGTTCCCAAGACTATCCACTAATTCATTCTCATCCTCCGTGATTTCCTTCGGCGCGACCTTCACTGGAGACTCAGGGAATTCACCAGGGACCCTAGGAAAGAGGACACGGTCTTTGGGTATTGGCATACTCTCGACCGCGGACCAGTAGATCTCGGGCGACACGGACGGCGATGCAGGCGGTATGATCAAACGCTGTCCCCAGGTTGACTTTACGTTTCGTGAGCGTTCAATTGGAGTTGGGGTTGGAGGATTGCTGTAGTCATCATCAGGCGCTCCAGACGCGGAGCTTGAAGGAGAAAGTCCAGGCATCGATTCCGCATCGTCGTCTCCAGTTACGGTATCATTATCGACAACAGACTTGCCCGAAGTATTTGGCTCAGGATGTAACATTTCCTTATCCCATGATTGGACATATTTCTGAGCCCATTTGTACCATCTGTCTGGATCTGAAGAGAACCCAGGATATGGAATACTCACTTGGGATCGCTTAGCGATGCTCTGGAAGCCCTTTGAAAACAGGCACCAAACTTCAACTCGTTGGCAGATATCATCGATATCGGCTTTGAACCATTCTGTGTGAGTCGCGTTGCACTTAGGACATTCATGCTTGTATCGATATTGAGTTAACTCCAACTGCACCACCTTTTCGAATAGCTCCGAGTTTGGACAATAGAGGGACCGTCGTTGCGTAAGATTAGGATAGCACTTCTCATGCTCACTGGCCCTTCGCGAGAGATTGCCAGTGCGCCCGAGCTTGCACATGCCTTCCGCCTCCTCACACTGAAAGATATATAAATAATCTCTCTGATCCTTCAAATTGTGGGCAATAAACTTTTGACTTATCCTGCGGTCTATTATCCGATCAAGTTCTTGGATGAGCTCACCCCTGACCAGTTTGTCGACCTCGGCAGTTTGATATAGTGTAAATTCCAGCTTGGAGCTTCCCTTGTCATCCTTCGACTGTGTATTGATATTTCTAGGCGGTGTTTCTAGACTAACAGTCGCGCTGTCTTGCGACTGAAGCTCGGCATTCCACTGGTGCACGGCTGTTTCTATGACTCCTTTGATTTTGCTTTTTTGACGACCGCAGATAGTAAGGTCGGCCAACTCCTTTAACAAATTTTCTCTCGCTTCATCATCAATCTTCGTTGCGTAGCTTTTCTGAAGCTCTGCGTGTAGTTCGTTGATCCGATGGATATTGTGCAGCTTCAAGCTCCGCACCTTCGAGTTCTGCACCCTCGAGTTCTGCGCCATTGTGCTGCAGCGTGGTCCATCTCCTGTGTATGCGGCACACTGGATATGCTCGGGGTGCGAGGGCAATAAAAGATGAAATGGAATGAGGGATATCTCTTTTGCCGGCATATCGACCTACTTTGTGGATGAATATATCCAACTTTGCCCAGTGGACGGATAGGGGCCTGGGGCTCACCTTGCTTATCATATGGTGCCCAGAGCCCCCTCCCCAAAATCAAAAGCAGTCCTGGGGATCCGAGAGCAAGAAATGCGCCTTGCGACCCCTGTGGCACCGGCATCAACGAACCCCTCTCAACGCTTGCCAAAGGATCATTACCCCGGCTTGGGTGAGTTCGCCTGCGAGTCATGTCCATTTTCAGGGAACATGATTGGCCCGGGGAACGAGTGGGCTGTCGGCGGCCCGTCCCAAAGGTGTGGTGAGTACGACGAGCTACTTTGATAACAGGGGGCTGGGACTGGCCGAACTGTCGGATTGTGCTCACGAGGACAGGGTGGATCCCATTTCAAGAGGGGAGGATAATATTTGATGGGCTGATCAATACATTCCGTGGGTCGGTTCCTGCAGCCCTGCTCTCAAATGACAAATACTTTTGATTGCAGGCCGAGCACTTTCGCCTTCAACCTGATGTTATATCAGCTTCGAAAAGAATAGCGAGAACAAGAGATGGACCGAGAATATCCCAGAAGCTGTACCTACAATTGCAATAGCCAACCCTGGAACGAGATGTGAAGATAATCTGTCGGAGGCAATGCCTATCCAGATTGGGGTTTTCGGGCGCTAGTGTGATGTGTCGTTCCAAAACCGTTGTATTGACGCAATAGTCCCTGCCATCTGGACAGGACTTTTGACGACAACACGCTTGTGACGGAAATTATCGGCCCCAGAATATCAATGGTGCAAGGCCTACCTGAAGGCAACGGCAGGGTTCGGGTGTTTTCTAATTCGCACTGCCAAGCGCGCCGGTGCCTGGAGTGATGGCGCAAGTGGAAAATCACAATCAAACGCTACAAGATAGCGGGCACTAAAATTCATGACTAGGTAAGATAGCCAGGTTAGGGTAAATGACAATAGTCCAATATTTCGTTAGGCTGACTTCAGGTCCGTACCTTACGGAGATGGGCACGATAAAGTATTTGCCCAGATTTGCTTGATTGAGAGTAGGCTTCTTTTTAGTATCCCAGCATATGACTCTATTAAATCACCCCTTCAAGAGACATGGGCCTGAACTTGATGCGTCAAAGTACTGTCAACATCGATTTATATACTATATATACCTTTTAACATCAAAAAGCTAATACATACGACCACAGGGTGTGGAGAACAGGGCTTCCCGTCCGCTCAGCCGTACTTAAGCCACACGCCGGGAGGTTAGTAGTTGGGTGGGTGACCACCAGCGAATCCCTCCTGTTGTATGTTTCTATTTTCTTTTATTTTGTTATTTTGGGTGTATATATTCGTTGGTTGACCTATCTCACAAACGCTTCAGTGTCAGGACTATACCAAGCCTTCCACGAGCAAGGGCTTATCTTTCTCTATGGGCACTACAGGCTAGATTCAGTCCATACTATCCAGCTGACTATGAACAAAACAAACTGTGCTCATTTTTATAATCATATAGTTCAAGCAACCCCCCATATTTGGAAATAAAGTAAACAAGCCCCATATTGAGAGCAATTCCCGTTTCCCCTGCAATCGCGCGAACGACCACACTTGATATCACCATTCGGCCGAGCGAGTTATCCACTCCAAGTACGAGGCTCCAGGTACGAAGATTAACGGATCAACAGTTTCGAATATGGAATAACAGTAACTTCTTCAACCAGGCCGTTTTCCGAAATACCTGGCACGGGCAGTCCCTCGACAAGTAGGCCTGGGAGATGGCCTTGGTCGCGTATCTCTGGCAGGATACTCCGAATATAGTTCCACATTGTGGTTGGAACGACTGCTCGGACTTCGTTTGTGCCGCCTTTCAGATACCGGGAGATATCCGCCTTGGCGTCGGTGTAGTCTAATGGCGGGACCCTGTGTCCGTTGATGGAGAGCTGGATTGAATGTAGGATTGAGGGGAAGACGATGTAAGCGCCCTCTGCAGCTCCGTCAATCCCTGCGTGCGTGGTAGGTGGCCACTGGAACGTTGTGGTATAGTAACCCAGCCCAGACGCGTTTCTGAGGATAGGAATCTCGCTCCATGACACCAGTGCCGGCAATTCATGGGTGGTATTATGTTTCCGAGCAATGGTATTGGCATCACTGAGATTCGTTGGGGTTTCCCAATGCTCGGCAACGAGGTGCCAGTTGGTCAGATTAAACGCACTCGCTGTTCGCTGGTGTTGAGGCAGCTCAACGTATCTGTCGCTGGACAAATGGATTCTTTCGGGCGTGGGTTCAGACCCCTGGTTGGTGACATGGGCGACCCAGCCGTTGCTCTGGTCAAAGGTTGCACCGATCACCGAAGGAGGAGTCTCGATAGCATGGACCGTTGGTTCTCCAGATTTATTCAGCCCACGTGGTGAAAATGCGATGATCATTGTCTGGTTGCCTTGGAGCGATACCGGCAGGGTCAAGGCATGATCCGTCACATTGTACGTGAAAACGGGGGACATAGCACCCGTCCAAGCGTTGAGGTAGAAGGGGACCTTATCCTTCGCAGAGCCAGTGATCGTGATATATCCGGAGGAAGTATTTGAATCGCAGAAAATCAAGGCGTAGTCGATACCGCTCGAGGAGTCTTCTCTCCAGGTTGTTAACCATCTCCCGTCGGTTTGAACTTGGATATGAGGCGATAGCCCAAGGGCGGATAATTTATCAGCGACACCACCAGTACGAACGAGATGCACATTGGGGGAGGTTGATAAATGTGCTAGGCCTGCTTCAATGGTGGCGCTTACACTTTCATTGGCGGAAGGAAAGATGCCTGGCAACCCTCCGCTCATGATGATCGGTAGTCCAAGAATCGCGTATTCCTGGATCTTGTGTAGCCCTGAGAGCGTCATAGTACTGTTACTTGTTATGACCAGAGCCTTGAACCGCGGTCCATCGGGACCTAGAGTACCGTTTCTCACGGTAGCCGCTGGGAGGGCGAAGTTATCTGGGGAAAGATATGCCCACGACCAACCTAGATGAAATGATTTAGGTCCCGGGGTACCAACAGTTTAAAGGACAGGGGGAAGACAAACCTTCATTAACCAAGTCGTCCGCTTGATACATAGAGGGAAATGCGGCAGCGTCGGTGGCTGAGACTTTATTATAAATGGCCACGTCCACTCTTGGGATACCCTGTCGTTGGGTATATTGAACTCTGGCGAAAAAGTTCAGAACATCCGACAACCCGTGATCCCATGAGGGCTGTTTGTTGGAATAAAGTTCGGAGGTTGAGTATGAGAAGGCAGTGTAGCCTGGCCAAGTTGTCTCGTAGTAATCTCCAGTATAGCTCTGCCCGTGCAGAACCAACTGGTTCACACCACCTACAATAGCACGGCCAACGGAGAACAGAAGATTTCGAAAGGGATAACCGTAAGCAGCCATTGTTGCACCCATCTCGTTTGAGATAATTCTTTTACCAGCAAGCAATGCTGGTCCCGAAAACTGGCGGTAGGCATCGACGCTATCGCCAAACTGAAGGCTTTCACATTCAGGAGCATCTACGACAGGTATATTTACCTCCATATCCATAGGGAGATTGTAGGATACTTGTGCTGAAAACTCAAGATGGAGCTCATGGCGTGCCCAGTCAGTAATCGTCTGGAGGTACTCCCGATAGCAATCTTCGAGGACGCTGCGGTAGTCGTTGATATAGCCAGCCCCAGAGTCTGGTGTATTTAGAATGCTTTGCACTGCACCGGGTCGGTACTTTTGAATATTCACATTGTTGTTGGGCCAGAGCGTTCCGAAATTCAGAACTGGTAGGTATCGTTTTAGACTATAACCTAATTTCCGTTGGAACTTTTCAGGCAGTGCTGGCGTCCATGATGTGTTTGAGGTTAATTCCATGCTATCTTCCCAAGCTATACGTGATACGATGCCACAGTCAATCTGGTGTCTTCTTTTGCCAGTGGATTGGGAGACATACCGTAATTCCCTACTTCCATCAATAACTCCTTTACACCATCGATAAGAATATGACTCTCCCAGAAATCAATGACCGTCTGAGCACCGCGTGAGCTGTAGTGATCCACAGCGAAAGACCCGTTGTCCCAGATTGTCGTTGTAGCATTATTCGTAAAGTGCAGATTCTTGTGCAAGGTCCGCTTTTGGTAGTAGGCGAAAATTCGGTGGCCAACACCGTCCCTATCCGTGGGAAGGCTTATTGAAAGCTGACCATCCTCAGAAACTTGGTCTGTAATGTCGGTCAGACTCTCATGTTCAAGCACTAAACTGAGATAGCCACTCTGGGCTGTGAGAAAGGGCGAGTCAATCTCTGGTAGTGAGATGTTGGTCTGTGAAAGAACTTCCGCCAATACCACTGCGATCAGTTCTCCGGTTCCCCAGCCGGGAAGCGGCCCTTGGAAGGTTTCATTGCTGCCGACTGGAACGGAGAACGGAACCTGAGTGCCAAATAATCAGTCTCTTTGATTCTCTAGTCAAACATAGTGCTTGCGTCTTTACCAGATCCCATTGCAGGCCAGGATCATCACTGGAAGCCGGAACACCCTGACCCTGATTCGGGCCCAGTGCGAAATCCATCAACAAGCCCGCCTCTTTATGTGCTTGGAGAGCAGCGCGAAACACATCGCGAAAGGCTGGTGTACCGAACCCATTGGTGACCCAGTCGGCTTGAGGTGGCGGATCGCCAGCTTCACCACCGTAGTTGTAGAATGGGACGAATTCGATACCACCTGCGCCTCGCTCCCCACTGTCTTTGATGTTTGTCGAAACTATCCCCTTGTCAACTCCCGCATCCGGGAGCCAATATCGAAAACGAGGTCGGCACCGGACAGAAGGATTCTGGAACGTCCCCAGAGATGATGAGGGTCCTGAGGAGTCGTGGTAAACTGCTGCTAGCACGCCGACAGCGTGAAGCAGCAACAGGGGTTCGAGCCGTACCATGGTCAATTTACTGTTGATTGAAGAGGAAGACTCCAGAAATAAAGTTCTATTTCGTCAATGGGATTTCTCTCTATTATACATAATGTATTCTATTTGACTTTCCCCTAGCCCTTCTCGACATCTCGGGGAATGATTGTCCGGGGCTCGGTATAACATTAGCAGGGCTTTAGATATTAGGGTAAGTTGGGGTAAAGGGACCGCCGGGACCCCCCCGAGGGCGAGAGCTTTTGCAGCTAGAACCTTATAAGGTTTCCACAGAAGAACTCCGGAGTCCGTGCCCTGGTATCGAACCGAGCCGAACAATGCCGGCTTGGGCTCCAAACTTCAGCACAATGTCTGCCTGAGGACGATGACTATTTTCGGACTAACACGTCGGTGACGGACGTTATAATAACAAGGCAAGAGGATGCTCTAATGGTGGCGGGCTCCAAAGCGCTCTATAGGGACCGCAACTGCAGACGATATCTACGCCGATAAGCCCTTTCCGATCTTTTACAACATTCACAAACGTGCCTTTGCGAGGGAGCAACCGTTACCAAGGTGAAGCTACTTGTGAGGGTTCGGGCACCTATAAATTTGAGAATAGCCATTTAGGTCTGCGGAACGAGCTCATTCCAATCCCAACTCAGCAAGTCGAACGATCCCCACGAGAATGGTGGAGGTTCGAGCGGATTTGACAGCGCTGGATCCGTAATGGTCATCGTGGTAAGATGATTCTCCCTAAGGTCCGCGTTGAACTCGACTGAAGACTGAATGGCTATATCGCCTAGTAGCTCAGAGACATAGCGCTCTAAAGCATCGAGTGACTTATGCAACGGGGTTTGAGTTGTACTGGATGAATATCTTTGTCGCGAGATAGCCATGGCCGCCTTCATGAGCTGGATTGGCACCTAGTCAACACGTCTTCCACAGTGGACCCAGACTTTCTCGAATAAACGTACCTCGGAGTGTGCCCGGCTCAAGATAGAGGCTGGCTGGCGACGGATATGGACGGCCAAGACGTAGGCCGCTGCTAGCGGTGAGGTGCCTAGGACCAAAAAGCTGGGTTCACCGGCCTCAGCCACCATGACTTGGAGGTCCGTCATGTCCTTCGCGGCCTCAAGACATATTTGGGGCCCATTGCGAAGCCGTAAGTGCCAAGGTTCCCCAGATCCATACCGATCAACCTCCCTTTTCACCTCACTCCAATCCAGCAAAAGAGTGTTTCGATACAAGACAATGATCCTAGTGGGCATTAGCGAGGGAACACGCCAAGCAAAAGTGAAAGCATGATCGGTGACACCAGCTTTGGTAAACGCACGCTTGGTGATAGTAAAATGAGAGGAAAGCCCACTGAGGTGTGAGCTGCACATCGGCGGAGCTAGACGTCCCGATCCTAGTAAAAGCACAGCTGTCAGATGAATGCGCCAGCAAATGAAGGGCTCATCGCAGACAGATTGGAGCTGGAATGAGCTCCCATTTATAAAATGCTTACTGATATTCAGAGGGCAGGCTTCTTTGCCATTCCCACAGCAATGTGTCGATTGCGCCCGCAGTACGAATCTTGCTCGCCCGGGCATCCGCGTCGCTCGTTGTATCTAGACTCTCTGTCCGCCATGTATGCCATGAACGATGTTGCATCTCACGCAATACATTTGCCAGGCTGGTGAGGAATTTCTCATAATCTTGAAGTACCAGCATCTTTCCATTATTCATCGGGTCTGTTGGGTGTTGTCGCCCTACGGATGATAACCTCTGATCGTCCAGGGTGGACTGTCGACCGGAGTCAAAGGCGAGAAACTTCTCGAATACGTACAGGGCCCACCATGTGCGCATGGGATTCTTGTCGCTGTCTGATACCGTGTCATGTATGGTTCGTAAGTGAGCACTAAGATGGGCCAGCCTCAATGTCTGCGACATGGAGATAGCGAGCGTGAGCACATCCCATGCCTGCGATAGTTGATCCCGGAGACGGAGGGTTATTGAGAAAAGAAGGAGCGCCTGAACTGCCTCTATTGATGGCTGCAGGATGACGTGGCCCACGAGTGTGTGACAGTAACCCAGATATGTGTTGAGATGTTGCTGGGACCCTGTTGGGCCTGCCATTGTGCCCAAAGTCGTGATTAGATAAAGGAGCATCAACCGAGAAGTCTTGCCAACCCTACGAGTTCTGGCATAACGCCGTGACATGTCGGAGGATCCACGGACGAGCAACATTACCATTTCCCGATCGAGAAATGGATAGATTGGATGATAAACCTTGAAAAAGAGTTTCGTCAACTTATGGAGCTCGTCTAAAGGCGGCAATCCCGGCTCCATAGAAGCAACCGTGTACTCATCCGAAAGCTCTGGGCTGGATAGACAGGGCTCTAGCTGGACACGGACGTAGTTCGAGGGTGGAACTCGAAGCCGAGAAAGAGCTAGGTCGAGCCATTGTGTCGAGATCTGTACGATGCTGGACCCTGCGCGTGTCGGGAGTACCGGGAGATGTCTCGTGTCCCAGCTGCGCCACTCGTTCGAGTCTCTCGGTCCAGGTGATGGGGATTTTGAGCGTGCTGAAGCGATGGTGAACTCCGGTGAGCGACTGACCCCCGTCGTCGTTTCCGGAGACACCAAGGCGACCACTCTGGTTGTTGCCTCCGGTTCCAGGGTTCGTTCCGTCACGGGCAGATCTTTGCGGCGATGCTGGACCGGTGCATTCGGCCGCCTTTTATCAACGGTAATACACTGGACACCTGCCAGCTGACAGTTCCGGCAGCTGGGGAATTGCTCGTCACACCGTGTCTTCTTGGTCCTGCAGTAATTGCAAGCGTACGATAAGCGCTTCCGCTTGGGAAGCGGTGCCAAAGAGGAGTTGCCGAGCATGGAAGGGACTGAAGTGTTACTACCGTGCATTTAGCCGGACCGAGGATAGCTCTTCTACACGGTTAAAGGAAGGCAAAGTCAAGCCAAAGAGCGGTGCAATACGGAGAAGAACCACGCTCGGCGTGGCCCGAGAGTGGAGGCAGCAAGCGCGGGGAACATTGCCATTCGGACTACTGTGGTTGGCCGATGCACGGTAAACTAAATTAAGGTTCTGAGGGGAAGCCTTTGAGGAATTTGGATAGGGATTGAACGTTCAGTTTAGGATACGATATCCTAGATACTACTTTTATACATACGTTCGGAATGTGGACCACGTGCCTGCCGGGGTGAAGTAGTTGCTCACTTTGACGACGCACTGCCGGCTCGGACGCCTACATTGTAGCGTTGCTTGGCCCACGTGTTGATATAGGATGATTCCAGGAATAGCGTTTATGCTTACTATTTCAAGATCATCCTGTGCTCTTAGAATTATTATGGGGAAACCGGGCTAAGCTGGGTCTCTGGTGATACCTACGGGCAGTGCTTGTGCATCACCCGACCTCAACATGGCTTCCACAATCCTCAAATCCTCGAGGGCCTCAGTGGTCGACAATCTGGAATCCAGACTACCTGTAGAAATGCTCGCAGAGAACGCAGCGACCTCTTCCTTCACACCCCACATTAATGGTGCCGGTTGCGATACTTCCTCCCATCTGCTTCCCTGGTCTTGCTTGATCAAGATCTCCATCTGGAACGGGCGGTATATGACATAGCCTTTGTCGGTCACAATCTCAAACTCCATGACACGCTTGGCTTTGATTCCAACAGATGAGGTGTAGGTGCCACTCCGTCCCTGGTTAGTTCTCAAAATAGCATGAACAGTGTCAAACGGAGGAAGGCCCTCTTGCAAAGAGGTCGTATATGCGGATACGACTTCCAACCTTTGACCCAGAGCAGCTAGTAACGTTCGTAATACTGCGATAAAATGAACCCCACCATCCAGTAAATAACCTCCCTGGAAAGTAGGCTTCCGGCGCCTTTGATATAAAATATTAGCGAAAAAAGCCTGGATAATAGAGCTGTTATAACCCACCAGTCTGAATGATAGAAGGGGTTCTTGGAATCCGTGAAAGAAAATGCAGTCACCGAAAAGGTGACTAGGCTTCCGCCCATCTCCGTGAGGATCCTCGCAGCCTTATGAACTGAGTCCCAGAATCGGAAATTCTCGCCCACACCCCATAGGATGCCGCTCTTCGTCTGTTGTTGGTGGTAATCCATCAACCTCAGGGCCGTCTCGACGTCAGGGGCGATTGGTTTCTCGCTCAGAACATGTTTTCCTGCGGCCAATGCTCTCTTGATCAGATCCGGTGCCGCGGTAATCGCCACGGCGATGATGACGGCAACAATATCATGACGCTGTAACAGATCATCGAGCGACTTGGATTGAACAGACGGCGAATCAAAGTACGCGTCGGCATCCTCGTCAGCTGCAGCAACGAAGCTCTCGGCTGACGTCTGCGATCGCGAATAGACAGCCTTCAAACTTAACGATGCACATGACTTGATGGCCGGAAGGTGCTCTGTGATTCTCGGTCGTTAGAATCGCCGTGAGCCTTCATGGAATATTGCGGCCACATCATACACACACCCCTCTTTGCAAAGACCCCAGCCCCAAGCAAAGCTACACCAATCGACATCGTAGATGGGCTATTATGAAAAGTAGATCTCGGACTTCTAGCCAAAACAGATGGATCTGTGCAAGATTGGAGAAGCTCTGTGCTCTCCAGCGGATTAAAATCTCGTTCCAAGAGATGCCTATAGGTTTGCTACAAAGACACAAGTTGGCATAGTCGAGTCCTCCCGGTAGCTGCCCCTAGCATGGCTCTTAGCCATACCGAAGGGTAAGGAATTTCCATCGGAAATCTTTCAGGGCGGTTCGGTTGCCCTCAAGTTCGCCCACATGTTCCGAAAACTCAATGGGTGTTCTAGCCTGAGCGGGCTCTCCATTTATTCAATTCACACCAATTAGGCATGGAATTTTACCCCGCAGACAGGCAGAAAACGTCGGGAATACGGGGCAAGTTCCATTCTCGTGGGGATGAAAGGCGACCTGTCTCATCGTATGTCTCGTGGACTATGAAGCAGGTTTCGTTAATGGTGGATTCACCATTCTAGCCAAGCCGGTTCGGATACTAGCGCCTAACTAATCTGCTCCGTACCGGCCGGAACAACAGACTTGCGAATCAGACGAAACGGAATTATGGGCTAGAGCTCTAGCCGGCTTAACTATGTGGAGGTCAAGACCCGGTTCGCTCTCGGTTCGGCAAACGCTCCCCGGAACAACACTTGAGAACGCTGGACAGGTGCATACTGTATTTTGCTCCGGACAAATTGTTATCATACGTTCTGAGATTTGACTTGACAGTCTCAAGTACACTGGAAATGATGGTCATAACCGTAACTATGAAGAATGAAGCCACAACATTACCCATCAGCCGGTGCCCATGACAGGGTTTATAGTATGTATCCGGTCGAATCGAATTATGGGATAGATTAGCCAATGGGGCTTTATGTTATGTATCGAAGCTGAATGGCGCTAGCCTAGACTCAAAGAAGCCGATTGGCCTCTGCACAACAAAAGTAGTATTCTCATACGTGGATACTGGTCAAGAATTCCATATTGGTGGGATCAACCTAGTGTTATCCTCTTGGAAATCTTGAGGACCGCTGAGACAAACCTATATGTAACAGGGTCCAACGAACATCCCCGGAGTCCTTCCTTCCTTCACACTATTCAATACCTCGAAACTTTCAAACGAAGATCATGAAGGAGTTCGACGACGTTCAAGTCATCTACAGACCTTTGAGCCGTCCCAAAATAGGGTTAGGCTACCAAGGGTTCAATCCGCGTACCGAAGTATTGCCCAAAGGGTGGTCGAAAGAGGGAAAGCGACCTTTGACGTGTGATATCCTCGTTGAACATGACGTCGGGTACAAGGTGCGGGATGGAGTCACACTATATGCGGACGTTCTTCGTCCTCCCACCGGTAGGGTCCCAGCTATCGTTTGCTGGAGTCCCTTTGGAAAGAAATTCAACGGTTCCGACGCGTTGAATTTGATGGCTCCGTTTAATCTGGGCCTCCGTGACGACGTGCTGAGTGGGCTAGAGAAATTCGAAGCGCCGGATCCCGCTTTTTGGGTGGAAAAGGGATACGCTATTGTCAATATTGATAATCGGGGTAGTTTTGACTCGGAGGGTTCCTGTGCCGTGCTAGGAACCCAGGAAGGAGAAGACGGCTATGATGTGATTGAATGCATCGCCAAAGAACCGTGGTGCACCGGAAGTATTGGGATGGCAGGCAATTCCCATCTTGCGCAAAGCCAATGGTTTGTTGCCGCACAGCAGCCACCCTCACTAAAAGCCATTGCCCCTTGGGAAGGCTGCGCAGACATGTACCGAGAGACATTTGTTCGTGGCGGTATCTATTGTGCCGATCTCTTCGATGAGCTCATTTCGAAAAATGTCATACACGGACGCGAGATCGAGAGCATCCGGGCCATGTTCGACAAATACCCTCTTGCGAATGCGTACTGGAACGATAAACGCGCTGAGATCGAAAATATTAATATCCCGACATACGTCACCGGCACCTGGTCCAATACTATGCATGGCATGGGCGCCATCCGAGGATGGCTCAAGGCTAAGACGTCGGACAAGTGGCTCAGATTCCATCCCTACCAGGAATGGTATGACCTGTGGGGGTGTCCGGATTCCAACCAGGAGCTACTCCAGTTCTTCGACCGGTACCTCAAGGGGCTTGACAATAGCTGGGAGAGCACACCCCGCGTTCGCATGGCATTGTTGAGATTCGGTCAAACGCCATCGATAGGCGGCATCGTGGAGCAGGACTTTCCCATTCCGAATACGGAATACAAGAAGGCATACCTCGCGCCTAATGACAAGTTAGCCCTCAACAAGCCTACAGATAGCCTCACCTTGTCGTACGATGCAACATCCCAGACAGACCTCTTGACATTCAGGTACACGTTTGATAAGACGACGCGGATCATAGGCATACCAAAGGCTGTCTTGTACATGTCATGCGAAGAACATGATGATATGGATGTTTTTGTTATCATTCGCAAGGTATCGTCCACAGGCGAGCCTATGTTGTGCTTGAATGTGCCATGGGAAGGTCTGCCAGTCAAGTCATTTCACGAAATACCTGAGGAGTTGCGGACAGAGGTGATTATCTACAAAGGACCTACTGGTATAATCCGGGCGTCGCAGCGTGCGATTGACCACGACAAGTCAATGCACCCTAACTGGCCTTTCCACCCACATGACCGAGAGGAGTGCATTCCACCCGGACAAATCGTCAAGCTTGAGATTGGAATTTGGGCAACAGGCATCGAGTTCCAGGCTGGAGAAAGTGTACAGTTTGAAATTGCAGGGCACTTTCGAGGCGTCTCCAACTTTGGGAAACCAGAACATGTCAAGAACAAAGGCCGGCATATTGTTCATATCGGAGGCGGGCACGACAGCCACGTAATTTTCCCATTTTGTTAGACTAGATCTTCTAGGAGCAGATTATTATTTCCAAGAATAAAAATGTACAGCTCGGTTCGTTATCTGGTGTCTCATTGTTTTGTAGATAACAATATATGCCGAAGGCTGCGACAAGAGGGCACTGAATCATAATCACAGAATCGCAGCATTTTATGGATGTCCAAGCGGAAAAAATGACTGTAACTCCTATCTACCTCTTAGGTATCCCTAAATTTCACACATTCCAAAGACAGACGTGGGCCGTCGTGGCGCAAGTTTAGAAGGATATAGGCTTGTCTTACACTTTAAGGCCAGGGTTGTTGCCTAGGAAGCTCGCCCTTGCTAGACAAATAGAACTCCATAAGCGAGTTTATTCCCCTACCATGAAGCCATCTCTATTACGACGAGCTTTGTTTTGGTGGATACTAGCGTAGGAGGAGAAAAAGAACGTCAATTGGTCACTGATAGCGAA